GCGTTCGAACGAAATCGTCCGAGATTTTTTACTACGCGTTTGCCGATACTTCGATCAGATTTCCCGGAAGCGATGCGTGTTTACGAGTTCTTAAAGAGAGAGAGAGAGAAAGGGCGATATTTCAAAACGTAGTACGAGATAAATAGCGCTTTCCAAACCGAAATATAAGATACGGCCCTCGTGAAATATTTTTCTGATGTGGTCGAAGAAACGGATTTCTCGCTCGACTCTCGCCGACGAGAGCAAAAGAAATTGACATCGCGCGCGGGATTACCGAAAATTCCCGCGCGTAAATCCCGCGATAACAATCAACTCGCCAGACGCAACAAAAAAATCTCGAATTACGACCGCGTATACTGAAGTAAAAAAAAAAAAAAAATAAAATAACTGGCAGAACTCGATGACGCGCGGATGATTCCGAGTCCTTGAAATTCGGCAGAAGCTAAAGTGTCAACGAGGATCTTATCAACTCGTCAATCTCCGTGTTCGTTCTGTTTAATTAACGCGCGCGCGCGTGCTTCTGAATTCGTTACGTTTACTTTATATTAAAAATAACACGCGGCGGGAAGAAGACCGTGTCACGCGGATGTAATCGGTCGCGCGAACGAGTTTTTCGAGAGTGTGTCGGTATTAGCATTTGAAAATTAACATATAAAAGGCATACAAATCGGAGAGCTCAAAATAAATTTCGCGTGTGAAATGAAGTTCTTTCTTTCCGAGTGTTCTCGTAAATCTGACGAGCGCATTTTTTTGCAGTCAGGAGTATGTACGTGAAAAAAAAAAAAAAACGAATAAGACGAAGAAAAAAACGCACGCGTGTATATCAATTTTCCGACGTGAGCAACAGCAGTTGCCAAAAATAAATCGCGAAGAGGTCAAAAAAATACGTGAAAATACTTATCGCGAAAAATCCATCAACGCGAGATAATTACTGCGTCACAATTAAGACTTCTGCAGAAAAAGCCTGTAATTTGGTTCGTTTTTGTTTTTGTTTTTTTTTTTTTGCTCTTTTGTTTCTCGTAAATTGCTCGCGGACGAAGACAGAAAGACTCATTTTTTTTTTTTTTTTTTTTGAAGGCATTTTGAGTCTGCAGCGACGCTGCGTAACAGTTATTAATTTTTATTGATGAAACGCATTTGCTCTCGACGCACTTCTTACGGTCAGCTGTGTGGTTACTGCACGCGCGGTCGAGAAAATGTTATTGATTAATTGGAGAGACGCCGGCAATATGTAGGCTATATTTAATTGTAATTTATCTTGAAAGAGAATTCCTTCTCTCTCTCTTTCTCTTTCTCTTTCGCGTCTCTTCCGTTTTTTTCGAGAACACCGCGCGAGTAGTCGCGGAGAAAGGAAGTGGCGTACACTTAGTGCGTTACATTTCTAATGTCCTACATTCCGATATTAAGTTTGGAGATCCGCGTGTGATCCCGCACTTCTGTACACTGAGCGCCATGTAAAACAGTTTCCTCTCTGAGACTTACGTTTCGACAATAAAGAGACCGAGTTAAAAGTTTTGGTGAGCCTTACATGGCCACACGTAAACTCGACACGAAATTAAGCGGAAAGTTTTTTGATCGTGTGTGCAATTTGTTGTTTTTCTCTAATATGTATGTTAGTAAAATTGTATACATGTAAAATAATAACATGTAAGTCTGTTTCATATTATCGTCTATCGACAGATGTGCAACAAAAATCAATTAAATCGTAAACAAAATTTATATACAGTCGTGTATACAAATTTCACATTTTTTTCTTCAAGTACTCGCTGCACGCACATGTGTTACATTTTTGTTTTTATAAAGATGCGAACACAACAGCTTGGAGTCCCGATAGATTCAAATTTCGATATAAATCGCGCAAATGCGCGATAGGTAAATTTCGATACCGCGAATGTATCAAAATGACATTTAACTTTGTCCACAAAACTGAAGATGCGTCAGTCGTAGTAACGTATATATAACGTATATAATAAATCTTTTGCCATCTCCAATGTCAAAAGCCTGCCGAAACGCGCGTTACCGGTTTCGAGTATTTGAATTCGAGTGTCGCAATGACTTTGCTTAAAAAACCTGAGGACGGTACGTCGCGATTGACGGAACGCGCGCGCGAGATAATGTTTAAGCGGTGTAAAAAACGCCGCGAGCATCGAGTAAAATTTGTACAAGACGATAGACAAATCGCGCAAAGTGATTGTGTTGTACTTACTTTAAATATGTATCCTCTCCCGCGAAGTGTGTAACGCGCGTGTCGCTTAAAAGAAAGTCAATATAACTGGCGCTGGTTTGGTATCCCTTCTTCTCTTATACCATCCTCCGGAGATCTGGCCAGTACCCCCCTACCATTTTGGCTGTGGCGGATCGCCGCTGTCCTTCGATATCCTATGCCGGTCAACATTGACTCCTCTCCGACCTATCCGATCATCAATTTTATGTCTGACACTCTCCGTTCGCGATAATGAACGGTGCACACCGTTCATTATATCCGCGCAAGCCGAATATATGTTTCCGCGGGGTGTTTAATTTCAGCTTGGGGGGGTAATTGTCGGCTCTCGAAAAAATTTTGAGTCTATTAAGAGAAAAAAAAAACATTACAGTTCTCCAACTGAAATTAATAATATCGTTTCGTCTGCAAAAAATTTTTCCAACCGTAACTCCGTCCGAATCTTTTTACCAAGTGAATATAAACTGAAATAATCAAACTTCCATTATTTGGAGAAAAAATATTTTTCTCTTAACATTTCGAACTAAAAATATTCCGTCAAAGCCACCTACAACCGAGGCAGGGTCTCTTGATATCTATGAGAATTCCTGAACTTCATCAAGAAACACTTTCTTTTTTGATCAGTCGCAACGTGAAGATATCATTCCCGCGTTCACATTCTTGTTGAAGAAAGGTTTTCACCTTTTTCGGCGACAATAATTCGGCCCACGTGCGTCGGATGAGCCTCTTGCTCGATTTGAACGCGTTCAGTCTATCTGATTGATTGTCTCTTCTCGAGTCGTCGTGTCGCGAATCGATCAGTTTCGCTTCTCGAAACAAAATTCCCGTCCCGTTGCATTGCAAACGATCTATCAGACATTGATCTCTTCGATAATATTAAAAAAAAAAAAAAAAACGAAAAAATTGTGACAAAAATAAATTATCTAGAAAGTAAAAACTATTTGCGACGGCATTAACCTGCATTATCCCGTGTTTCTCGAAACGATTGACCAATCAGTTGATTCACTACAATTTTTTGTAGCGATTGGTCGAAGGTGTCGTCACACCGCACGTATACAAAGTTGTGAGTTGCCAAATACACATGATTCAATAAAGAAAACACAAAACGAAATTGCACAAAAAGTTACAAGGTTTAATGGAACCATATAAAAAATCTGTTTAATTGTAATTTTAGAAGAAAAATGAATGTAAAAAAAGCTAATGAGAATTTAAGCACACCAAACACTTCGTGTAACTTCAAATACTATCATCTCGTGTTTTGAAACTTATCCAACATCTTTCGAGAATGTAATCGCGAAACTTGAGAAGCAAGTGCCAAACAACGAAAAGAAAACATCTATTTTATTTGTTTACAAAAAAACCACAAATTCTTTTTTTATCAAAATAACGTAAAGAATATTATTTGAAAATAATACGATCGCTAAGTCCTAATTGTTTATTTGTAAAATATCTGCACAACAAATGGCATAAAGATCTCGTTTGGATTGAAAAAAACTGAAAATTCACAATGAACTCTTTCGTCGAGCCAATAACGAAATTCTTAAATTTTATCTCTTTCGGAAACATCATCGTCGTGAAAATCACACGATTTCGCAAGCTGTATTGTTCATACTACCGTTAAAGATCCGGGAAAGACGGGGATGAGTGGAGGAGGAGTAAAAGATGCGAGCTTTTATGACCGTGACAGAATCATCCGGATGTCCCCACAGCGACCGGGATGAGTCGGCATCCATATAGCGAGAAAGACCGAGAAATCTAAATATGTACACGTACAAGCGATGAGACGCGCGTCGAGACGGTGTTGCTTCTCATAAAGTTTTCTTGCAAGGAATTTTAATCAATAATTGATCGTGTATCGCTTTCTACCTACGACGCCGACGCATCTCATTGAGGATTAGCATAATGATTTCTATAAATATTAACACAGTTGCTCGAGACTAGAAAAAAAAAAAAAAAAAAAAAAACATCCATTTTTGAAAGTAGAAAACTCTTTAGATATTTTGAGCACAACTTATGCTATAATGGAAACATTTCTAAAGCGACAAAAGGAGACAATTGACAAACATCTGTTTTGAAGAGATAAATAATGTATACGCGTAGTGTGTGAATGGAACTTTAAAAATTATACACACATCGTGATTCTAAAGAAGTTCGAATAAAAAGTTCGAGTGCATTACAGCAAGAGAAATTTCATAATAACTCGAAGAATTTAAGCGGTGTTAATGAAAGAGAACTCAAGAAAATATAAGCGTAAATTATACGAACTTGAAAAAAAAAAACCAGGAGAAATGTGAAATCAAAAGAAGTGATGAAAGAGAGAGACAGAGATGATGACAAAATGGTTCGTAGTGCACACACAATATGTAATAAAAACATTAACTATTATTGATGTAGTGTATTATATTTCTTATAATTGTTTTATGAGTTTCGAATTACTGCACGATGTAAGCATACTTAAATGTACCTGGAAATAAGTATACATTTTTTATACGGTTAAAAATATATTTTTTGTCTATATACATTATATTCATATACGTTTTTTAAAACTATATACATAACTGCTAAAACAAGACAAACTATAAAAGTTTGATAAAATTTTTAGCAAGTATGTATTTATTGTATATGAATATTTCAGGCTATACTGAACACTGTAATGTAATGAGATACAATGGAACTTATGTGTTCCATAAAAATATATACACACAATATATATAGTAATTCTAAAAAATTCAGATGCGTCATAATAAAAGAAATTCCATGTAAAAGAGATCACAACATATAAGATTTCCACAAAAATAAACTCTTGACACTTGTTTTATGTACCTGCTTTATATTACAAACTCAGTTCTCGACTACGTAGAGAAATATTTAAGCAATGATGATATATATACATGTACATGTATACATATTACATTACTTTAACTAGATAATTGAATATTTAACTAAATTCTAAATAAATTTCTCACACATTAAATTTCACTATACTGAAAAACTTTCCCCACACCCACATGTCCCTTTGATATTTGGATTGTTGAACACAAACTCTGAGCTCAATTTGCTCTCAATGTAATCCATTTCTGTTCCGAGAAGTGAAAGCTGTGCCTTCCTATCAATGAATATACGAACTCCATCTTGGACTACTTCCTCATCAAGTTTAGACTTTTCTTTAGCATAATCCAGAGTGTAACTCAAACCGTTGCATCCTCGTTGCCGTACTCCAACCTTAAGACCAATCTATAAATAAAAAAACACATATATCATTATTTTAAATGTTGTAAGTCAGTAGAAATGTAATACTAAGAACATTCTGTTATATATTCTAATATAATTCTCAAAACTATGTTATACATATTTTACATGTATATATATAAACTATTACATAAATATACTTACATATTCGCTTTTATTTTTTAAAATCTCTTTAATCTTCTTAACAGCATTGGGTGTCTATATATAGAAAGAAAAGAATATATAGAACATATTTTTTTGTCAATTAATATATATACTGTAAAGTATATTTTTAAAAATGATGCAACTGTAAATCTATTGACATAAACATGTCTCGCAACATTATGAAACAACGCAAACAGATAACAAGCAATAAAGAGAAGCAAAAAAAAGAAATGAAATACATATACACAGGAGAGATGTTACAAGTAAACTCAATACAAATTTGTTAAATGACTTGATTAACAACATTTTTCACACTATCTTCGGTTTGTTTTTCCTATTTGAATTAATTGTGTACATTTTATTTATCTTCACTTATTATTTTTTTATATGTGATCGTAACAAAAATACAACACGTAATCACGCGTAAGGGCAATACCAATAACATACTAACCAGAATAAGCGCAGCACGAGTAGGAATAATTTTTCTTCCTTTAACGGCTCGTATCGTGGCGGCTGCCATTGTGGTAGGCAACGCCATTGTTAATATTTGCAATACACAAAATTACGACAGCTGATCGGTGATCTGGTCATGTGTATTTACGTTGACGTCAGTTTACGTTGAGAAATAGAATGCAATTGGTCTCGTCCTCGTCCATTCTTACATCATGGCCTCGTCTACAATGCGCGTTTGTCGCAAGTCGTAGTAACGAGCACTCGTGGAATCGACCAATTCTATTGATCGACTGGCCAAACGCGATTGGTCACTTCCACGAGACTTGATTCAAAACTAATTTTATTTTGAAACTCGGCTTGATGGAGAAATGTGTACAGACCCTTCGAGTTCGAGTTGTTTTGATTCGATTCGACTTTTGACTCACATGCTGTGTAATGGTGTTTATATACATATGTCATATATATACAATATTTTACAATGAGTTATTGTATCGTGTCTGGATGCAGCAATCGAAGTAGCGCGAAGAGAAAAAATTGGGAACAGTTGGAAAAAGAAAATAAAGATAAAAAATTTTCTTTCCATTTGTAAGTTAACACGCAAATCTTGCGCGAGGTTATATTTACACTTTTGACATAACTTAATTTTATAATAACAAGTGTTGTGACAGTAAAGGTAATGTGTAATTTTTAGATTGCCAAAGGATATAGATCGACAAAATCAATGGTTGGAAGCTGTAGGTTTAAAGAATTGGAAGCCGTGCAAAACAGCAGCCGTCTGTTCTGCACATTTCAAAGAAGATGATTTCGAATTGAATCTCGCAGTGAAAAGACTGAAAAAAGATGCTGTTCCACATGTATATATATATTACTATAATTAAATATAAATTTATATATATTACTGATTAAAAATATCAGTATTGTGAATGAAAAAATTTGACCAATAGAACAATTATATATAGTACACTTGTTTACAATACAACATGGTTGTTGTTAAGTTTATATCTTAATTTTAGGTGCCTGGTATTCAGTCTCAAATGCTCACTTCACTGCCTTCACAAGAAACCACTCAGTTACCTGATAAGGAATTGCACTTCGAAAGCACAGACACACAAAATCAATTTTCTGCAGAGAGTGTGAAATGTTTTGAAGTTGGTATGTGAGATAAATATTATATAATATTGATAACTATCTGTATTATCATATTATTTACAGATACAATCACCGAAGAAATTGAAGAAACAAAGGAAATTATAAATTTCGCTGATGCAAACTGCGACACATCGCGCGATGTTTCGAACGTGAGACACAGATCGACAAGTGTATCTCCCGAGAGGATATTTAATTCTCCCAACATAATTAATCTACGAGAGATTTATCAGAAACAAATAAAATCGTTAAAAAAACAATTATACAGAGCAACATATAATGAAAAACAAGCTCAGAGAAAAGTCCAGGCTTTGAAAGTTGTTGTGAGAGATCTGCAGCAACGTAACTCAACGATGACACATGACGGTAGTATACTTCGTTATTTGGACGAGGATGTACAGGAATTGGTGAAGTGTGGCGCGAAAAACCAAAAAACCTCGTCCACACCAAGAAGATGGAAGCCGAGTTTGTTTAAGTTGGCATTGTCCTTGTATTTTTATTCACCAAAAGCGTACAATTTCCTTCGCTACAAATTTTCCAACGCTCTGCCTCATCCTAAAACTATATCGAAATGGTATCGTACTATGTAAAAATAACTAAATATATGTATATATTAATAACTATATGTATATATTATAAACTAAATATAAATATATGTATAAATGTACGTAACTGTAAAATAAGTATGCATTACGGAAATTTATTTAAAGATTCAATAAATCTAGTCGTTATTGTTATCTTTTGTTTTTTCATCTGGTCTTTTTAGACTCGTCTGCAACAATTCGCATAAAATTTGTAACGTAACTGACTGACACGATCGGTCGATTTCTGCGAGAGCGCACTTGTGATCATTTGTAAATAAGATTTAAATTCTATCCTAGAATAAAATACTCGACACACGCGTACTATCGATATTTACGGGTGAGACGAGATCGCTGTTTCGAGATTTGTATTTTTTGTAAAATAAAGTATTTTAAGTATATAAAACAATGTATTACGATTGCACGTAATTCATATTTCTTTGATATATGTTATAGACATGATATGTGGAAATGTAGTTTTTATTTGAATTTTACAACAACAAAACTCTTGTAAAATTGAGAACAAGAAATTACTGAATATAAAAAAAAAATTTATAACATTTATTCACTTCCAAACTCTTCTTAATGACAGTTAAGATGATAATGGTATCCGCTTGCATCCAAACTGTCAAAAAGAATTCGGAAATGGATAAAAAGTTAAAGGTACCGCGGTTCTCTTAATAGAGTATTAACGAAACTCTAAGTTGTAAAATATTAAAATCATATTGTAAAATTCTTCCGATAAAATTCGAGTAAAAAGTATATATTCCAATATACGTTATATAGAATATATAAGAAAGAAATGCTTGTTAGAAGTGACGCGATATATTATTTATGGATTAAAATAATTATTTTCAAAAATAATGAAATGACAATGCGCAAGATTAACAATTTATATTCGCGAAATATTTAATCGCGATAGATTTACAATAACAAAATTACAGTAATTGAAGAAGAAAGAAATTGACTTTACTTTTGCACACAAAATTCCGAATTTGTTATAACGAAAAAAGAAAAATTTCGAATCGCGCAAAACGCGACAACACGTCCGTCGCTCTCGAAAAATCGACCTAGATCTAAGGCTACGCGCTTGCACTGTGTGTAGCGCAGTAAAGTTCTCCACCACGCGCACACATCCCTCGTTATGCGCTTCTGCGTTTTTGGATTTTCCTTCGCGTCTCAGGCCCACAGTTGCGTAGCAGGGGTCGAGCGGTTTCCCGAGCGTCAAAACAGAAGAAAAAACTCGCCAGTTGGAAAACATCTCCGACATTGAACATATCACGCTTATTTTTCTCATTCTTTCGTATAAAAATCTTTATAAGAATGTAAAAGTTTGTTACTTTCTCTGAATTTATGCGTCTGAGAATTAATTGTAATCGACGTTCACACAAACACACACACACACACACACTGCAATAGAAAATTCAACAATTATAAAACCATATAATCCAAAATGGATAGAATGAAGTTGTGCCAGATAATTTCTTGACTGCGATAATTCTTCATCTTCTATAACTCCATACAAAAAGTTACGCTTACTCACACCCTATAAAATCAATCAAGCTGTGTACACGCGCGGTGTTTATGTACACAATTATGAGAGAACAGAGCTCTGCTATGGAGTCGTAGAATAAAGAAAGTAAAAAACGGCTGCAGTCAAGATTCTTTTTGGCATTATTTATCTCCTTACTCACCTCTGATCTGGTAAACAGGAATTTTTTATTGATTCCCCTTAAAGTCGCAATATTTCTCTATAATATTTCCTCTTTCCACATCTCCAACTGAATTTCTAACTGAAGGCCCGATTCAGTTTTGCATTTCAGTCAGTAAATTTGGCTGAAATAGACCGATCCGGAAAAATCCGAAGGTGTGGATTTGAACTCGGGACCTTTCTGCTCGTAACATCCGCAAAACTAGTGAGCCGGTTCACCTCTGATAAATAAATAAAGTATTGTAGGGTTAGATTATTAGGTTAGGTTAGGTTAGGGTTAGATTATTATCAAACTCTTACCAAAGTTTTTAATTTTATATAATTCATCTCACTTTGATAATTGTAGTTTTTTTAGAATTAATTACTCAATTAACTTACTTGTATCTGCAGGCGATCTTTTCAAAATTATATATATAATTTTCTTCTTTGCTTAAGTAGCGCGTTGCTCTTTCGCAGGAAGAATATATGCCAGACTCTGGGATTAGCTAGTACTGAGATTATTGGTGTATTTGTTAAGACACCAAAAATTGTCCAAGAAATCAAGAAACATCAAAATCTGAATACTTATATTTGCGATGACACACACATTTTGGCGTTTCAGCGCCAAAAAATCGTGAAAAACTCAATCCTCATGACAGCTCCGTTGCTTTAGCGCTGTTTTCTTGCCATTTACCCTCCGCTTTTCACCAATCAACGCTCGGTGTCAAAGCGCCGGTGTGTGTCTGCATGAGGATCCAGCCGCAATCTTCTCTCTGATGTAATCAACATTAGTCACAACACGTCAAACACATCGTCGGACACTGTTGGACGTTGAATATTATTGCTTGGTATTCAATTGTTTATACGGTATTTGATCCTTATACACAACAAAAATCAACAATGGTAAGGTGATTTTTTATATTACGTGATTTTATATGTAATGATTGTTTCATTGAGATCGTTCTGCTTTTTTGTGTGTTAAATATAATAATATGACAAATGCCGAATGTGCGTTAATCTCTCTATATCTTATCTCGTATCTTGTTTACTTATCTTGTGTCTGGAAAATAAATTTGTTGTCAGCACGGTCGAGTTAAGGTGCGTACTACGGCAGAACAAGAGGCTATAAAGAAAAAGGAAAGAGCAGCTAAAGTCGCTCAATACAAAGCTGACATTGCTGTAGTATTTCAAAAGGTTTTTTTTTGAATTGTTACTGTAGATGACGTAACACACACAATTTTCACATATGCAATTTATTGTATCACTGACATTTCAGAGAAAAGATAAGATATGGGACGAAGAATTGTTACAAATTACCAGACGTATAATTTTAAGTAATTCTGACATTTATACCTTGTGGAATATTCGTCGTGAAGTTTTTGAAAATAACGAATGGTAATATTTTTTTTTTTTTTTTTCAACAAAATGGTTAATCAAAAACTATAATAAAAATTGATTTGCTAATGAAAAAACAGGAGCGAAGAAGATCATCAGCAACTGCTGGAGAATGAAATGAGCTTGACTGAAAGCTGTCTCAGAGAGAATCCTAAATCGTACTGTGTATGGCATCAAAGATGCTGGGTGATGGAAAGAATACGTGATCCAGATTGGAAAAAGGAATTGGCGCTATGTGCAAAATGTCTAAATTTAGATGAAAGGAATTGTTAGTATGGTACATCTTTTTGTGTGCGCTTACAATACAAATTGCACTAAAAAAGATACATGCTTGATGAATATAACAAAATCGTGTTTTCCCAATAAGTCGGCGACACATTTTTTTACTATAGTTCACTGCTGGGATTACAGAGAGTTTGTTGTGCAAAAAGCTGGCATCTCTGATGAAGAAGAATTTGAATTTTCCACTACAAAAATATTGAGTAACTTTTCGAATTACTCATCTTGGCATTACAGGAGTCGAATATTGTTCAAGATGTTTGGAACTGCATCAGGAGAAATACCAATTGTAGATGAAAAATATAGAGAAGGTAAATCTATCTCATTTGATTACTCTTTGTATATAGTCTCTTATTACATCTTTTTAAAATATCTATATCAAATATTGTATTCTTCAGAACTCGATCTTGTAATGAACGCAACATTTACTGATCCCAATGACAGCAGCGCGTGGTTCTATCAACGATGGCTTTTGGACAAGGCCGTAACGACTTGCAGACTGTGGCGAGCTCAAATTAAGAAACATCGAGCTACAATTGTTATTGATAACAATATATCAATTAAGCCAATTTTACTGTCGTTAATTGTGAATAACGAGATTGTCAACGTGCAATGGGAATTGTATCCGGATGAGAAGTTTGCCAAGTTACGAATAGGAAACTTTATTAATCCGATTGAGGATCTGGATCATACTAAAGAAGTTTCTATAAAATTGCAAGACACGACATATCAACTTTCATATTCGGAAGCAGAAAGCGCATGGATTTACAAAAATAATTCAAGCTTGGGCAAAAAATATAGCAATGACGATCAATTGAGTGAACAATTACAGAGTTACAATCAGCTTTCCGAAATGGAACCAAATAACAAGTGGGCCTTATTAACTGGTTTGTTATTAATGAAAAAGATCGATTTAAAAAACTTTTATACCGACATACTGAATAAGTTGACCGTATTGTCAAAAGTCGATAATCTTCGGAAAAATTATTACAAAGATTTACGTAAGTATACATTCTTCTATTTTTAATATTAATTGGTTCTTTTGCTTCGACAAATGTTGTTCCATTATTATTTCAGAAAGCAAACTCGTGACAGAGTATAAATTACTCGAAACATGGAAAGAAGAAGACAGTTTGGCGATAGAATCGAGAATTGATTTATCGGGACTGAACTTGACCAAATTACACAACAATCACTACTTCAGCTTTTTCGAAGAAGTGAATCTCAGTGGGAACGAGTTGGAAAATTCTCTATGCCAGCTAGTTACGTTGCAAGGATGCAAAAAGCTGTCATTGTCCAGCAATGGCTTAACGTCATTGAAACGATTTCCTACTCTACGCGGTCTCGAAGTTTTGTGTATGAGAAACAATAAATTGACAAGTACAGACGAGATATTAGACTTGATAAAGCGGCACGAAAATCTAGAAAGATTAGACATACGAAATAATCTCGTGTGCGACGAGATTGATGTAGCTGAAATTCATAATATAAATCCTCGTTTGGAAGTATGTTTGAAATAACACTGAACGTTATAAATGCGCGTAAACAAATTATTTAAACTACGTTTAATAATAATTTTTTCGTGATCACTGTTTCCAATACTTTTTATCACAAAAATATTAGAAAACCAAATAAACCATGTTACCACAGAAAACTCTTACTATAATATTACTTTTCGTATTTTATTTTAATTAGACGAAAAAAAAAACTGTTTTAACATATTCATATACTTTTTATAATACTTATAAAAATGTTTAAATAAATTATAGAAAATTGATTATACATATATATATATATGAGACCTGTTCAATTTGTACAAAACGTACTAGAACAAAAGCTATTTTGAGAGCTTTAGAAGTATAATCTGGTTTTTTTCCAACTTACATTTCAAGATCAAAAGAGCATGTCTCGATTTCTTCTATCGAATGTTCGGTTGCAGACTCGAAGTGTACCGCTTACGCGAACCACAGCCCTAGTGAAGTTTTCTATTTAAATACTTCTAACATAAATAATATTTAAATTACATCGACTTTTTACCATCAACACTACATATTTTGATAATTGTAATTGGAATAGTTGTCCGAATCCAAGTTTGCTGGGATAATAGATGAGTCGCCTGTGTTGCACGGAATTGTCGGTATGTTCGATCCTTGAATCGTGAAGCCGTGATAATCTTCGACGCTGATCGGTTTCAGAGCGGGTGGCAGATTTGTTTCGGGTGTCGGACACTCGTCTAATAAACTATCTGTCATATGCCTTTTGAAAATCTGCGTTTCTCCAGATGCGAGATCGGACTGAGTGTCCAAACTAATGAGACTAGTTTCGTCCTCGCCTTTGCTAACTTCCAGACTATCGTCGCCTATGAAAGATGGGAAGTCGAAAGTTGGCGAAGGCGTTACGGAATCCTCCACTAACGATGTTCTCATTAAATCGCTTGACAAATCCGTCATTGCGCCGTCAGTTGTATCGTTGGTAGAATGCGGATATATCTGTCGAGAAAATGTTTCAATATATTCATACAAAGAATCGTTTTTTTTTTTTTTTTTTTTTATGAAATAAGAAATTGTAAATAATCCACTTTTACCTGTGGAATAATTGAGGCGGCAACTGATAACTTTCGACATCCTCGCTATCCAAATTAGTAGGCACTCTCTGACTGTGAGATATCAGTAACGGCGTTCTTTCGATCACCTTGCTCACGTCTTCTTTGATCTTCTCTTTAAAATTCATCATCTTGTTCTTAAGTTCTTCCGCTTGTTTTATGATGTCCATATTTTTTGCTTGTAAATCGTCCAGTAGAGTTATGTCCTCGCACATAAAGTGCAAACTCTAGAATAATTGAATTTCACAAATTATTGTCTGTTGACACGCATACTGATCGATCTTTGTGGAGAGCAAAAGATAAATTATTACTTCGCATATCATAAGAGCCGACTCCCATGTGTTAGCCGGTACACATTCACCTGACATGTATGCATTGAAATCTTTTTCGGCTATATTTAAAGATTCCGCAGTCAAGTTTTCTATGAACGACACCGCGCAACACTGCAATATTAATCGAATAAAAGTAACGGGAAATGAGATTTTTCTTATAAAAATAACATCTGAGACAAAAACACAAAACAACTCATGTATATTGTATACCAGATTTGTGAAGTAATATCCTCCTTCTCCAGTCATCAATCTGCTGGCATTGCAGAATCTTGTAATAAAATTGATATTGCTCTTGAGACGCGCGGGATTGGCTTTTAAAACGATAAATATGAGCGCCGGAAGAAATTCGTCGGCAGATGCGGGACCGTCAACCGACTGTTGCAGCAGTAAAAATATATTTCTGCAGCAATGAATAACACATGCCAATTTTTCTTGGGGTGCCTTAGCAGAATCCATATTTAAGAGATCTGAAGAAATTTTACATCGTACAATACATGTAAAAAAATCAAAGTGTGTGTGTGTACAAATATTTCTCAATAATTAATAATATAATTAACCTGTAATGGATGTGTAAACAAGTTCTCTAACTTCCGAGCTTGTCTCGTGAATTCTACATTCCAAATTCTTGCCACTCACCCAATTTAACTGTCGTATCCTATCAGATAAATAATTACACAAAACGTATACATAATTTGACAAGGCAATATATAATTGTTTTACATATCATTTTCACATAAATAGCTTAAGATATCTAAACAAACCTCTTTTGTATAGCTAAGTCTTTCTCCTCGTCTGTTGTAAATGGCGGGCAAAACAGAATTCTATATAACAAAGTCATTGCGTATCTTTCTACGTAATCCAATAACTTTTCTTTAATTTCCACGGGTATATCTGTAAACAACATAAGTCAATTTTTTTTGTTATCATTTCTTCCAAAAGTACAAAGATATTGTAAACAATAATATCCCAAAATTAAAGACCTGCATATTTGGTGCTGTTCTCCAGACGTTTTCCAAACACGAGATAAAAATTCTGTGTAATTTCCGACAGTTCCTCTATCCTTTTCACATCTTTATTCTGAAGAATGTCCAATACAAACGAATGTATGCACTTTCTCACATCCTTCTCTACCAGAGTTTTAGATATGTACATTAACAACTCTCGATTTTCTGATTTAACTTTTTCAAGATCCGGATTGTCCTTCAACAACTCGTGATACAATTCCTGATAACCCTGAACTAGAACACACATTGAAAAATCCTCTCAAAACGATTTAACTTGAGGATATCCTGTGTTATTTACTGACAATTTGATAAAAGCATGTATGAAATACCTTTTGTGACCGGTTTTCTAAATGAGATATTTAATAACTTGTACTTTTTCTCTTGCTGCACCTTCTTCTCCTCGTAATACTTGTGACCGCTAGCATTTGTTGATCGATTAGTACTATCCCTGAAAAAATTAACGCACAATTACACGCGAGAATAATAAACTCATTTGTACACAAGTTGAAAAAATATTACGTGTCCGGCAATTGCGCGTGAGACACACGCTCAGCTTGGGCCCGACGTTTTTGTAAATGTTCGCGATGACATTTGCTGCAATATCCTTCCCATTCCGCGTTACCGTAGAATCCGCATCCGTTTTTGCATTTTAAATCCGCCTCGTCGATTCGAAGAGTCGGAGTCTTTGTGGAATACATGCTGCTTTTGCGTGACGAAAGTATATATAAAACATACGTCGAGACGCAAAAAGCTTTGCTTTAACAGCAAAAGATCCGGAATCTCCGGAACTAACTTCTAACTTAGCGTAACCCTAATTTCTATCGAACATTTAAGCTCTCACAAACACTTAACGTTTGTCGTAACATTATTTGCTATATGAAAAACAGACATCGTTTTTTTTTTATTGCTCTCGTAGTCATCAAAAGACAATTTTGCAAGTAGTTCAATATCACTGTTGAATCAAGAGGAAGACGTACGAAATCGTACTCGCATACGTCAAAACAGAAAGCGAACTACAGGCATAAATTTATCACAAGATTTACATGTTCTTGAACTTGTTCCCGTTCTCGCGAACGCCGCGATGTCCACGTATCGCGCGTATGAATTTCGTATTACGTAGTAAACGGTGCAAGAACGTCAAGAAGTTCAGACAGTGCAAGAAGTTCAGTTAAAAAAAGAATAGGTCTGTGTTGTCAGTTGTCACATGCGTTCTCCCGCTTGGTGATCAGGTTATAAGATTTTTGGTTTATTTATCTTTTTGGAGTTTTCAAGAGCCACGAAAAAAGTCAAGTCTTTTTTATTTACAGTTTGTAAAATATTTGTGCTTCTGGTTTTTGTAATTTCATTCATTTATAATGAATCCTTTAACGTAAGTATTACTGTAAATTAAATACATATGTATATTGTGTGTGTGCATATAATAAAAATATAAGAAATTGAACGTATAAATGAAGGCAATTGAAAATGTATATAAAATTGTTAAATTACATATAATATTATTTTTTATCAGTAGCTAATGTAGTTTTGTGCACTTTTTATTTTTTATATTTTAAATTTAAATTATTTTAAATTATTATTTTAAATTTAACCATAAAAATGTTTGATTGATCAAATACAGGACATATGATACTTATTATTGGATGCTAAATAGTTTACATTTTTTTCAGTAATGTCAAAAACATTAAAAAGCTTACTGAGAAAGAATTACAATACAGTAATAAAACATCTTGGCACGATCAGTATAAAGACAGTGCTTGGATTTTTATCGGTGGTCTACCGTATGACTTAACAGAAGGTGATATTATTGCAATATTTTCACAGTAAGTAAAATTTTTACTTATAAAAGTATATATATATATAACAATCTGTGCTCATACAGCACTAACTACACATCTAAAAAAACAAATATATTATAGATATGGTGAAGTGGTTAACATAAATTTAATCAGAGATAAAAATACTGGAAAACAAAAGGGATATGGTTTTTTGTGTTATGAAGATCAAAGAAGTACTATACTAGCAGTTGACAATTTTAATGGTACAAAGGTATGTCTTTTTTTTTTTAAGAAAAAGTGTAAAATAATATGATAAGTGATAATTTATTTCTTAACAAATGTTAAACATACAGTAAAATAGTAATGGCTTTACCAAATGTGAGAGAGTACATCATAAGTTGTTTCAACAGTGTAGTAATATTTATTACTTCTGTATGTGTGACAAAAATTGTTCATGTAAGACGTATGCGTTTAAAAAGTATCTCATTTAAAAAAAATGACCTGTGTTACAGATTTTAGGTAGAGTAATACGAGTAGACCATGTTGCCAATTACAAGGCACCAAAAGATTCTAAAAACATAGATGAAGAAACGAAAAAATTACGGAAAGAAGGTTGTGCTCCGAGAAAAAATTGAGTAAAAATGTACGTATACACACACAAAATACGCAAACTTTGTGAAAACGTGCTGGTGTACTTAGACGTTATTCAAATGTATTACTATGTATTAAGTTTACACTTAGTCTCAATGAAATATTTTGTGAACAATAATTTTGTTAATTAGAAGTAACTTGTTATTACGAGTTTACGCTCTTTAGTGTTACATCTGAGTTTGCTCAAGTTCTATGATATTCTTATTACACAGTCTCATTTTTTAATTTGATTTTCCAAGTCTTGGTATAAGTATGCGGGGAAATGTAAGATTTTACGGAGGATTAAGAAGCCTTTTCCAATTTTTTTAAGGAACGTAATATTAGAATTAATTGTGCCGACACAGGAGCGACAAAACTTGTCAATTGTTCAAAGTATTATTTTTTAGCCGAATGATATCAAGATGAGCCAAATTCGCTCATCCACTTCTCATATTTCTCCAAATCCTCTTGGGACACACTTTTGTTACATCTCTCGACAGCTTCGTCGAAATCTGCAGCTGACACAGGTAAATCCAGTTCCTCTTTTGGTAATTGCCTTATCTGATCCGGTCTCAAACCTGCTATCTTCTTTCGCATTAACATCATAGACGCGTCTCTAAATTAATAAATCACAAATTAAAATAAGTTTTAAATAATATTGTAAATGAAAAAAATACTGTAATAGTAGAAATCTACTCGCCTGCACACATTTGTAATATCCGCGCCAGAATAACCTTCGAGTTTTCTTGCAATATCAGCCAGATTTACAGACGAATCAACCTTGACTTCTCGAAGATTTATTCTTAACAATGCTTCTCTGCCTTCGTCTGCGCGCACAACGCAAAAAATGCACAAATATAAAGTATGACAAAAAGTTTGAATTATTTTTATATTTCAACAAAAACAAGTCTCGAAGTCTAAGAGTAGAACTTACGATTAGGTAATGGAATGTAAATGCGTTTCTCTAGACGTCTTCTTAATGCTTCATCGATATCCCATGGGAAATTCGTTGCTGCTAGCACCATTACTACTTTACTTGGATCTTCGCTAAAAATTAAAACAAGAATATTTCGTAAACATCGCATTGTTACAATCGCAATCAAAATTACACATTCGTTTTACCTGTTAGAACTTATTCCGTCCATTTGAACAAGAAGCTCGGATTTTACGCGACGCGAAGCTTCGTGTTCCGATTCAGATCCTCTTCTCGAGCACAAGGAATCAATTTCGTCAATGAAAATCGTACTGGGTGCATAAAATCTAGCCTGTGTGATATAAAAGGTTCGTGTAAAATTTACATCTAAGTATTGCAAATAGAGCATTTATATAAATTGTCTTCTTTCAGCTTGACAATTGTTGCGACTTTGTTTTACCATTTCAAATAAGAGTCGAACTAGTTTTTCCGATTCACCCCTGTATTTCGATGTCAATGTCGAAGAGGAAACATTAAAAAATGTTGTGCCACATTCCGTTGCAACAGCCTTTGCAAGCATGGTCTTGCCCGTACCTGGTGGCCCAACCATAAGCACTCCTTTCCAAGGTCGTCTTATACCCTAAAAAACGTAACATGTTACATTATGACATTTTGCGATAAATATTGAAGACCTTATATACCTTAAAGAAATCTGGCATCCACATTGGAAGCACAACCGCTTCTTCTAGCAATCGTTTTGCTTCGTGTAAATCTGCTATATCATCCCAATGGATATTTGGGTTTTTCTGAACAATATCTCTTTCTGCAATGATAAATGTTTTACTTATATATAAATGTTTTGTTCATCAGTTTTGTAGTTTTATGACAAAAACAATGATGATGAGCGCGATAGAAACATTACCCAATATTTCTACAAGTTCTTTGTCAGCAGAAGATGGTTCGAATTTACGTTCTTCTAATTCAATATCATCTTTTTCCGTTTCCGATTTGTCCTGCAATTTGATAATTGATTTATATTATTATTTTTTTCACAAAGTCAGTATAAACTTAAAATATAAATCATGTAACAATCAATTAAATAACCTTGTTTGTGTCATCTTTCTTTGCAGTTTTCTTATCATCCTTTTTAGCAGTAGTCTTATTGTCTGGCTTCTTAGATGTACTAACAGATTTTCTAGTATTTATTCGATTTTGTTGTTTTGGTTGAGCCTTTTGTTGCCTTGAATTTCTAAAAGAGTCATAGTGTTACACTTCTATAGGAAAATTCTGTTAAAAAAAACAAAAGAGTAAACAGTCCAATGTATTAGGTCAAATTAACATAGCGGGGATTAATAAAACTGAAGTAACATATTCTGGTGTTATTAAGTACTTTTGCTCCGACGGAGCTAGAGGAGACCACACATCAGGATCTCTAGCTGGTGTCTGGTTCCAAGTGGGATCTGAGTTACTGTAAGACCACAAAGCAGGATCTCGCGTTGGTTCTTCAAACGGCAAACAGGATGTTCCTGCAATTTTCAGACTTGTATATTATCACAACTTTGTTCTGTACAATTCTGCACAATTGTTTTCATCTTTATTATATTACCAAGAAGTCTCTCTCCGTGCGTGTCCACTTTAAAAAGTTGCAATGTATTAGATATGGCTTTTACTTTCTCAAACTCCGCGACAATTTGATGTTGTACAATTTGCCACTTTGCCTTGCGAGTTGTGTCCGCTATCGTTGCGAGCAATCTGTGTATTTGTTGCACCACTCCTTGATAGTAAACGCCAGATGTGTCGTAGTTTCCCGTCAATGCCATCTCACGCGCAAGTTTTGTGTTCTCACAAATTTCGTTTATTGACACAGCCATGACGTTGTCACACGGCAGTTGTGCTTTCAAACTACACGGGAGAACGATACAATTTTTTGCAATAGTTCGAAATATTCACCACATTCGACTGTGTGACAAGTTTTTTATACAAAATAAGTTTGCTGTTGTAGCGACTGGTAGGCCATTATTTATACAAAGGTAAATTTTTGTCAAATCGTTCACGCACGTTGGAAACGTAAAATTTCGTCGCGAATGTTTAGAAGAAAATGACAATTTGTTTTTCTTAACGTTCTTCTTGTTTGTTTTTTTTTTTTTTTTGCTTTCTACGGTTAGATTACCTTAGCCAATGTAAAAGTAGCATAAGTCGATTTTTAGTCGAACTTTGATCGGACTGTTATTTTGTTGGAATTGACCAATCACATCGGTCGATTAACTTGATTCATGTTTTGTGATGGACTGATCGTTGTGTTAGTTTGATCAAAGAGTTGATTACAACAAACGACTTGGATCAATCTCTCGATATTGGGGACACAAGATAAAAAGGATTAGGATAGTTTTATAGGTTATATCAGCGAGGCCAATCAACGTGTCGCTCTTTCGAATTCTTCGAAATGGAGAAACGTTGAGTTTCTCGCGAGCGTTATCATAACTAATATATCATATCATCTACAAATAGTTTGGTCATACATTATTTTGTACGCGCAGTATGTGGACTTTTGTCGAAGATATTTTTTATTATCTTTTTTCCGATTGCGTTACATCGACACGTTGGCACAAGTAAAACAATCTGCGGTAAGCATCTACTTGTGACACAGTAATTTAAATTTCATAGTGTATATTGTTATTCATCGGAATATATTAGAATACATTATAGTTAGTATAAAAAAGATACAGTTAGTATAAAAAAAGGCGATTATTCTTTTGTGTCTGAATGTACGTCTCTGCTCTCGCTAGTTGCTTTTCAGTAGTGATTCAGCCAGCTGACATGATACCACGAGTGTGCAAGAGACAACTTGGTCATATCATGAAAAACGCAACGATGGTAGTAGGAAAGAACTATGCAACGGCGCAAATAGCACCGCTCCAGCAAGCTGCATTGAAGGAACGTTGTATACTTCTGGACAAGCTGGACAGATCTATTGGCGAGGCTACTAAGGAAGTATGTCACGAGATCAATGCACAAGGAACCGTACCTCTCCACAGAGCATTCAGTGTCTTTCTATTCAATGACAAAAGAGAATTGTTGCTCCAGAAACGGTCTAGCAGCAAGGTAAAAATTTCACATCTTATATTTGTTACATTCCAAAAAGTGTAGAAAAAAAAAAACTGAATTCTCTTAATGCTGTATAATATTATTTTTATATTTCTGCAAACAGTATATATAAATTTTAATGTTTCAAAGAATATGCACACATGTATGTACGACACTCCTTACGTAATACACATATTTAATTTATTTTACATCCAGATAACATTCCCGAACTGTTACACAAACACCTGCTGCAGTCATCCGTTGGCAGAGATTCCTCAGGAGACCGAAGAGAAAGATGCCATGGGTGTACGCAGAGCTGCAATAAGACGGCTCAATTACGAATTGGGCATACCTACCGATGAGATCAAACCTTTCGAATTGTTTTATTTAACGAGAATCTATTACGAAGCAGTTAGCAACGATCGTTGGGGCGAACACGAAATCGATTACGTCCTGTTTCTCCAAAAGAAAAATATCACTATCGATCCGAATCCTGATGAAATCAGCGAGGTTCGATGGGTGTCTAGATCTGAAATAGATAACTTTGTGAAGACTGTATCGCCCCTGACGCCATGGTTCCGCTTGATATATCAGTACAAATTGCTGGACTGGTGGGACAATATACACGACTTGAGCAAGATGCAAGATCTGGATAACATAATTGAGTTGTCAGTTTAATACATGCGGATATGCTGGTTTTATTCTCAAAGCGAAACTTTGTGTACTCGCACGTTTTTCACGTACGGGGAAGATATGTTGGGTACACATGAATCGGTTTGTATCTCTCTCTCTCTGTATTTTTTTTTTTTTTTTGGATTATTTTGTATATGTATATTTCTGTAAATTTCGCAATTGAGAAGTTTTGTGAGAATGAACAAATTTTTTTTTTCATAGAAAAAAATGAACATGTACAACTTGTATTTAAATTTATAATCGTCTTTCAAGTTTTAAAAATCATACATATACATATGTGTATATGTATATGTATATGTGTATATATACATTGATATGTATATTATATATGTATGTGTGTTTACATTTCTGCATACTTGCTACGGTAATGACTGCTAGAATAAAAATAGAATTAATCAGTGATGATGAAACACTGATTAATTCTATTTTTATTTTAAAACATTCAATCATTTGATAAAAAATTCGACAAAACATCAACTTTGACATTTTATTGTTCGCCTTTATCTCGGCTTCCGCGCGCATCTACATATATGTATAGTAAGCAGTGACTGCTCACATACGTAATATAACTTGAGCAGAGAGAAGAAAAAATTGCAAAAAATTGTATATTTCCTTAAATAATGTATGTGATTAGAAACCAAATATATAATACTATGTGAGTAGAAACTAAAAACTACACATTGTAAGTGTAAAAACCAAAATCTATTACTCTGTTTTGTGTTTCACATTTAACTTCTTCCAAAGCCGCGACCGCTCAATTGAGAAATCAGTATTTGCTTGCTAATATTATCGTCTCATTGTTTTATGTTCTTGTAAAACAAAAACCAATTGACTATATCAAGCTTCACCCGTTTGCTTAACGAGCGACTTTGTGCTATTTTATTTTGTCAATTACCGGAACTGAAGAAGCTGTGGGTTGTAGGTATGCGCTCATTTAACCGGACGCCTGCTTGAAGCGCCAATTATTCGGATGTCTTAATCAGTGCGTTATTCGTTGCGTCAATGTCAGAGATATATATATTAATATTTACGGTGGTAGGAAAGGGCGCTCATATAATGACGTAACGTGTACAGGATGTTTAGAAATGCGCGAGAAATAAATTATTTTTATGTAATTAGTTCACAAATTAATTGCAAATTGTAAGGTAGTTGCACTTTTGTAGGTACTGTAGATAGTTTTCACGCGAAATTATTATAAGAGTGTGAAAGGTAACGTTGATTAATAAATAATTAAATATAATAAAATTAATAAATTCGCGTACGTATCGAGATTGGACCATCTTTTCAAGAAGAAATATTGCGCGCAAAATATATTAATTATAAAATTAAAAAAAAAAAACATCCTCGTATATGTTTACAGAAACTGCTAAATGTATCACTGTTTCAGCAAATAAATCATCTTAATTACATAAATTTGAGATTTTATGATTTAATTATAACTTTACGAAGTTTTATTGATTTTTATTTTTAGATATCTAAAAAAGAGATTTTCAATCTGTATTCTGTGTGGGCGAGAGTTATCCGTGACACGCGTCGCTTTACCAGGATAACTCTCGAATAAAAGTGCGACCGTGTAAAACAGGACACCGCGCGGAAGTGCCTTTGCGCACTTGCGTTACCACATTTCCTAAATTCTACGCGTTCGTGAGCCGCGAGAAATTAAACAAGTGAAGAAAATATAGGACGTAAGATGAGAAGCCAACCCAGTTTATAACAAACGTTATCTTCGTCACCGCCGCAGCGATTAGTGTACCTTCCCTTCCCTTTTACGTGATCCATTCATGAGATGCGCATCTTTGTGGGTGGACTATATAAACGTGTTTGTGTCTTCCCTTTGTGCTTCTGTGTTTCGCAGGAGTTCGTTGATACATATCGCGGCATATTGACAATAATAATGCTTTTCTTCTTTTGTATGTTCGCGTTGAATACCGTCAACGAGTGACGCGCGAGAAAAAAAAAACAAGAAGAGACGCGAACGTGTTGTGAAGTTCGTTCTTTTTTTTTTTTTTTTCCAAAAAAAAGAGATTATCAAAAACGATTTTCGCAACAATGGTGTGTTCAACGGTAATTTGGAATAGCATGCTTGTGTTATGCTTTGCTTTGTTGTTCAAAATCGCATCGGGTTTGTATGAAACGGCGCCGCACATAATAGTCTTCATTGCTGACGATTTGGTAAGTTTATTGATTCCCATAAAATTGGCTGAGATCGCGCAACAATAAGAGAAATAAAATCATACAAAGATTCATTCGCGTCTGACAAGAATTTAAAAAACAAAACACATTTTACTTGCAAAAAATCATATACCTAATATATACGTAAGATTTACCGGAACGAAACAAATATGTCGTTTAAAATGTATCTTATCTTATCGTATTAATTTTCAAAGAATGCTCGAGTCAGGTATTTAAAATTATTATTAACTTTGCGCGCGATGTAAAATGTAAATGAAAGCGATTTAAATCACAAAGAACGAGCAGAGCGTATGAATATTAATATATGTCTGTATTTTTAATCAAACAATATCAAACATTTCGATTCATATTCTGAGACTGTGTCTTTATATCGAAGACAATGTTTCAAAATTAAATTTTCACATATCGCAACGTGAAAAATACATGTGTATTAGATACATCGATGAAAAGATCTCACGTTAGAAAAATTATTTTTTTTTTTCGCAGAGAATGTTTTATTTTTGAATCTAAATGTAAAAATTCTACTCGATCAAACTAGCGTGATTTGATGTAAAAAAAAAAAACCATATTTGTCTAACATAAATTATATTTGCGGAAACTACGTTACTTGCTTGTAAGCTTAATTCGATTTGATCAATTTGCACTAAAGTACATCGTAGATTAAAATTATCCTCTTACTTAAGTTAATTATTGCGTCTTACGTACTGTCTACGCCTCTGCGATCAACAAGTACGTCACGAATTGTGACTCATTCTACTATTCTGCTGTTTAACGAGTACTAATTCTTGCACATCAATTACAATTCGGTCACGTAATTTTTATATATGTTAAATTAAATTTCCGGCGCACAAACGTGTGTAACCGTGAAAAAAACACTCTTCCCTTTTATGCGTTTATTTTTTCAGGATGTCGTAATAAAATTGTTTGCAGAAGGGAATATTTTCTATAAAAAAAAAAAAAAACATCAGATTGTTGTTAACATTAATTAACGATGTATATAATGAAGTATATAGAGGGAATGGCGTGAGAGAATAGCGTTCAACATTTTTTAGGGATGGAACGACGTCAGTTTTCACGGCTCGAATCAGATACTAACTCCGAATATAGACGCTCTGGGATACAACGGAATTATATTAAACAGGCATTACGTCCTGCCGTCCAGTAGCGCTTCCAGATCCGCCTTCTTTACCGGACAGTATCCGATTCGTCTAGGTGGGCGATATCATCCTTTTGCGTAATAATATATAATATTTATCTATAACAAAATCTCATCTGATCTTCTTAGATGTTATGCAAAAAAAAAAAAAAAAAAAAGAACAAAGCTATTATATAGGTACATTTGCGATTGCGATTTGAGTAGGTATGCAGGGAAGAGGTATAGACGGTGGCGAGCCTAGGGGACTTCCTCTCAACGTGAGGATTCTACCGGAATACTTGCGAGATCTGGGTTACATGACAAAACTGATCGGGAAGTGGCACGTGGGCTATCACACTCCGCTGCACATCCCTCAGCATCGGGGTTTTGATTTGGTTCTCGGATTTTACAACAGTCACATATCGTATTATGATTACAAATACACGTATAAGGTTTAACGAGAGTCACACGAGAATTTTTGTTGTCACATACTTGAGTTTCACGTACTTATATAAAGTTAATTTTTTTTCTTTGTTTTAACAATTGGTTTTGCTGGTCTTATTTTATCAGAATATGAGCGGATACGACATGCATCGCGGCGATACGCCGGCCTACGATATAACCGCTAAGAAATACGTGACGGATCTTTTCACCGACGAGGCGTTACAAATCATTCAGGATCATCAACCGTATCGACCGCTCTATCTTCAGATTTCGCACCTCGCTGTTCACGCGCCCATCGAGAGTCCGCGCGAGTACGATTACGATCGTGATAAGCAGTTTATGCACATCAGAGATCCGAATCGTCGCAAGTACGCTAGTACGTAGTATGGGATTGTGAAAAGTCAAAATAACACGTGATTCGCTCGCCAACAATTATTAAATTTATTGTTATTTTATTTTCGTTTAATTTTTAGGAATGGTATCGCGACTAGACGATTCCGTCGGACGAATCGTTCACGCTCTGGGTGACAAGGGAATGCTGAAGAATTCGTTGGTTCTCTTTCTCACCGATAACGGCGCAGCGCCTATTGGCAAAGACATCAATTACGGTTCTAATTACCCTCTACGAGGTGTAAGCGCATTTTAACAAGCTACGCACAAATAGTAAAATTTACACACCACCTACGTGAATATTTGTTACGGACACAGTTTTTATTTATTTTTTTTATTGAATTAACGGGAACAAAGTCCCGTGAGTGAATATACAGAAAATAAAACAAAAATTAAATAAAAACAAGTATCGGTAATTATTTTAAATATCGATAGTAATTGATTCCGATTGCAGATGAAATACACTTTGTACGAGGGTGGTGTGAGAGGAGTTGCCGTGCTGTGGTCACCGAGACTGAACAAAGCGGCGCGCGTATGCGACAATCTGATACACATAACCGACTGGTTACCAACCCTCTATTTCGCCGCTGGGGGTGATCTTCGAGACTTGGGAACGATCGATGGGGTCAATCAGTGGAACATGCTAAGCGAGGCTGGTAAAAGTACCCGCGACAAGTTGCTGCTGAACATTGACGAGGTCACGAAAACCGAAGGCGCTATATATAAACAGTTCAAACTTGTTCGGGGTGTGTGCACACACGCGATGTAAAGTCTCGCAAAATCTCGGCGAATAATCGTATTTTGAAAAAAAAAAAAAATCTCTCGTCTCTTTGTAGGATCGATCGAGGGCGGTCGTTACGACGCGTATCACTCCGACCATCACAAATACGAGAGACTCATGCCGCAGATGTATTCAAAGAATTACGACAGAAAAAGCGTCGAAGAAGAAAACGTGCCGACCTACACCGACATCGTTCTGAAGAGCGCGGTGTCGCAGAGCATCACGTTTCATCTGGGTGGTCCGGTCACTCAACCCAGCACCATGACTCGATTGAGAAGCGAAGCTACGGTCTATTGTCAGCCCAATATCACTAATTATCATTACGAAGACACCTTCGTCACGTGCAACGTCACCGAGTGTCTCTTTGACGTCAATAACGATCCCTGCGAGACGAAGAACATCGCCGAGCTGTATCCGAGGGTGAGGAAATATATACCGGACTGACGTTGAATCGATTCAATGTAATCAGCTGAAAATAACTTTTTCGTTTCTTTAGATGGCTCAGGAACTGGACCGATTTCTAGAAACGTACGGGCGCAACGTTACGAGGCAGATCAAAGTTCCGGTGGACTGGATAGCGGATCCGAGAAGGTCAAACAACACCTGGGAGCCGTGGATCACGCAGGATGATACGTTGTACATGTACAACGCAACGACCTGTCTGGTTTTAGCGTACTACATTCATATCGGGATCGTCCTCGCGACGATTACATATAACGCTTTTATCTGAGAAATTAGAATGTAAACGCGCATGCATTAAACAACTGATACCGCAATCTTGAACGATTTATTAGCTCGTGAAACTAGTTTCTATGTAAGTATCACGAAGTAATAAAACACTTCCACTCTCTGATGTTATTACTTTTTAAGATATATAATTATCGGCGAAAAAGCTTTTCAGAGTATAAGCGCAGAGTATATGCGCGGTAAAATGGATACATTCACGGTAACAATTAATTAATTAATTAATTTTTCGTGACGTTTTTGGTTTTGGTTCTAAATCTTCTTCAGCGATTTATCTAAAAATCGAGTACATAATGTGATTACTTCCTTTTTTTTACGCAATTTATTCTAATGTAAATTTAAGATAAAAATTCAAGATTATGATATAAGATTTCAAGAAACGGACAATGTCATAAAAACGTTGGTGCAATAATAGAGTATTATTTTCGGTTGAGCACTGTCACAGATGTTGAACTCTTGATCTTCTGACGAATTACATACATATGTATGATGACATTCAGCTGTTTTGTCGTCTCGTCACATATTTTAGCGATGTCGCATTAACAAATTTATTTGTCAAACGTGCGATCAGGACCGTGCAAAGACATTTGTGACTCGACGCAACAGCGTTTTTTTTCTTTTTTTGAAAAAAATATTGTTGTTATAAAATTTTCGTCTGCATTGATTTTCAAACAATATTTAATATTTTAATGAAAAATAATTTGAGATAAAGAATTTTTTTGTATCGGCAAAAAATGTTACTTTTTGTTGTATTATCGGTTATGCAAAACCGATGCGGTAAATATTGTTTAGTTTTTTTACACATACACATTTTCGATACATCAACTTTTTAACAATATTTTTTATAATCCAATCAATAACAACCTTGTATACAGTGAGCATCAGACTTTCGCGCTGAATACAGCATGAGGGTCGAAGAGTGAAGAGGAGTGGCTTCCTTTCTCCAGTTGTTAGTAACGCCAATGAACGTCTTAAACCGATTAATTATATCGCTTGTTTAAAAAACACTGAGTCAATAATAAAACGCAGTTGATAATTAGGAAGATACATACATATCAGTAAAAAATAACGATAATAATATATAATAACTTAATAATTTAATGTCAATTGAGCGCGGATACGCAGTTCGCACAACTACTAGCTTATTAGGAGATAAATCTAGTAACTAATAGATCTTTGAAGCGCGCTGCTGGTAAATCGCAGATACATTACTATTAGATGACCGATCGGTGCGAAGTGTTATCTGTATAAGCGTGTGTTTTGTTAGCGAATAATATTGTATAATTTTTAATTATTTCCATATTATATGTATTAAGACAAGTAATAAAGTTAATTTTAAACGTTTTTATTGTATTTTAAAAAGAAAAAAAAATTTTTATATGTTAGATAGAAACTTTACGTGCATAAAGTTTATGTAAAGTATAACGCGTAGTGGAATTTTATTATTTTTTTAATGAATTATTTTATGTAATTTATAATAATAATAATAATAATAATCTAACGCTGCAATAATTTGTACATCACCAACGGTATGAAAAATGTATAAACGATGTAATTTGAAGAATTCAATTAATTTAACAACTTTCTTTTTAACGAGCACCCCATAGACTTCGAATTTTAAACTGGAACTTGTGCTCGAGGTAACGAACTCGCGACGCTTACAGACCTAACTGACACTTCGCATACAATGATAAGTGTCGCGTAATATATTTGTTTTTAATCGCGTATACCTCGTGTATACAACGTTACATATGTAATTTATTACACACATTTGCGTACGGCTTGCCGATCGTTTTCATTCTATATCTGTATGTAAAGCAAGCTTATACGGGCTTTCGGTGATAGGTGAAGGACAACAACAATTGCTGTGGATGCATAAAATTATACGACAACTTGCTCTTGTATTTATAGTCTCGCGTCAGATGTGAAATCGAACGGTTATCGTATCGTTCGGCACAATTTTCAAACACGTGGGTGCGATATTATTTTTTTATTAGACACTCTGTTGCTTTACGTTATAATTTACGTTATAATTTACGTTATAATTTATTGTTTTACTGACTTTTACTGTATAATTATTCGAAAAAAAAAAAAACAAAATGAATGTATAAGGAAGAGTTAGATATATACATATCTCGACTACACGCGTTGCAACACGGAGACTCAAATATCAACATCCATATGATATTGTAGAAGGTCGTATGCGAATTTAATTTACGTAAAAGAATTTAAGATATATACGAATTTTATTTTCACAGTCACACATTACGAACAGAATATGTACAAGGCACTATCGTTTGTTTTCCTAACGGTTTTGTCTACCATCGGTGTTTATCGTTGGAATTACAACACTTACTCGCAGCCGCCGCACATCGTTGTTATCATCGCTGATGACCTCGTGAGAAATTACTAATTGTTCTTAATTTTTATTACTTAGTTTTTATTGTGTTTAATTTTACAGAAGCAATCTTGTTCACAATTCTATGTTCAGAAACGTTTCTTTTTATCTTTTATATAATTTTTTTTTATTACGTAAAAAATAATTCAATATATATGACATTTACGCGTTACAACAATATTGTATTGTTTTGCTGATTGAGGGATGGAACGACGTTGGTTTCCGCGGTGTCAGTGAGCTTCTTACGCCAAACATAGATGCACTCGCGTACAATGGGGTGATATTAAATCGACATTACACATTACCGATATGCACACCGTCGAGAACCGCTTTTCTCACCGGACAATATGCCATAAGAACAGGTAATCTTGTATTAATTAATCGCTTCTTTTTAGCCGGCAGCTTTTCAACGCGGTTTTCAAAAACAAAACTTTGTTTATTCGATCGAAAATAATTTAATGTTGAAAGTTGCGCGAGAAACAAACCCGGCTAAAAATTCTCGGCTCTAAAAAGTCATTTATTATTAAGATAATTAGAACGCAATTCAACGAGAACCTCGAAGTCGAGTCTTGTCGGGTACCGGATGATCCGAATAAATTGAGATATCTCGCGAGTTGTGCAATAACTCTATGATTGCAATAATCGCTCTTCGATTTACGACTTTTATGTTTTGAAACTAGACCGCGCGATAACCATTGTTATCTAATGGTAAACAAAACGAAGAGTTATCGAAAAGATTTTATCGGATGGTAGTCGTTATGTAGGGTGCTCGTGTTTAACCGCCAGATAGCGTCTGCTGTCCTCAATTCTCGTGGAATGTATAAATATGCGAATTTGATTTCAATTATAATCGCAATGTGAAAATATATTTTGAAATTTTTCTCACAATATAAAAAACTGTTTTCAAACTGTTTGTTTTTCTTTTTTTACATATATAACACAGGTATGCAAGGTTTTCCGTTGCGAGGGGCCGAGCCGCGTGGTATACCTTTGAACGTAACGCTTCTACCTCAGTATCTTCAAAGACTCGGATATGCTACTCATCTCGTGGGAAAATGGCATGTCGGTTATCACACGAGAAATCACGGACCGACTCGTCGCGGCTTCGACACGTTCTTTGGATATTACAGTGGATTCATTGAATACTTCTCCCATTTGCTAATCGAAAGTGTAAGTTTTGCTTAAGAGGGAAGCTTAAGAGAATAAAAAAATCTAAAACTGCACGCGTATCAAATTGTTTTTGTCGTGTAAATAATATAACAAATACGAGAGAGCTGAATAAACTTTCGCTGCATACGTGAGAGATGATTTTTCACAGAACCAAACTGGGTACGATTTGCATCGCATTGCGGGTGATACCGATACCGTCGAATATAGAAACGATTACGCGGTTGATATGGTGACCACCGAGGCGGAGAACATCATCTCGTCACACAATCCTGAAAAGCCTCTCTATCTGCAACTGGCGCATCTTGCGCCGCACTCCACCAGCGCTGAAGAAGTTATGGAAGTGCGCAACTGGACGGAAACGAACATCACTTTCGGTTACATCGACGATATAAATAGAAGAAAGTACGCAAGTAAGGATCCGGTGCATAAAAGTGCATCAAAAATTCCAATTTTGCATAAAATAAAAAAGTTAAGTCCCATGTTTGTTGAATTATGACTGTGAGGTGATGCATTTTTTACGCTTTTTTTTTTTTTTTTTTAATAACTGCGTTTATTTTCAGGTGTCATCGGTGCGCTGGATGAATCGGTCGGTCGAGTGATCGATGCTCTGAACAAGGCAGACATGTTGAAAAACTCGATCGTCATCTTCATATCCGATAACGGAGCGCAAACCGAAGGATTTATGCACAATTATGGATCGAATTATCCATTACGCGGGGTAATTGCACGCGGTTTTATACTAATAAAAGATAGAATTCGTTCAATTTCTTTTATTATAAATTACGTGAAATAATTTCAAGAATTTTACAGTTGAAATTGAGCTTGTTTGAAGGCGGCGTTCGAGGTGTGGCTTGCGTCTACTCAAATTTAATTGCTCATTCGTCGAGAGTGTCGAAGGAATTATTTCATATTACCGATTGGTTACCTACGTTGTATTCCGCCGCCGGTGGTAATCCGAACGATTTGAAACAATTTGATCTCGACGGTATAGATCAATGGGCCATGATCGCGCGCGCGAAACGTAGCAAACGAAAATCCATTCTCGTGAATATCGACGAGAAAGCTAACAGCGAAGCAGCGATAGTAAAGAATTACAAACTTGTTAGAGGTAACAATAATTATAAATATGAGATGAGTTTTACTAAAAATTAATTTTACATAAAACATAATATATAGATATTATATATGTAAATTACTTTTTACATAATGTAACAGATTTCTTTCACCTCTTTGTTTTTATCGAAAATTTTTTAGAGTTGAGATGACGAAAGTAACATGTACGTATTACGTACGCAGTTGCATATACGAAGGACTTATAACGCTTGGTTTTTTTTTTTGTTAACGTAGATACTTCCGACTATCACAAACATTATGGCAAAAGAGCGTATCGTGAGTACAATTTCACGAGGATATCAACGTCACCAGCCGCAACGGCTATCGCGAGTATCTCGAAATACGCATTAGATCCGACGGAAGTAAGAAGACTGCGAAACGAGGCTACGATAACTTGCGACGATTTGGCAGACGTGTCGAATTGCGCGAATCGCACGTGTTTGTTCGACGTGTACAAAGATCCTTGCGAAAATACGGACTTGTCCGCCTCATATCCCACGGTGAGATTTTTAATTATGTAATTTCATAATTTATGTTACTTCTTGTTTTGTCTGTTTTTACGAAAAAGAGAAAATTAATAGATTGAAACAATATTTCTTTTTGTATTTGAAATTAATTCCGTACAGAAAAGAATATCATTTCGTGATTAATTAACGCGACAGGGAGAGTTAACATAAAAAATAACGTCATCTTCGAAAGCTGTACAGATTTAAAGAAAGACACATCGCGCGGTAACATTGATCAGATGAAATTTATATATATATATATATATATATATATATATACACAAAACATACAAATTGTTACTCGCCATCTTTCCGGCTGGAAGTGATGGGTTTAAGAAGACGTCGTTACATTTGCAGATCGTCAAGAAATTGAGCGCGTACATTGACAGCTATAAATCGATCCTCATGAAGCAGACGAATGCACCCGTCGATCCGGCTGGTTTTCCGTACAACTTTAACGGCACTTGGATGCCGTGGCTGCCTGATACGACCGTATCAGTCGATCGACAAGACGCACTCGGTAACGAACGAAATTTCGTTACCGCGACGAGGAACAGTTCCGAGATACAAAGTGATAACGTACATATCAGCGATAATTCGGAGAACGCTACAAAAAAAGAGACAGAAGCGTAATATTATTTGATATGTATTTTGCATAAACAGAATGACAAATTACGCTTGACAATCAATCGCAATTAAAGTCGCACTTTTCGAAACTTAATTTGCAATAGGCTTTTTATTTTCAACCGAATAAGCTTTTTCTGTGAAATTTCATACGCGTTTTTTGTTTTGTTTTGTTCTGTATTTAGGAAAGAGTTTTGCATTCTTTTTAATCACAGCGGCGAACCATCCCTATATATATACATATATATATATATCCTTATTAGTAAAATAGAGCGGAGATGGGATGTGACTGTCGGGAGGGTGCAAAAAAGTTCATTGTCGGGAGGGACAAAACTGTTCTTTTCACTACGTTATTGTATAGAGATTATGCAGATGAGACGCTGCCATTGTGCGCGGAGAAGGTTGATATCTATTTAATTACCGGTATATATTTCGTATTAATTAATCGTGTTCCATGCAAATAGAGATGTAGAGAGCTTTCGGGACGTTCGCCTTGCGTTGCGACAAAACTCGCAGCTGCCTGGGTGAATCTTCCTGGGTTGATCAGTCGTGTATTGTACTAAAATTTTTATTATATCTTTGTTAAGTTAATTATACTCACTTTGACGTATCGGTTTTTATCTTTTCTTATCACGTTCTGTCCTTATCTCGCGTTATCACGTCGAAAACAGTTATTCTTCTTAAATGCTCTTTTATTCTTTACAGCTGTAGATAGCGTAGATTTTAATTTAGAGCGAAATGCGGGACCCGCGCTCTTTTCGTCGATTCTTCTTTCTCTTCGAGCTCCCGAGGCGCGGGTTTTACGGCTCATTTAGCAATTCGCTTATTTACAGGCAAGATGTCGCCGGCGCATGCACGCGTACGCGTGGCATTACGCTTTGTTTATGCGTAATCGCAGAATATAGAAGGGTGAGGTTAGAGAAGAAGAGAAGAATAAAAGAGCAAGAAGAGACGAGCGGGAGCGGATGAGAAATAGAGAAGAGGATAGGAGAGACGAGTGAAAGCTCCAAGGGAGAGAGAGAAAAGTACCGTCGCGATCTCGCGGGAAGGGTTTGGAGTTTAAGTCGCTTTTAATAACGAAGCAGCTGTCGCCAGATCTGCTTGTCCCTTTTTTATGGCCGATGTCTTCTTCGGCGAATAATGCTGGGAAATAATCCGAAACGAAGGAGTTACTTTCTCCCCTTACTCCCCTCTTTTATCTTTTTCCCCGGCTAACTTTTCCGCTAATAAAACTTTTCCGTGTCTTTAACCCCTTATTCTTGGTAACCGAGACTATTGTTCTTATCAACTCATTATGCATCGAATTGTTGCACGTATTATCTCTCTTTCTTTTTCATATTTTAAAAAATCCGGATTTTATTAAAAAATATTCTCCTATTGCGACACATTTTACTTCTCACCCGCAAAACAAAATCAGTGTTTTTACAACGTAACAATTTTATTTATTAGCGAATGAACATACGCATTGCGTTAAAACAAAACGAAGAAAAACGATGAGAGGTCATACTCGGGATCGCGCGAGAGAAAATAATTGGACAGAGACAAGTGTGTTGTTAATATACACCTAATGGGATAAAATTTATGACTTGTATGATGCGGAAATCTTTCTGCGGATCTCCTCCGCGGTGATGTGTGTGTGTGTGTGTTGCGTTCACTTTCATCCACGGCTCTTTAAATTAATGAGGTGTAAACGCATTCGCGAGCCGCGAATGTAAGTTAATGTGCCATTCACTCATACCGCGCGCGCGCAACCGAGAGAGGTGTTACAAACAAAAGATTATTTTCTTACTTTTGTTCGACACACGTGCTGTTTCACATATAAATGTTTTCTCGCGAGAAGATCGCTCGCGGCGAGAAATCCGTCGTTTCTTCGGAATACTTCGCAATATTGCCGCTCGATGTGCCTATCAGTACCTTTTCCGAGGCTTGCGAAAGTGCGCGCCAACACCTGTCATTAATTTTTTTTTTTTCTCAATTATTCTAACTGCACACTCTCTCGTGGAGAACACCATAGCCATATCTCGCATTCAATATTACACATGCGCGTGGTTATATAGAAATTCAAAAACTCACATCTCGCAATATTATGGAAACAATTATTTATAGCGTAGTAATAAAAAAAATTATTAATATCTACTTTTTTGCTGAAAAAATAATTATGAAATTCAAGTCAGTGAATACGTGTCACATTTAAATGTGATTTCTCACTTTGGACGATTTGTAATTCAACGTGGCTGCAACCGAACGTATATATTTTTGTTAAAAAAAAAAAAAAAAAACAAGTAAACGTCGTCTCTCATTGTGAGACATATCAATTTTTGTTCCTTATTTGCACCGACGTATTCCTTATTGAATGAAGTATTCGGATCCTTTTACACGCGGCATACGATATTTCCCGGGTTACCGCTGCGGGCGAAACCGCGCTCGCACACACCGCGTGAGCGGAGGGTTGGATATATATATATATATATGAGTCCGGGGTCCGAAACTTAACGACGTAATGAACGTCTGACGGAGGATTATTTATCGACAGCAACGGGGCAACGGCGAAGGGCCGGGCGAAGTACGAGGCTAAGAAGAACGAAAAGGAAGACGAACGATCGGCGCATCGTGGACAAAATTGGCAGGATAATTAGCGCGGGACAAGGCACACTGGAGCTAATTCTAATTGAGGCACGGAACACTCCCTTCCCCCCCCCACCGGTAAAATCTACTTTTGGAAATAAGAAAAAAAAACATATATTTGATCGAAACTATTATTTAAAAAAAAAACCGCTTCAATAAAATCACGTCAAAATATTAACAAGAGAATCTCGCGAACGGTCGAAGATTCTGCACCTCGCACACACGGACGGCAACTGAAAATTTCTACATTCATCTATTTGTCCTCTCTCTATATGTGTGCAAAGTTTCATCAAAATCAGAATTTTAGAATGTAAGTAATAAAATTAGACGCTCACAAAGAATCGTCGCGCGCGATGATTTCGCTCTCAGAGAAGAATTTCAGGTCAATATTCGTTCGCCCTTGATCGACGAATCCGAGAAAGACAGCGGCAATACTCGGCCAGTCTTTAAATGGCAAAGGCAGGGATAAATTGTTTTGGCTCCGCCTTAGTAGTAAAACAAATGATCACAAAGATACCGCCTGCTCGTTAAAGTCAATCCCGCAAGAAGGTGGTCTCTCAGGATCTCTGATCGTCTTTCTTTTTTAGGATATATATATATATATGTATATAAAAAGAGATATTCTTCGTTACGCGCGGAGTTTATAATTTCTCGTGGAACTCGAATGAAATTAGAAAATCGTAGCGTGCTTATATAGATGAAATTGAAATACGACCGAAGGATCGAGGTAAAAAACTGAATGAATAAACAAAATAATTCTTCGACCTGTGGAAACTTAAGTTTTCCCTGTCGAGGATATTTATGTGATGCGAGAATTGAAAATTTATTTCAAGTCCGTTGAAAATTAAATTTTAAATTAAACAACTTTTTCGATTTAAGTTTTATACATTTGCACACACGTGAGGTCAAGTTGTGTGAAAAAATGACCAAAGAGGATTAATCAATTGGCTTTCTTTCGACGATGGCGAAGAGTATTCCTGTGTTGATAACTGGACTCCTTGCACATCGAGAAAAGAGAAGGCTCAAGAGCACGGAGACGAAGTAGGAGGAAGTGAAGTAGTAGGAGGAGGACTCCTCCACCACCACCACCACCGCCACCGGCTCGCAAATCCTGCGGGACTGCTCCGACGGACACCTGTAAGCACGCAGACTCCCTGCCGAGCTGGACGCACGCCGCACGGCAAAGTTCCGCCGAAATCGTCGCAGATCCTGCAGGATCTCGAAAGTGTGCGTTGTCGACGTCGTTTTTCGCTTTGCGATTTTTCATGAAAAGTGCGTTGTATTTGGTGAACATGTGAGCGTGTCCTGCGATTTTTGTAAAACTACAAAAGAAGTCGCTCTGTCAACCTGCTGCCTCGAGAATCGCAAGTCCGGAATCTAACGAAAATCAAAAATGTGTCACCGGAGAGAATCGTTAGATACTCGTGTTTGCTAGAATGTTACACGTAAATTGGCAACGGAAAAACATTATTGAACATTTCCGCGCGAATTTGAGTAACGCAATTTTATCAACAAATACACACAGACGCCGTTAAGGATTTTTGGCGCAAAAGTTTGTTGATCCAAACACCGATTTTGTTGCAAGAAGATCGTTTTTCGAGAAAATCGTTAAAACATAAAGATATTGTTACACAAAATCAACGATTTCGCACAATGAGAATCTGAGAACGCGATGGGAGAAGATAAATGAAAAAAAGAAACTCGCTTCACACAATTAGTTAGTAATTTTGAAATGTACTGAAGATCGAAATTCATCTTTTTTGCAAAAAAAAAAGAGACGCATATCGTACATATATAGACTTTCTACCAGCGCTCGCCGCAAAGTTGAGAACGATGGCTGGGACGAAGAGATCTCGAATTTTCGCGGCGCGATTTACGCAGCGTCGATGAAAAACGGTCGGCGCGGTCTTTGAAAGAGCGAAAATCGAAAAATCGTGCTCGTCATACACTTCTCCTGAAAAAAACGAGAACGCGACGATGTTGAGCTTTTAGAATGCGAAACGGGAAAAGATGCGGATAAAGAAGCGAAGCGGTGCTAAAGTCTGGCTTCTGCTATTCGTGCTGCTGATCCAAGATGGCAGATGTATAAAATGGCTGTGAGTATAAGTATCCGATTTTTCATTTTTTTCTATAATTATTCTGTTTTTGTATGTGTGTGTGTTTCTGCCGCGTGTGCGTGTGTGTGTGTGTGTGTGTCGCCGAGCGACTCTTCTTCGTGCAATAATAAATCTCCGCGATAGAAATCTGTCTGTGCGCCACGTGTCCCGACATTTACGGGGACTCCGAAATGTCAATCGGATTAGCGCGGCTTAAAACGGAAGAAAAATTTGTCTTATTGCGCAGAAATAACTTCAAGTTGCTTTTTTTTTATTTTTGTCTCGCCGCAAAAGTTGCCGCACAGATGCGCCGTCAGACACCTCGACATTTCAGTTCTTTGGATTTTCGATCTTTGTTTTTTATTATTCGCTTGTAGTCCCGCATTTTTTTTTCACCTCGATTAAATTGTCATTAAGAACAAATCTAAATTGAAACTTAAATATTGGGCGCGCGCGCGTCTGTGTGTGTGCGTGTGCGTGCATGCCGATCGGATGCGAGGGCGCAGACATCCAAAAAGTTCTTTTTCCATGGGAGACCTCGCACGATAACGAGTTCCATTTGTGCAATCACGTTCTTCGCGGTGGCTACGGACGAGTTCGAAGATTAATGTAGGTCTGTTAATGAGAAACAAATAGATTAGTGGCCGAGGGAAACGCGTTCGATAGAGCGCGTGCGGGGCGTACTTTATATACGCGCGAGCGGTCTCTCGATTTATTATAAATTTTTCTCGGATCGAGATCGAGAGAAAGAGACCCGGGGAGCGCGCGGTCCCCCTCCTCCCCGATACACGGAGCGATGCGCGGACGATCGCGACCGACATAAATTTCGCATGCACACTACTCGGTGAATAAAGATATATCGTTAGTGCCGCTTTATGGCGGACCGCATAAACGGACAGCGCGCTTCACCGTTCATTATTCCGGCCGATACGTTTCGCAAATGAAAAGCGCGGGATGATTATCGGCGTCGGTTCTTTTTTTTTTTTTTTTTTTCGCGAGGTATATACCTCGCGCGGCCAATTTATATCACGGCGCTCCTTATTTTTCAGACCAACCGCTTTTAATTATTGCCAGCACGCGGGTAGATGAGGCAGATCCGTTTCCACCCTCGCAAAGTATTTTTTTTGTTTTTTTTTTTTACGTAGAGGAGGCGTTTCTTCAACCATCCCGTCAACAAATCTCTTTCTTTATATCTTTCTCCCTCTCTCTTTTTAATTAGCAGAAAAATATTTGATGTTTCTTCGATTATTTCTCGTGTCTCATCGAGATTTTTCGAGATAAACCAGTTTCTAGAACGCGCGCGTTGATTATCAAAAAAAAAAAAAAAAAAAAAAAAAATCGGTTCCGAGAACAAAATATTCTCGTCGCGAATTTTTTCGCCCCTCATCGAGACACCGTGTTGTTATTTGTCTTTCTCTTTGTATTTCTTTATTTCAATCTGAATAGAGAGACCATTTCGTGAGCGTTACGTTTCTCATCATTCTCTCCCCCGATTCCTATCAATCATTCCCGCGCCCGAAATCATTCCTCTCATTTGCGGAGCGCTCTGTGGCAGCTCACGAAGACGTCTCGTTAACATTCAAGGCCGCGGGCGCCGATCGGTCAAGCTCCTCTCTTCTCTCATTCGTTTCCTCTCCTCTCGGTTGCGTTAATTGTCGTGCGCGATTCGCGGCGAGGTTCCATCGTCGTCGCGTAGGAGAGACGCGCGCGCGAGAGAGCCGAAGAGACGAAACGAAAGAAGAGAAAGGGAGTGAGGGAAAAGCGGAAACGGAGAGAAGGCTGTGAGCGGCGGTGGATGATGAATGGCGGAGTGATGGTGGTTTTGCGTGCAAAACCAAAATATGGGGAAACACACCGAAGGGGCGCGAAGGGAAAATGCGAAAGGAAGACGATCGGACGCGCGAGCGGCGCACGGGCGGGGATGGAAGATTAGGGGTTGCGCGAGGATCGTGATTTATAAACGATGCTTTCCGAGAACTCGCTTCGCAAACTCTCGCCGTAGAGCCCTACTGGCAAATTCTTTTGTTTATACAAATTTTATTGCCCGCGTATCGATATCGACCGATTAATTTCGAAGAGGCGAAGAGGTCTTCGTTCGTTTCGCTTCATTCAATTTTTTGTTTTACGGAGCGAGCGCGGTGTGTCTGGTCGATGATCCTTCTGTGTTAAGGACCGAAGTCGCACGTCTTGCCCAGCGCGATCTTTCATCCGGGAAACGGCGGGGATGTTTAAACGAAGAAAAATGATCTCGTTGTGAAAACGGACATGCCGATAGTTCTCTGGTTCTTTTGGCGGTTTAAAAAAAAAATTGGAAAATAAGCTCCCAGAGACGAGAATGAGATCTCGACGATGCACAAAATAAGCTCCCCGCTTTTTGCTCTGTTCTCTTCCAGCGTATCCTCATTTTTTCTAATCTTTTCGCGCGCGAATACGTATATATATATATATATATATATATATATATATATATATATATGTATATATGCGCATCGCACGGAATTCATCAATCATCGTTTGAGGGAAGAGATCGAAGATCGTTGTTGATGATTTCGAGACTCTTTCAGCGGGGACTGCAATCAAGAGTTTCTTTAGCGGATCGAGGCCAGCGATCGATTTATAATAATTTAAACGCGCAACCCTTTCCTCTCTCGAACGCGCAACCGCGTCCGGAAGGTCGCGCTGAATCACACGCGAGTCGCTATTTATAAGATCATTCCTGACCGGGGAGTGATCTCGACAATGCCATTGCTCGTAAATCACGCGTCTTAACTTGATGCAAGACGAGCGCGCAAGTCACAGAGACGCGATGGGATTGCGTCGCGAAACTCGTCCTACGCGAGCAGTAACAGGACCTCGATCGGATTCCTCTCTCGTTAATTTGTCACTTGTCGTATCGGCAAAACGGATCATTGAAATAATCAGTTTACCGATACGAACGTTCAATATTTTTGCTAAATGTTTGCGCAAAGAATTGCATAAATTTATTATTTATAAAGAAATCGAGAGAAAGAGAAAGGGAGAGACTTGAAAGCGTTAATATCTAATTTATCGGAATGTCGTCAGAGATCGTGAAGAGATCGGCGAAGTTATCTTTATATCTTCTCTCGTAAGATACGCTCCCTGGACACTCACACACACACACACACACACACAGTTTCTCTTTTTTCACTTATCGCATCGGGGAGAGACCTCGTAGGCGCTCGCGCGCGCGCGCCCGCCTATTATCGGTCTCGTAAAAACTGCTCTTTACGATTTCACAAATCTCGAAATATATGAATTTCGAAAGTGCAGCTGGTTTCACGGGCGCTGTTTCAAAAGGCGCGTTGCAATCTCTTTTTGTTTGTTTTTTTTTTTTCACCGCACGTAAGAATATCCCCCGCGCGCGCGAACGTCCGTGAACTTCCTTCTGTTGGGAGCAGGAGCTGCTGTTTCCTGCGCCTGCGAAAACGTTCGATATTGTGTGTCAGAAGCGAGAGAAAAAAAAAAAAATATATATATATATATATATACACGTTGAAACCACGTAATATAACGTTCAACGAAAGTAGTTATTAAACTATGCAAACGTAGTTAGCCGTGAACCACACTCCGTGGTATTTATCATATTTTGTAAATTATTGGTTATGTGTTATGTACAATGGGCAATTATCGTGTTGCAAGAAGTACAACTACATAAATCACCTCCGCCCGCTTCTATCCTTGACATCGCGCGTTTCTCGCATTCCTTCAAGACATTTCCACAGCTCTCTTCGATAACGAGCTTCGATTTATTATTTCAAGATGTTAATTTCAAACTACATATACGTATATATATATATATATATATAAACACACACGTGTGTGTATTATTACGATATTGTCTCGCTAATTTATCAGCTCTCCTGAAAAGCCCCGACCCCGTAGAATCTTCGCGGTTTATTCCCATTCCGGTAGTCGCCGACTGTAATTCCGATGTGACATATTGCTTCTTATATTAATCTTCTCGCACACCCGTGTATAAACTTACACATCAATTAACATCTGCATAACGGAGTTCTTAAAATTGATTGAGAGAAGCAAAGCGCGCGATTAGCCCGAGCATCGCGAGCGAATGGTACACACATGTGTGCACACTTCGGTCCGTTGATAATTAATTATCTGACGCGCGATAGCAAATAGTCGCGCATTCGTCTTGAGAGAGCTGTGCTCGTAAATTACTTTGCGGCGCGAAGCGCGCTGCCTGCAGCTTAGGCCTCAAGTCTGCGCTTGGGTTGTTGTCGCGAGTTGTTGTACCGAATTGCGGTCGCGGGTATCGTGTACGCGCAATCGCGATTAGTCGACCGGTCAATTCTGCGACATCTGCGACTACTTGCACAAACCGATCATCGCGGATCGAGCTGGAATATAAACCCCCCCCCGTATTAAGCGGACCTGTCGCGCTGCATTTTTACACCCGTGAACGGCTGAACGTGAATGGCTGTCGTTCGCTGCGACTGCTCATTAAATATCGCATCTTCGTGTTTGCTCTTCCGACTTTGCCGGAACAAATATCTTACTTCGTCAGACTTGGAAATTACGTGCCGGAAATTTTGTAAAGCAAATGTCCCAGTGCGACCGGACATTGATATTAGAGAAATGATCGTCAGACGCGTAAATGTTTTAATCGTAACAATTTTCTCAATAATTTAGATATTTTTATAGATACTTTTTTATAATTATTTTCTTTAATAAATGTCCGTGGTCCGGGTATTACGGGAACATTTGAATACCTTACACCGCGCGCACATGCGCGCGCGCATTTAATTGCGAAAGCAAGATTATTCGTGTTTATACAAAATGTTTAGAAACGTTTTTTCAACGTTAAACCGACCGGCGCGAAGCCGATTTGTCATGTACGTATTACTGTCTCGCTATATAGCTAGACACGTTATTGCCCGAAGCGCGTTTAAAATCATAATTGGAATCTAGTAACCACGATTCGGTTACGCTTTCTACTTTTTGACAAGTTGTTGCTCGATGTTATTGCTTCATCGTTATTCAGTTGTTACTCCCGACAAGAATATTAAAAAAAAAAAAAACATTGTCGCTCAAAAACGTTCTTAATTACCGCCGCGACTTTAATCGCGGAAATCTTACACGCGCGCGCGCGCGCGCGTTCTCCTCTGTAGCTAATTTTAAATTCGATTATTGCGCAAGTTCACTCGTATGTCTTCGCGCACAAGTCAATTTCACACCACGCGTAAAACGTGTTTTCATTAAAAGCAATCTGCCGACACGCGGGCTGCTTAAGAAAAATTATTTACATAATTGCACGTTCAAGCAGTAAAACACATCGCGGTTAAGAAGAGCGAGATCGTCTTCTTAATCAATCTTCTCTCGCGTTTAATTTAACGCGAGTATTTCACAAATTATCCCGAAGAAGAGACACGATCGCCCACCGTGTGGCGGTCGAATTTGTTGTCGGAGTTTTATTTAACCCCCCTCTGCCTCCCTCCTCTTGCTCCCTGTTTTGCATTCGCGCGCTCCATTGAGATATCAAACCGATAATGAAGCCTTGCGCGGAATCGCTCCGTTTCCCGACGCGCGCTACATTTATTATTTTGTCGAGCAAATTATGCGGCGAAGCTTTCTTCGTTAGTCCGATACCGGATTGCCGAAGTAATCATCGCCGAAACGCCGCGCGCCTTAATGAGCTATGATAATTCGAACCCGGATATTTAACCGGCTTGTAAAGAACGAGGAACGCCGTGGAAATTCCTAGACCCCGCTGTCAGAGATGAAAACGTTTCCACCTTCTCGTTTTTTTTTTTTTTTTTTTTTATTTCTTTCCGCGACGCACAAAGAAAAGATTTCCGAGCGAGACGGGAACGCACGCTCGGGAATTTCGCGGAGCTTTACACCCTTCATACGTGCGGCTTTAATGAGCCGTTCGTGCAAAGAACGCGCGTGCGATATCCCCCGTCAAGAAACGCATATCTCTCTCTTTCCGGAGCGAAATATATCACTCGGACGACGTAGTCGAACTCCATTACGTGCGAACGCTATAAGAGAAACCACTTCTTTCAGAGAAATCCGCGAGCACCCGCTAATTATCCAAAAACGTATGTGAAAACAAAAACACAAGCAGAAATTAAAAGGTTTATATTAAAAAAAAAAAACATTCAACAATAACGTGCGCAATTATTAAAGTTACATAATTTTCAAATTAATTAAGAGAGTTCTGCTCGTGATTGGGATAGATATTTGTTGCCCCCACTCCCAAAAAAAATATACACACAATAAAACAATCTATAAAATTTCTACATAAATTTGCTGTTGTTTTTTACAGATATAATATATTTTATACACAATACAATATATATATGTCAATTCTCGCGCGCTACATTGCTTGTAACGCAAGCAAGTGCGGTTGTTGCGCAAGAGGCAAGCGCGCTTTCGCGCGAGTCGTAAGAAACACACGCTCGCGAGGCGTTTATGCGGAAATTAGATCCCCGGGTCGGGTCGTAACGCGCGGGGGTTCTCTCGAAATGTCATCGCGGGGGAGGAGGAAGAAGGAGGCACGAACGGTAATAATGAATTAGAGAGGCCGCGGGCTTTTGATAGGGTAATTCCGAGGGTAGGCTCCGTGACACGGGGTTGGCGATCCGGCCATTCCCAGGGTTGTTACGTCTAGACGCGGCGGTCCGCGCGTGTGTGCTGCACGGGTCATTCCCGACTTTCAGGTGTTCGTAATTATTATACCCCGCGCGCTCTCTCACGCGCGCCCGCGAGTTTCAGACGCCGCCGCCGTATTCAGCCTCGCGGCGCTTAAAGAGCCCGAGAGAGCCGTTTTCAGCCGCGCGCCCTATAATTTTCGAAAATTCACCCCCTGATTTACGACTCGGCGCGGGGGCTGTGACCGGGACCGTTCACCCGGCAGAGGTGAACACTGCCCTTTCGCCAATCGTTCGACAGAGAGTTGTGTAGAGTGGTTATATACCGAAGCGTTTTACCCTAAATTCCACGCTCGCGTGTTTCCAAGTGTTGTGTCGAAGAACGCGGTTTCTCCGAGAACGAGAAACATTCATTCCGAACGCCCGCGAGCATTCACGGCTGAGTTTACGATTTTTAAGCATGAACAATGAGTTTTGATTTGTTTTATTTTATTTTATTTTTTTTTAATTAGTATTATACAATCGCGAATCACACGCTTTTGAACTGAAGTTTTTTAATTTTAATCAAGGATGCAGGTTTTTTAACGTTCTTCTCCCTAGAAAATTAATTTATTCGACGCATATCAACAACCCCACGTCTCATCCAACTCGTTTACGTCTAACGTTGATCAAACATGGCGCGTTTGGTTTCTGACCTATTTATCTAACATTGATTAAGCGTGTTTTTTTTTTGCTTTGTTTAGCGGCCTCGGTCGCACCAGCGACGCGTACACGTGGACCAAAGAAGCGTGCACCAGCGCGAAGAACGCGGGCTTGTTGGAGAGGAAACAGGCCAGAGCCTGCCGGGCCACGCCGGATTTGATGCCCAGTTTGGTGCAAGCTGCCAAAGACACGTCAACGGTATGCCAGCAAGCGTTTCGTTATCGCAGGTGGAACTGTAGCAGTATCGAACGCGCGCCCAGCTACACGCCCGAATTGCTTACAGGTGTGTGCACGAAAAAAAAAAAACCCATTGCTGTATCGTAAATTGTTGGTTTTTGACTTATTCGTCAAAAACAAGTTGTAAATAAGAAAAGAAAAAAAATACGTATCGGGACAGAAGAGAATTTAATGTATTTTCAAATTTGTTTTCTTAATCAAGTTAAAAAAAAAAAAAAAAAACAATTTATTTAGCTCAATTTATTTTTTGTCACTAATATCGAGTCTAAATAACAATTTACATGTTACTGTAACAATTTATTTATTATTATTACGATTAATTATATCGTTCGAGTATAATTAAGCACCGCCGTACGTATACAAGCTGCGTTTCTCATTCGCTTCGTTTATTATGCATCGATTTCACTCATAATAAACTCGTAATCAGTGAGTTCGCTCTCGACGGAGAGATGCGATAGCCGATGAATGTTCCGTGGAAACGTATCGAATATCCTTTGAGGAATTCCGACGTAAATAGGAAGACCTGGCGAGCGCGCGCCTCATTTAGCGATCATTAACAAACCGTGTACCTTTCCCTCCCGGCCCTCGGTCGGATTAATCGCTCGCGTTTCACGATGATTATATTGTAAATAGAAGTGCGTCCGAGAAATCGAGATATTCTTCGTTAATGAGAAAACTGAGAGGCGCTAATGAAAGAAGTAACATCCCCCGTGCCGTGTTACATCCCATTCTCGCGACGCTACGTACGCTAATGTAATAATGTATTAAAGCAATTTTCACTATCGAAAATATACGCGAAGAGATAGAAGAAGTAAACGTCCCGATGACCAAACGCGTGGCCCAGACGTTTATTGCAGAAATAATGATTAAATATATGTAAATATATTATTCGCACAACAATTCTCATAGTTCAATTATTTTTAAGATATATTTTTTTCAATATTGGTTTCTCCAATTTTGCCAAACATCAATACTTTGTTGTAAATTAGTTCTTTGATAGACGTCCGGTTCCGGTTGAACTTGTCCGGTGTGATTCGGACATTTACTTTGTCGCTTCTTCAGATAAACGTTTATCGAACGCGATCAAAGTCCATATTGAAAAAAACAAAAAAAAAATAACACCTGGCATACGTCTTTCTGGATTTTTGTGGGCATTTATTTACAGGCACGCGAGAGCAAGCCTTTGTTTACGCGATGTCGGCTGCCTCCGCGGTCTGGCGGCTCGCACGGGGATGCGCTTTGGGGAACCTGGCGGCCTGTTCCTGCGCGACCCCGCCGCGCAGAGAGCCGCCTTCACCCTCGGCTCTCATCTCGCCCTCGTCCTTCACCGCCATGTCCGTTTCGTTCGACACCCTGTCCACGAGAAACTCCTTCAAGTGGGGCGGCTGCGGGGACGACGTGAGATCCGCCTCGAGGATGGCGAAGCGGTTTCTTCAGGGCTCGACGTCGCCCGGTACCGGCGCGACCGCCAAGTTCTTGCACGCGGTCAACATGCACAACAACAGAGCTGGTCGCAGAGTAAGTACACACACACACACACACACATATATATATATATCTGCCGATACGCACGCATTTCTGCGAATTAGTTACCGTAACTCGATTACTATAATATCTCTCTCGCGTATACGCGCGATGACGCGCGACAGGCGGTCGAACAATCGCTGACCTTGGAGTGCAAGTGCCACGGGGTGTCGGGATCCTGCAGCGTGCGTACCTGCTGGCGCGGTCTGGGCGCAGCGGGACCGTCCGCGGCCGGAAGTCGCCTGCTTCGCAGATACACCACCGCGGCGGAGGTCAGAGCCAGATCCGGCGGTAGATTGCCGCCCCTCTATCACCACGACAATCTGCTCTTCACCACCAAGAGTCCGGATTACTGTTTGCCAGACAAGAAGAGAGGCAGTCTCGGAACGATCGGCAGGTCAGATATGTTGTTTCCGCTAATTACCATTGTATATTACCGCGTGATGTGCGAATGAAAATCGAATGCGATATTGAGAAACCCCCGGTGTGCCACTTACTTACGTGACTTGAGGAGAAACACGAAAGACGCGATCTGATCGCGTTTTAATCGACGTCGCGAGGGAACGTTATTCCTCTCCCTCCTCCCTATGTAAAACGATTTCGGGATAAAACTCGTTAGGGCTCGTAAATCGTCGGTCGGCTCGTTAGAATCGTTCACCGCGCGAACGCGACTTTTTGCTCCGCGTAAATTTTATATTTCTCGCAACGGGATACGCGCGGGATTATATATATATATATCGCTCATAAAATAGAGCTCAAATCGCATCTCGCAGCTGGTAATGTTGAGATGGCGAACGGGAATATTTGAATTCCGTCGAACGCGAGAGACACAGTTCATCCTCTTATCGAGAAACAATATCGTTCTCAATTGTCTCTCTTCGCGGTGAGCCTGTGTATCGATTTTTTTTTTACTAGCACAACACAGGCGCGCGCTACGCGCACGCTATTTTTATTTTTATTTAACGTGTTGTCAGTGAACACAACCTGTCACCGCGATGACAGATAGTATTTACGTCTTATAAACCATATAATACACATATGAGAAATATTAGAAATAACGCATGAAAATCAAACTCAAAAAATAGTGAGAGAGAGAAGTGGAAAAACAACACGTGACAGAGAAAAGGGTAAAAAAGAGAATATTATATATATTATATGTAATATTCTATATCTATATATAATACACACACATACGCATATATGTATATATATATATATACCGTAATCACGTGACCGAAGTCAGTAACACCGCCGCGGTCGCGCGGCCGAGGTCAGTGACTCCACCGCAGTCGCTCGACCGAGGTCATTGACCCCGCCGCGGTCACGCGACTGCGGTCATTGACCCCCCCCCACCAAGGCCGCGCGGCCGAGGTCAGTGACCCCGCCAAGGCCGCGCGGCCGGGTCAGTGACCCCTCCCCCCACCAAGGCCGCGCGGCCGAGGTCAATGACCCCGCCAAGGCCGCGCGCCCGAGGTCAATGACCCCGCCAGGTCGCGCGGCGGAGGTCAGTGACATTACTGTAGTATGTATATAATACATACAATACAATATAAAGTATAATATTATAAATATATAATAAATTATATGTATAATATGTATTATTTAATGTATAATATGTATTATTTAATGTATATATAATATACATTACAGTCGCGTTATTTTTACGTGTTGTTTTTCTACTCTTTCCTGTCACGTGACTTTAGTTATGTTTTTAATTTTCTCTACATATACGACGAACTGTCTCAAAATCGCTTTTCATTATTTACTCTCTCGATCTTACCGATTCGATTCGACTCGATCAACCAACCAATCGGCAATACGGAAAAGAGACAACAATAGATGCGATAAATTCGATATCAAAACGCGCACTTCTCGGTCCAAATGACTTTTTTTATATAAGGAGGAGACTATCGACAAAGTGCTTTTCGCTTAATTTTTCCTCTCGACGAGTCGTTGACGCGCGCGTAACGCTTTCGTGCCACACGCGACGAACAAGTCCCATCAACGGGCATTGCCCGTTTTTATTTATGTGGTTTGGTAATTACGGAGAAGCAATGAATGAGAGATTTCTTCTTCGGAGCGTCCCGAACCTGTTCTCGCGAGATCGAATGAACGTTTTGCTGTTTTACGACGCGCGTCCCGAGAACTCCGGCTCGCTCCGAACACCGTTACGACTCGTGTCCATTCACGAGCCCGCGCACGGGTTTTTCGTTCTATCTTTCTTTCTTTCTCTCTCTCTCTCTCTCTCTCTCTCTCCGCCATCGGCAAATGTGCGAACGCTAATTTTCGCCCGCGTGCCATTTCGCGCGCTACCGTTCGACAAGAAAAACGGCTTTAAACGAAGACGCTTTTACGATCATCCGAAGAACCACTTTGCCGACGTATGTCGCACTTCGGTCCCGCGGTTCTTTAATGGACGCGGAATGGAGTTTTATCTTTGCGTTAAATTGAACGTCGGAAGATCGTTCGCCGTCGTGTATATTTTTTTCGTATCCTTTAATGTACCCGGTTTACGATTCGCAAGTGTTGCAAAAAGTGACGAAGAAGTGCCATTTCGTGGACGGGATATTTGTTATCGCGCGGAATATAAACGCGGTCTCTCTCTCTCTCTCTCTCTTTGTGTGTGAATCACTCCCCCGTGCGTAAAGTGCTGCTAATTCATCGTTGAAGAAAGTGTCACATCCGCTCCGCGCGCGGCGGAAGAAGGGACGGCCTTTTGTAACGCGCGGTGATTGCATTCGCTACGGATTTTCCGACGGCGAATGAGATGACTCTCCTCATCGTCCCGTCCGGATTATCCACGCTTCGCTCCGCGTGAATTAAGATCACCCACGGCATTCCGGGGATGATGACTGCGGAGTTCTTCCGATGTGTGTGTGTGTGTGTGTAAGGCGCAGGAAGCGGCGGACGCGAGCGTGACGGTTGGATCTCCGGTATAGGGCTCCTTTGTCTTGTTTCCCTCGCTCCGTAACTCGCGTCCGGCCGCCGATTATCTGTAGCAATCCCGCATGTGGCTTTTGCATTGCGTGAAACGCGCGCGCGCGCGCGCGCGATAAGGGATGCCCGCGTAAACTGCGTGTGTCGGATGTCACGGTAATTTCCAAGCGTAACGCCACGACATGCGTGCATGATGACCCATATTTGTGCGTTTAACGTTGAATCTAGAAATGATTCATGCGTAAAAACGCGCGGAGGAGATTACAATTTTGCAGTTCTGATGTGATATTTTCTCCCCTTCCTCCCCTCCCCCCCTATTTATTTCAAAAGATCGAAACATAATTTGACTACATTCTTGATTTTTTATCGTGTTGGAGGAACAAATATTTATTTTAATAACAAAAGTAATTTATAAATAATAAATATTATTATATTATACTTATGAGTAATTGTTAAATCATTTGTTTTTTAATTCACTTTATTAATTTTATTTTTCTCTGCAAACACAATATAATCAGCCGTTCTTGATCGTTCGTTTCGAACGAACAAAGTAACTAACTTTCAACTTTATTTCTCTTATCTGTGTGTCATATCTCGGCTTATCTAGTCCCGGAGATTGGCTCTTATTTCGAGACGCAAACACGATTTCACGCTATGTTAATTCCGAAACCGAGATTGATCTTTGCGACGCGCGCTAATCGTCGAGCGCGTGATTTTCGAGCGACGCTCGAAGTTTCTCTTTCCTCGGGAAGAGAACAACAACAACGCACGATGAGAGAAATCCGTTGATTTCGCTCAAACTCAATCCTATTTTTAGTTACGGACGGAATCGATATAATCTTTTTATTCCGCCGCGCAACGCTACGCGGACGCGTAAATGGTGGCAGGTTCTTTGGGAGCAGCACCGCTGGCTCGCCTCTCGCCGGGTTTTAACAACTTACAACCCGGTAATTATAAAGCCCGCCTATAATTATACAAAGTAGGCGTGGTAAGAATGTTTATCACACACGGGACGCCTTCGGGGTCCGTTCAACATGTGCGCGACGAAACGCTTCTCGAAAATTTCCTTTTTCTTTCGCGCCGTTCGCGCGGCGAATATAATCTGACGCGCGCGGTAGTCTCTCGTTCGCGCGTCGCTTAAAACACATGACGCACACACGATGCAAATCGATTAACAATAATGAAGGCTTTTCAACTGGGAAGGAAGACGAGTTCGTTAAAATGATGTAGTTTCCACTTCCTTCTTCTCCGCGAATAATTGCAAGTAATTTTCCGACAATTATACAGAATCGCGGGATGAAATATGGGTTGAATATAATGGTCGATAGCTCCTCTCTCATCTCTGTAAAGAACTCACTTCAATCTCTCTCTCCCCCTGCTATTTCCGAACGATGAAAAATTATTAGATACAAAAAAAAAATAATAATAATAATAATTTTTGCACAGGCAATGCAACGGCAGCAGCTCCGGTTACGAGGGCTGCGAGTATCTCTGCTGCGGTCGCGGCCACGTCACCAGGACCGAGAGGATTCTTGAGAGGTGCAATTGCAAATACTTCAGTTGCTGCTACGAAGTGAAATGCAAGACATGCACGCGAGTCATAGAAACGTACACGTGCAATTGAATCAATCAAAAACAAAAAGAAATATGACGCGGGGACACTCGGAACAATTGATATACATACGTGAGAGTGGCTTTCCGTAAAACGACTCTCTCTTTCTCTCTTTCTTTCTCAAAGGAGAACGCGCGTGAGAACGATGAAAGCAAATCCACGCGTGTTTAATTTACAGATGGATGCAAATTAAATTGAAGACTTGAATTTACGGCGGAGATATATACCGCGCGCGAATGGGAAGATCTCTCTCTCTTCCCTCGAGCGCGTTCGAACGTGCGTAGTAGGGGGGGGGGCTGCGAGAAAGAAAACCTGCTCTCGCGCGCAGATAAGATAAAAAACAGAGAGAGAGAGAGAAAGAGAAAGAGAGAGAGAGAGAAAGAAAAGAGACGTAAACTGCTAATTATTTAAGCGATAAATTATTCACCGTGAATGTGTAACTCGTGGTAATACGTAATAGAGGAGTTATTTATCGTGTTATTTGCTATTTATTCAATGTGTGTGTGTCTCTCGTGGCAACTTCTCTTCTGTGTCGCACGTACACACGCGCGACGTGTAATCCTCTATCCGTTTCGTCGCCTCTCTCGATTATATCGTGAAAATTGATGCAAATTTTTGTCGCGATGTAAATCGTCATCATTCGCTTCACGGGACGCTCCCAGGCGTATATAGATCAGAATAATGTATATGTACATATAGAATCGCTCGATATATATTTCGATGTGTAACTTACATTATATTCCTCAACGCACACCCCGTTCCGGAAGCGGCGTACGTTAATTTTTATTATTCATGGTGTAAGCGAAGAAAGCAGATTGGTGAAAGATTTTACTTCACGATTTCACGTAGCGCGATGCATATTGATTGGCAAATCGAATGCAATTGTTTTTTGCCATTGAAAATTACAACACATGTATGTATAGTCTTAATTGTAAGGTGAGATACAAAGTTATATTCGTTCGTAACGCGAAATAGCAGTAGCAAAATTTCAAAAATATAGGACGCTAATAAAACTTATTAAAAATTACACAAGTTAAAAAGTGTGTGTGTGTGTGTGTGGTGTGATTAGATGTATTAATATAATATATAATTTATATAAAATATTTCTCACGCGACATATAATTGTGGATGGATCGAGAAACGGTACTTGTTACGTCGTCGCATGTTGCGTTTCCGAATCTTTACAGTCCTCCGTTGCGTCGTCTTCTTCTTTTATACCTAGATCCTTTAGAAATTCGCACCAGTTAATTCCGCATCCGCAATCCGGTTCTTTCTCGGATGCCCACCAAAGCGCCGTCTACAAAACGATAATCAACATCGAATTATTGAAACAAAAAAGATAAATAATTATTAAGAAAAACAAATAATATCACACACAAGTTTCTTCAAAACGAAAGTGAATATATCGTACGTCACGTACTTTGATATTTATAGGTTCAGCCGGTGGCAAAGGATCGATTTTCACGTTCATGAACTGCAGCAGGTCGTTATAATCGAGTTTACCGTCCTCGGATTTGTGCAAACTTGAAACAATCGTAATCGCGTTACAATCGTCACAATATAAAGTTCATCAAATCAAATGTGATGTACGTTTGTTCACTCACTGATCTAACATGGAATTCAATAGCTCCACATCGACAGGAATTCTGCAACCGCGCAGGATCGCGTACAAGGACTCTCGAGGTAAGAATCCCGTTCTGTCTCTATCCCAATGAAGCAAATCCTCTTTCAAACGATCGAGATCGTGCCACAGAGATCGATGTAATTCGGTGTGCAACAATTGTCTTGAAAAATACAAACCAAATAATTGTATTTTAATTTCTAAGGACTATACGTATAAAAAATGTTTTACAACATCTTACAAAACAAAATCAACGCTTTTTTTTTTGTCTAATATTTATAAACTGACGAGATCTTGACACTGACGCTTTGTAAAAGTTTTATAAAAAAAAAGTCACCTCACGTATTGTCTCGATTTAAATTCCACTTTTTCAGAAGACGAATAATGTCGCGCAATCGTGATCATCTCGTGTTCCGTGATGTTGTCGCTCATATATCGTTTCAACGCTTCCCTACAAATTACAGATTTAATCGTAGACAATAAAAATCACCAATTGGTCGTATAAGGAAACCGATATAAATTTATCGTACCTAAGCTGTTCATAATTCAACATCCGAATGCCATCTTTCGTGTCCTTAGGCGGAGCGTACGTTTGAATAAATTCCTTGAAAACCGGCTGCAAGATCTCTCGAACTTTCTCCATTATTAATTTTTTATTCGCTTTGGGGAACTGTGAACAAGTTTCGAAAAGATATATTGATTTTACTGAGATATTTTCAAACAGATTTTCAATTTCGGCTTTCTTGTTAATTTCGAACGTTCACCTTGTCGCAATGCGATTCCATGTAACGAAGGGCGTAAACATCCGCGGACGTAATTTTGAAGAGAAAATTGCCCAAGTTCACGCACGCCCCTACGTAAAAATCTTGCGGTTTGTAGTATTTTGGTTTCTTGCTCGTAAAGACGTCCTGACCGGGTATCATCACCGGCATTCGTTTTTGAAACATCGATCTAACGAATCCTTTTAAGTATATAATAATTAAAATTTAGATACGCGCATTTGTGACACGGGTTTTTAATTTTACGTATAAATAAAATTTCTTCCCAAAAACGTTCATCGAGCATGTGTACCTGAGTTTCTTTTCGCTAATTCGAAGACGGATATCGTGTCGTCCATGAGAAATACTCTTACAATAAATTGCCGATCCTCGTCGCTCGGAATTTTCGATATCATTTTCGCTCGGAATCTCAAAACGTGACTATCCAAACCCTGCCTGGATAAAACGAAATGGGGAATTGAACAGTCAGAAATAATTGAACAATTATTATTCTTTTTTTTTTTTTTTAAGCGCGTTACTGTGGCGACTTACTTGTCGTGGTACAAGAATTTGATAAAGTCCGACTTGGGCGGCTTCGGCATTACCGTGAAACAATTGCCGAGAGAGTCCTCGTAGGATCCGAAGCCGTTGTACGGTGGTACGTATCTCTCCACCTTCTGACACAGTTCGTCGTCTTTCAAAGGTCTCGTCAAAGGTGTAAAATTGTCCAGACCGTACTTCGTTCTGAATCATTATATCAAAAAACGATATATACGCATTAAATCGGTTGGTCCTGGCGGTTGGTAGATACGTAATTCCGATTTGTTTTTTTTTTTTTTTTTTACCGGTAATAATTCTTCGTGAAACCGTCCATGTCCGTGACGACAACTTTCCTACCAAAGACATTGAGCTGCGACCCTATGCCCAAGTCGTTATCCTTGTAATGATCGAAAGAGACCTTGCCAGTGTTCAAGGAGTCCACTATGTAATAGCTCTGCGCCGTATCGTCGCCCAAGACATTCAGAATCGTGAAAGGATCTTGCGCGCCGATCGGTTGCAACGCGGTGTAAAACTGTGCAAAATTCAAGTTATCTCGGGATCGCAAGTTTGTAAAAAAAAAATCACGTTAATGCAATTTTTGTGATTCTTTAAGACAATTTTTTTTTTTTTTTTAAGCATAGAACAGCGTTGAAAGAGAAAAAGTTTCGCAACAAATTTGAAGCTTCTAATATTTAACTTCGCAAGTGCACACAATTTATTTAGAAAATCTTGTACTTTCGGTATCTTCATCCTTTTAACGAACATGGGACCCGAATCTCGACCAGCGTTCGGCGGTACGATCTCTTTAATCTCCATTGTGTCGTCGGAGAGATAATAGTGCAACTCGAGATCGTGGACAATGCCGTGAAGGCTCTCGGTATCGTCCCAATATCCGTAGAAACGGAGCACTTGTCTGTCGTACTTGAGAAAATTACCGAGAACGTCTACCATGCGACTGGGTTTCTTCGGAAACGTATCCTGCGTGTAATATAGCAAGCGAAGCACACGGGAAGTTTAAGAATGAGACGCGATGATTTTTTTGTGATAATTTTTTTTTTTCTGGAGCGTTCATACATATATACTTACGGATTTCATTACTTCGGAATACGGATCTTTCGGCAGATCGATCGGATCGGGCACCGGTATTCCGCTGCGATAAAGAAATTCCCTCGTAAACTTGTCGCAATCTACGATCTTGTACACTCGACCGTATATCTCGAGTTCCTTCCCGATATTTAAATCGAGTATGTCGTAATATCTGTACTTCACCGGGTCGGGTATCGGTATCCTTTGACGTCTAACCAAAACGCCTTCACACATATGTATGATACATATAAAATACGATCACACATAATCGCTATACAGGTTTTTCTGATTACTTCGAATATATTATTGTAATTATAAACAATTATTCTCTCTATTAATTTCTACGTGATATAAAAAATATATATATGAAAAAAAATTCTCAATATAGCGTGAAACACGTTAAATAAAATAAATTTTGTTCCATGCTTTATTGACAAAAAAACTGAAAATAGACAAAAATTATCAGAAGGAAATGCACCGTTGAACCTTGCTCAAGACCACTGTTGTCCACGGACGGCTCTACGATCTTCATCGTTCCGTCCTCGAGGAAGAAGCTGATTTTTACCACGCGAATGTGAGAAGCCACCTTCCATCTCTCTTGCACAGTCTCTTGGAAGTACGCTTTGAACATGAGTCTCTGAACAACGGAAGCGCGACGAAATGACTCAAAGTTAATTACGTTTGTTTAAGTACTTTGTTATATAATTATTTGTGTATATTTTTGTAGAATTTATTTTACACTCAAAGGGTGGTACGTGAACAGTTTCTAATCTACGAGATCCTGATACCTGTCCGTCGAACGCAAGCCACGGAGGAATTTCTGGCATTTCCCCAGGAGGATAAATGGACGAATAACGACTGTAAACGCTTGTGTCCGCTTTCTCGGACAAATAATAAACTCCCTCGTGTATTTTGTCGAAATGATGCTTTTTGTGAAATCGAGTTTTGCCCAACTGCAAGATACATCCGTGACACTCGAATCTCTTTGCACGTGTGACAAGTTTCGTATATTGACAGTTTTATGTATATTTTACAGTCGGTCTGTGTAATTTGTTTTCGATGACGCGCATAAACAATGATTCTTCTCTAACAGATAAAATGTGATAACGATCGATGCGACATGTGTGTGTGTGTGTGTGTGTCACAGCTGTGTCATATAAATGTCAAAGTACTTACGTTTTTGTCAAAGCTAAAGCCTGGAAGACAAGGTAACGTCGGTGAGCGTTGCATACTGATAAAAATTCTATCAATTTGCAATTCAATTATCAATTATTAAATTCATTACAAATGGCGCAAAGAGATTGTATGATATTTATAAAAAGTCTTTTCGTGCGACGAGAAGAATGTTACCGATGAGGAACATCATATTTATGTCACTACGTGTTTCCTTGGTGATCGTTGGATCTATACGACAATAAGCAACAACGACACACACGGTTCCTACGAACTTCGCGCGAGATCGCGATTTTTGTTTATAAATTTCATGTGTACAAATAACTACAACAGCATGACATAACAAAATTTAACGAGTATATTTATGTTAATTTACTAGCTAAAGATTCGGTATATTAAAATTACACAAAACAAATTATATATCTGATGTATGTTTTATAAGATATTTTATCTTATAAAATATGCAAATTACATTGTAATATATACTTATTAATAAGATTATCTTCTAATCGTTTGTGCAATCGATAAATGCATCATTCAGTTTTGTTAGTAAATGAAGCAGTGTTGAAATGACTAAGCAAAGAAGAAAAGGAACATAACACATTATTATACTTTAACATGACTAACGTTTATAAGATTAATCACACGCGAGATACGTGAAAAAATCGTTAAATTCAGATCATTTCAGTATTAGTTTCCTCCAATAATGCCGCATCGAACAAAAGTGTTTAACGTGAATAAGACGTAGATACGATGAGCAGCGGAAAAAATTTTTGATGTTTCTCATGTGCATTTAACTTAATCGCAATTAAATATAATCGTGCATACATTTTTTTCAGATTATAAATAGTTGCTTATTATTAAATGTATATGAATTTATTGTATATATGTTACTCTTATATATATATATATTAAATTCATGCATATAAGAAGTATTTAACATTTAATTAAACGTCCAGCGCTTAATTAGTTCAGGCACATGTTTTCCGCAAGAGAAAAATAATTTGGTAAAATTTTGATTTTGCCTCGCAAAAATCTAATTTTTTTTTTAGGTATTATACCAAGAAAATATGCGAATTATCAAGGCGCGTTAACTAGAATAAATTATTAAGCTCATCCACTCATGCTCGACAGTCGCGGCAACAATTTGTATGTATTCAGATTCATTTCTTGCCATTGGACGGCGTAAGTACGATTGCGTTAAATGAGACCGAGTTTAGTTGAATAATATCAACGTCAGAACAGAGTTCATTGAAATGGCGATACTCGAAACAAAAACTTTCATTGGTTGTAAAAATTGTCAAGTGGGAATTTGAGAGGTCGTTTCGTCAGACAGACGCACAAACGCTCGAATTTCCACTTTCTTTTCTTCTTGTTCTATTCCTTGACCTCCGGCTGTAAATCGTACCAGCTGGTGATCGCCTTCGTAACATCGATCTCGCTTAATTTTATATGAACCTGTCCCATCACGTTACTTCCAGTCGAAAGCCAACCCTTTTGGGTACATACAGATATTTCTAGCATGCGGGTGTTCAAGTCACCCTGAGATACAACATATTCGAATTGTTCGTCGAACGTTGGGTTGCAATTATCCTTTATCACGGCTGTTTTGCGCTTTGTTTCCTTGTGTCGGTCTGGCAGAATATAGAGTTTCACGTACGGATCCGGTATATTGTGCGGATCATTTTGTGGAAGCGGGAGATTACTGCAACACGCAAATGAAGTAACGAATGGATACGAATTGAATTCATCAATAATAAATACTAGATCTGTCGATTCGCACTTACGCAATTTTGTGCACAACAACGACAAGCTTCTGCCTCTGCACGCTGTAACGCAGAGTCAATTGTATTCTGCCCAATTTGGCATCACCCAGAGAAGAGGTCACGCTTGGGTTTCTATGAATAAGATGTGATGAGATTTCAGAGACAGGAGCATTGGTGCTGAGTATCACGTCTTCTTCTATAGCTGCTGATTCTTCGGGCAATAGCGCCGCACCGGATCCAGTACTGCGAGGTTGACTGTTGACCGAATCTTTCGAAGGGTGTTTCTTAAGAGGACTGGGAGGTACTGTTAAGATATAGATAAATCGAGATTGAAACACAAATTTCGCGCACATATATCTCGGTCATATTAATGATGTCAAGTGTTTTGAAATATTATTTAAAAAAATCTAACTTGAAGTCGAGAAACTTTCCTAATAAGAATATTAATGCAATTCCACTTACCACTAGAAGATAATACGTTACTAATGTTGGACTCCTGACGTTCGATTCGTTTGTTCAATTGATTGATGTCGTGGTCGTCATCATCTTCCTCGGAAGTAGGCTCAGGTTCTGAATATTTCAAAATCTGTAACAATAAATTTGTTTTGATGAGAAAAATATTTAAAGCTATCGAAATGTGCGTGTGTCTATCTAATTGTATTCATGTTTATGTAAACTTTTTATAGCGCTTACACTCAATGACATTGACAGTACGAGTTTGCTGTCTGACTCGGCCATTTGCAAATCGAACGGTTGTTGGGTAATTTCGAGATTATTTTTCTCCAAAAGCGAGGAAAGATTGTAACTCATCTCCCCAACTATCGTGGCAGTTTTCTCATCGGTAATCTACGGAACAGCGCTGTTAAATAACGAGATAAGTCAAATAATAAGATGATTCTCATATTATACATTATGTGAAAACAAACTTTTATAAATAAAACTCCAGTTTCAGGACTGCTAACTAAGAAAGTGAATCCTCGTTCCCACACTGGATCACAGGAACGCGGTACGGTGGCCGTTCTTTCTTTATTTCCTCCGACGCTCGCCTCCAGATAGACATCGGGTTGTTTATTTCCTCGAACATACTACGCGCATAACACAATGTTAGTGTCGTTCTGTTAACAATATCGCTTGCATTCGCGTTTTTACGTAACTTTAACTGACGTACCGGCAAATTTTTAGCAGAATCGACGTAGAGTATGAGAAGAGCCGTGCTCATCGATGTAACTCTAAGTTCTTGAGTTTCTATTAAAGCCTGCATAAAAAATTAAATAATTATACGTACGGTTGTTAACAGAAGTGCACACACACACACATATTTTTTTCTTACTTACAGCTCTCAAATCAGCGGGATCTTTTGAGAGTTGCAGCCATGTCAATCGCAAATGAAGCATACCATGCTTTGCCTCCTCCAAAGAGACCCACTGCAAAATAAAAGATAATTATAGTAAATTGATTAAAATCGAACAAATTCTTACGTTCTCAAATACATTTCGTACTCACTGTATCGATTGTGCCCTTTTTTTTCACCCGGTTAACTTCGATGGTAGCTCTGTCGCGCGCAATAAAATAAAAAACCAGTTTCAAAAATAGTTTTCCTCACTAAATCTTAAAAAATGAGTAAATTTATTCAAGAGCTTCAAATGTATGCATTTAGTGATGATGATGACAGCAGGATGATTGCTGAATTTATATGCAAATAATCATATCCGTAATACGGTTGTAAAGCTTCCATGCAGCAATAATGCGATTAAAGTTTTTATACATAGATTAAAGTTTTTAAAAAAGAGTTTTAAATAGAGTGCGATATAAAAAAAATCGCTTTTGGAACACATTATGTATATATGTTTAAAAAACATGCAACATTCCACAGCATTACACTTTATTGCGTAGAGAAAAAACCAGACATTTCACCGTTTAATCAATTTAAGAGTAATGTGGTGACAACAAATCTTTCATTTTTTTTTTTTTTTTTAACGTTTTCTCGAATATCTTTCAAACATCATGCATCACAGATATGCAATTGCTTATGTTTCAAATGTGCTGCTGTTACTTCACAGAAGTAATAAGATAAAAAAATACAGCCTTGAAGCACAATCTACAATAATAAACGACAAAGTATATAAAAATCCGCGTACTACTTTATATTCTATACAAGTCTTTGTTCGAAATGCATTATCGATCTGTTCTGGAATTTTAATACTGTGAACTGGTTTTATATTCAGCAATACCTGCCAAGTGGGTCATCTTGACCAGCGTTGTCTTTGTCAAAGAGTTGGGTAACCACCGTGTTGTGGGCTCCCAAGCCCTCTTCCACTACAAACTGTCACCATATAATCTATTTTAGTTGATTTTCTTATTAAAAGACGTCACCTAATCACTCCGAATAAATTAATTAATAAAAACAACCAAACCATCAAAAAGGAAATAGTTGTGTTACAAAAATTATTGAAAAAAAAAACGGCATAAGATTAAAAGTGAATTTGAATTATTCTACGTATTAATACGATTATTGAATATAGTGCAATTTACACATGTTTTATTAATATATATTATATATACATAAACTGATATTTTGTATATATATATATATATATATATATACAAAATTGGTGACAAGAAATATACAAAATTAGAAATATTCGTGCAGCACGCTATCTTTTTGTTTGTCAAGCTAATCATATCTGCAAGGCAGTAAAAGAAATTTGTTCAAAAACAGTTATAGATCTAAGTGATTATTAACTTAATTGCACGTAACACACACATTACACAAATATTACGAGCTAAAACATGCCCGAACAAGTGTAACACCGAAAGCTTTAACATTAATACATAGTTGTTAGTGACGCACAAGAGCACGTTGTGCAAATCATAATGTTACTACCTGCCAAGGAAATCATCACATACACCTGGGACATTTGGATCCCAATCCCAAAGTGATACCACAGCTTCTTGCATATTGCATGAAGTGATCATAGCCTGTGTGCCAATATCATATTGTATATACCAAATATAAATGTGAAATATACTATCTCTTTTAATATGGCATTTATAACGCGTATGTTTTCTCGAGAGTATGTCTGTCTCTCGCGTTTTCGCTTACTTCGTTGTGACGCTATACATATGTATAAGTGTGCTATCAAATGAATCTTGAGAAAACGAAGATATACACATGTGAAAACTTAACTGTTTACGATATATGCAGAATCTGAAACAATGACTGCGATATATGTTGTCACAAAAAGAATAAATCAATTCAACTTCGTAACACGACGATTTTACGTTAATCACAAAGCAAATAAAAGAAAATCAATGCGAAAAAGAAATCGGTAAAACGAAATAAAACCCAACGTGCATTCAACTTTGTACCAAATATAATTAGAACACCAATTATAAACGTCGTTACACACCAGCATGACATCATGCGACAGAAGCTTCTCCACAGATTGACAGGACACAAGTCGAACGAACTTTTAATAAATAATTTTCCAAACGAATTATATATACATTTTGCAACAAAAAAAATAGCAGAAAAAGATATGTAAAAAGAAAATTATTAGCAAGATAATACCGTACATGGTTTTATGAGATCTTTTGAAATATAAGTTTGTTTTTTTCTTCGTGATCGAAAGTTATGTGAACGTGAATAATGAAAAAAAAAAAAAAAAATTAAATAAACGTAATGTTGTATATAAAATTGTACCTTCCAAGTTTTTCGTCGCCCTTAGTGTCGTCATAGTCCCACAGCAACACGGTCACTTGTTGTGCGAGGGCTGAGGTCACGGCACACTATAGTCCCACATAATATATAGCAAATCACATACACACATACATACCAACATAATATGGAATTAAATTAGATTAACAAATCGATTAAAAATGTGTATTTTGTATTGACAGTTCGAAAAAAAGAGCAAGACATTAACCAGTAGCAGAGAAATAGGAGATGTAATCGTAGAAATCGTTTTAAAAATATTCATAACTAGAAATTATGTGAATTGTATTAAGCAGATGATATCTGCAGCCACAGCTGAACAATTATTATTCGTCCATTTGATGAGAGTGTAAATGTAATGCAAGGGAGAAATATGTAAAACTAATGTATTAGTGTACAGAAAAAATTTGTATCGTCAACTCGAACAGATCGAGATGACAATGTATGGAAAAGATGCTTTCTAAATTGTGTGCTGGAATATTTTCTCTTACCACACAGAAGACCTTGTATCTTGTATAGATTTTTTTAAAGTGTGTTTATAAATTTATTTAGGTTGCGTTGAAGCACATGCATTAAACGTTTGTTAACATTTCGCGCTCAACTAAGTGCGTAGCACATACCTCACACCAGAAATCCCATTTTGGATTAACGGTATTGTCAATTGTCTTCGTTCTGAATTCTTGGGCGCCGACATTTATAATGGCGTACGGATCGGACTTTCCTTTACCCAACATTCCGATATCTTTCTTCATCAGATGCTTAGCTTCCACAACATGAATTCTCAAAACACCCTGGTATAAAAAAGATAAAATTATCTCATAAAGAACATGTATACAACGTGTCGTGTGCCGCGCACACAATGACTGTTTCTTTAAAAACTTACTTCGGGTTCGGGAAGTTTTAAAGTCTCCATTGGTACTTCCTCGCTTAACGGCACGATTATTTTGTTCGGTAATACAACGATGGCTGCTATTTGTTCGACGATTGTCTTCCTTAAAATTTCGCTGAAACAAAAGCGTCGTGTCTTGAGATAGTTTTTATTCATGTACTAGATGATAATATTAAGTAACGTAATTAGTTTAAAAAATAAAAAAATGACTTTAAACAAGAAATACATACTTGAATCCAGGTAAATCCAACACATCAGCCACTCCTACCAAGTTAAAGTTGATGCTAGGATTGTTCAAGTAGAATATCTGTACGCCTCCAATTAGTGGCATTACGGACAACATGGGTTTCATGACAACGCGCACCAAACCACGAATCTGAAATTGAACATTTTCACTTAACAATGCAAAAATATAATTTTGCATGTGTGGACGTGTGTTTGAAAATTGTTTTAATATATTTACTTGAAAATCCTTAATTCCACCTTTAATGTTCCCGACGAGGAAAGTAATATCACAGTCACCAGCGTACCTGCAATTTATTAAAAAAAAAAATAATCAATTTGTTCTAAACACTATACTCGCAAAAGAAGTAAACTACGTACATGACGTCGGCGTCTAAAATGATCTCATTTCTCGATGTATTTTTATCGTAAACTTTGATTCCATAAATTTTAGGCGGCTATAAAAAAAAAAAGTGTTTTACATCAATTTTTTATAAATTTAAAATATCACAAATTATATGTAAACGTAAAGAACGAAACTTACAATACGACCTAAGACTAAACGATCGAATTGAAAGCCCTTGATTTTATATTCCGTGAGCTTCTCAACAATCGATGGTTCTATAGTCTGTTTGCACAGTTGTCGAACGAACTGATTCATACTCGGCCACACTTTGTATAAAATCTGAAAATTACAAAAACCTGTGAAAACTAATTTGTAACATACACTTTTCTGCAACTTAAAAAGAAAAAAAACTATATTATATAACGAGAATATAAATTTTTACAACACATTAAAATATCACACACGTACTCTGTTCAGCCACTCGGCTCTGTCGAAATCAGGAAAGTACACCCACGAGGGTAATTCGTCTATTCGACTGACGATTAATTCCTTTTCTTTGACCAGTACACTGGCCTGTGCTGTGATCGTTCTCAGCTCGTTGTCCTTTTTTCGTTCCGACTTCCACACAGAAAACGCGATCGGTGCGATCAGCCAGGCTATGCTCAGATTGAAGTATCCCCATCCCCAGATGAAACCGGCCGCTGTTAATTTCATTAGGAACGACATTGTCAGCGAAGTAACGTTCATGTACGGCCACGTGTTTGGAAGTTTGGAAACTTTGTTAGAAGTGTTACTTTCCGCTTCGCCTTCCATTGTTGTTAATTTTCAGTTTTCTTTTATCGGACGTTTTTGTTATCGCAAATATCTCTCGGATTTTTCTGCAAACAGAGAAATAACATATTTATTTTTTTATCGCAAAAAATATTATTACCTCGCCAAATAATTATACACGTTGCGCAAAACACAGTCAATAATTTAACATCGCTTCATCTTTATAACACGCACCTAGTGTAACGTAATGATTGCGTAAAAATTGCAACGAGTTGTTAAAGTTGATCGACATGAGAAACAAATTCTCTTGTAATCGCTCGTTTCTTTTTTTAATCTCTGACCGAAGGAGTTGAATCATTCTTTGCGGTTCACGCTACAATAGCACGTTGTGCGGAGAAAACGACAACATGATTCATAAGCGATAACGCGACATTTTTAAAAAGTTTTAATGGCCGAGTCGAGACAGCTTTCGTCGCAGAAATCGATTGTTTGAACACGCGTGTAAAATCTGTGTGTCCAAAGATATCGTTTCTCAATCAACATTTCTCGTGAAACGCACATTCGCCGAAATCTAAATAACATAGCGGAGAAGTGTGCAAATTTCAGATACGTACACAGCATTGTATATTTTACCGAAGGTATGTTTTCGAAGCGATTTCGCGGACCAAAATCAGAACGTGAAATTGGAGCACATCGAATATCAAATCTGATGAATTCCAAAAATAAATGAAGAAGAAACTCGCCACATCGAACTCGTTCTTGTAACCCCATGTTACAACACTGTTCAATCTATTAATAAACGTTAAGACAAATCTAATTGGGAGCAGAGAGATATCGTCTGTTTACAAAAATATTTAACAAACACTGTGTCTTTCCACGTTTATTATCTCGTTAATTTCTCATATATAAATTTTTTTTATTTACAAAAATATAAAAAACTACAATTAGAAATGTAATAAAAAATATAGTTAATATGCTACTGTAAATTAATCGTTCGATAAATATTGTTTGCACAAGCTCTTTATGACGCTTCAAAAAAAAGTAGTTAAATCTTTTTAAACGTTCGTAAAAATTTTTACCAACTCTTTAAAGGTGACTTAGAGTCGTACCAGGAGGAAGCCACATAAGTAATTCTCGCATACCAAAGTGGTTAGCTCTATTACAAGATCGGAGATTCGCCCTTGAAAACAGATTCGCCTTCTCTCTCTCTCTCTCTCTCTCTCTCTCTCTCTCTCTCTCTCTCTCTCTCTCTCTCTCTTAAAGCTGACGTGGTGATGACTTTTGCATAAAATAGCGTTGTAAAAAAGATAAAAAAAAAAAGAACATTCTCGCTGCGACTAGACTAGAAAAAGCTTAATATGCAAATTTATGCAAATATTAATGAGAATAACAAGTGAATTAAATTCATTGCTGAAAATTATCCAAGACGCACAATTACAATAGCTGATCTATATCGCGATTAATAATTCGTACTCTGTGATACACCAATTTATTAAATCGCTCCAGATTCGAGCCGTGAATTTTCCTCTCAAGGAAGGGCGACACCCCGTTTATTTCGATCGAGTGCAAAATCCAGCACACGTCAATACGTCGTGTTGCCGTCAAAATTCGTTTCGAAAAAAAACAAAAGAAAAAATGCGATTGCGATCCGCAAAAGTGTCTATACGAGCAATGCGCACGCGACAATGGCACAACAAGCATGCGGTCGTTACGTTCGTTAGAAGCAATTGAGGCAATAAAGTCGCTTACACTTGAAATCGGACAACATCGGCATGTGCGTATTCTGTTGTTTTTTTTTTTTTAGCGATGACAGCGAACCAAACACACGCGCGATCGTAATGACTACTGCTGCCACAGCCTGATACCAACAGCTGTGGCGCGACAGATGCGGAGAGTCGCGTGACGTTTCGCGCGCGCACGCGCAATAATCGCCGCGGCCATGTTTCGCGTGAACTTCGAATCGTTTTTAAAGATCTGCGTGTCTACTCTCTCCGAGAAATTTGATTGAAGTAATATGTACGTATAGAACTTGAATCGTGGAAAACAAAACTTGCATGAAAATTTGAAGTTATCGAAGTGAAACCTTTTTTGTTCTTGAACTTGATTAAGTTTTTTAGATCGCAGGTCTTTGCTGCGTATAAACTTGTGTTCTTTTTTAAGGCCAATATTCACAGTCGAATCTTATATTTAAGAACATCTCGAGTTCTCATCTTAGTGACAGCCAATGAGACGGTCCCATATCTTAGAACGATCTTAAATATAAGGTCAGATTATAGATTGACTAGTGTTTGTTTTTGTTTTTTTTTTTCAGTTCAGGGATAATCGGTGCGAACGCGCTCGCAGGTCGTAAGGTGCTGCCATCGCGCGATACCGTCGCGACATATCTCGCATGAGGGCTGAATTCAATCGAGTTGAATTCGTCGGGTCGGACCGACCGACGTCATCCGGAAAGACGAGGATACATGCTCGTTGGTCGCGTGTGCGAGCGATTGCACGTCAAGCCTGTCGGAGAGGAGCGGCGCCTTGAAAACAAGCCGCGTTAGAAAATTGCGTTCAGTAGCGAGGCGCGCTTCGCGCCGGTTGGACGAGTTGACGTTTCGACTGTCTTGAACGTGCGGGAACGAAAACATACGTTTGTTTCTCGACGCGACAAGGTAATGCACACGCATATTTCTCTCTTCTCCGCGGAAGAGTAAAACGACGAGAATTGATTGATCACGGACCGGGTGTATATACAAACAGCCGCGGGTTCAACATGTCCATGAAGGTGAGTTGTTGGTGGCGAAAAAAAATTGACGGATATATATCTACACTTTGTCTGTCGTGTTTCTTCTTCGAATTTTATCGATGCCGCACCGTTTTCGGGTCAAGCAGCTCTCGGCGAATACAATGGAATTGATGCTTGTTTGTTTTTTGTTTTTCTTTTTCTTTTTTTTTTTTTAGGTTACTTTAAGTTGAAAAAACACATTTGTTTAGATTTACGCGAACAAATTCCAGTGAGATAAATTTTATGTGTCGTAAGTTGTTGCGAGAATAGTTGACAAAAAAAAAAAACACGAAGAACGTGTTCTTTTTCTCTCGAGAGAGAAAAAGAGAGAGAGAGAGCCTCAACTTGTTTGAGATTGACCCGTGACACTTATATTATTTTCATTATCTCTCATTGTGTCATTGTGACGTTGAACGTGATTTGCGTATTAGACGAGCAAAATAAAAAAAAAAAATATTCTAGACAGATATCCAGAGCGGTAGATATACCGTACGATTATGTATCTTATCGTTTATATAGAGCGCATTTTATTTTCCGCCTGTCGGGGCGGTGAATTGTGCGCGCACACCTGCGAGCGCCGATTAAAAACGAAAGGTGAAGTCTTACCGCCGCGCCGCACGAGGCGCCGTTTAATCACTGCTGTGTGTATGTATGTGTGTATGTGTGTGTCAGATATTTTTTTTCAGCAGAAAGCTGACCGCAAAACGTCAACGTTTCAGCTCGCTTTAACTTTTTAATAATAATAATTGAAACACATAACTTTGTATATATTGTACAAATAGTTTATTGCCCCCGTCTCTGAGCGAGATATTGAAATTTTTAATCGTCCGTGAGTGCGCAATTGATGATTGACAAAAAACTCCAAAGCTTGATTGAATAAATATCGACTGATGTTAAATTCGTGACACACTTTACAATATCGAGCGCTGTAAAAAGTTCGCTCTCGTAACCGGTCTCGTCGACGTTGGCGAGTGATTTTGAACAGCCGTGCGAGAGAGTGTGTTTTTTCTTAAAATTTCTCACAGTCTCTATATATAATCTGCACGCTGTTGCGCAACATTCTCGAACGTCGTAATAAATTCGCAATCGACATTCGCGTACACATTCGAAAGCGAGAATGTAACTTGTAACAAGCATTAGAACGCAGTCTCGTCCTCTCCTCCGCAGACTCCGCGCTCGGTAAACAACCAATCAAATGCGCGACCCTTTTTTTTTTTTACAGCGCGATGCCGCGATGTTTATCGTGCGGAAGCGACCAATGAAACGCCCGCCCTTTTATTCGGCGCTTACGTCACGTGTCACACGTGCGAGACACCATCATTGCCTTCTGTATATACAAACACATGATGTAACATAGGAAAGAGAGAGAGAGAGAGAGAGAGAAAATGATGATGATGATGATGATGATGATGGACGCGCTGAAATCCTGGCGGTAAAATTTTTCCGCGCCATTGAGCGCGCGCAACCCAACGGTAACCCGCGTTTCTGTTGCAATTTTACGTTTGCGATCCGTGACGCGCGTCCGGAATCGGCGAATCGGCGAAACTAACGGATTAGACCAAAGTTACAGATATCGCGCGATCCACAGACCCATTTTCCACCTTCGAGTGTAGAATTCCTCGAAATGCGTTTCGGGACCGAGAGTTCCCGTTAGGAAACATAACATTCGCAAGAGCACCACTTGTTGTGGAGAAGGTACATGCACAACGTATATACATATATGTTCGTCGAGATATCGTTTTGATCGTTGCATCGATGTTGCATGTGATCTTTTGTGTCTTTTTACACGCCAGAAAGAAAGCAAGTACGACAATAAGATATCTGTCTCGAACGCTTCTCGCATTCGTGTACGTGTCTTTCGCTTCTCATTTTTCGTCTTACCGGCGAAAAAAAAAAAAAAAAAAGAATCTCTTCCATTAACATGTCAATAACACTCGATTGTTCTCTCGTTCGTTTCAGAAAGAATCGCCTTGGGACGTGGAACTGCACTTGGCGGCGGCACGCGGGGACGCCAAACGTCTGCGTATTTTATTGGACTCCGGACGCGTCCACGTCGATTGCAAAGACAAGGTCAGAGAGAAGAATAATTCGTCATTACGAGAGAATCGAGAGAGTATAATTCGCCGACGAAACAACGCGCGCGTTACGCACGATCGGAAAATGGAATAGCAACGGTCTCTATTGAAGTTACACACACGTGAAAACGTTTGTTTCCTCAGCGAGAACGAACGATAACGTTGCCTCTCTTCCGAAACGTCCATACAAACGTCGCAGCGAATCGATTAATTTTACGATCGTATCGTGTTTTACTGTCGGAGATAAAAAAAAAAAACCAAACGAGAGAAGTCGCCTCGTGATATATAAAAAAAACGACGATTTCGCAGCAAAAATGATGATTTACCGGGCAATTTTCTCTTCTCGCGGCTCGGTCGGTTCATTATGCAAACGACGAGGAAGAAGCGAGCGAGAAACGCTTTATGTGTACGCGCTTCTCTCTCGAAAGTGGTTTATTAGATCACACGCGGACACACTAATCGTGCCACTTTTCGGTTTGCACGAGCGTTTTGCACGTCATATTTTCGCGAGCTCATTCGTATGGAATCGTGTCGGTTGTCAAGATCGGATCGAATGGCGGATCTCGTTCGGTGGACGAGCGCGGCTCCGGAATGCTCCGGCGATTCTTTTTTCTCCGTGTTTAAAAAAAATAAAAAATCGAAGCTTCTCACGTGTTTTGTCCGTTTGAGAAAATAACAAAGAAAATCTGAGATTTTCTTTTTTATTTTTGTTCCTTTTTACACACACAAATTATCGCTTTGGTGATATGATAGATTTTATCGCTGTCGCGCGCAACTCTGACTCACCTCTGTGTTACACACTTAGGACACTTAGCGTATCTTAATGACTTGGTGAGAAACAATTAGAAAACACACGGCATACATTTTGTCCGGGTAACGCCGTTCATCGACGTCAGGCGAGTTCCGCGGCGAATTAAATTGTTTGTGGAGCAAATTTGCTTTTGCAAATCGGTGACGTTGTTTGTTTGTTTATTTATTTATTTATTCTTTTCAGGACGGCACGACGCCTTTGATATTGGCCGCAGCTGGTGGTCACCTCGACGCTGTGACCGAGCTGTTGCATCAGGGAGCGGATCCTAATGCCAAGAGACTGGTGAGTTCTTGTTCTATGACGGCTGAGAAAAAACATTCTCGTAAAAGCAGCCAGCTGTAAATATTTGTAAATAATAGTGTGTGGAATTTCTGTTCTCTTACATATGTAAAACACTGCTGTTCGTGAAACCTGCCTGCAATTAAATGCTCTGAAAGAGAGAAAGAGAGAGAGAGTGGGAAAGATAGAAAGAGAGAGAGAGAGAGAGAGAGAGAGAGAGAGAGAGAGAGAGAGAGAAGCAGTTGTTTATAACTGAGACTAACGAACACTATCGGCTGATTTATCTATCAAACAACTTATCTCTTCTTAAGATTGTACAGGATGATCGTTCGATGATACACCTGATATTTTTCAACAATTCCGTTTCTTTTTTATACGCAAAAAGTGATCACATTATTTACACAAACGAACACACGCCCGTACTTTAATTCACGGTTGGTTGTTCAACAAGACCTTCGAGATCTCTTAACTGAATGAAACTCGCGAGTGTGAGCGCGCATCTTATTTAGAAATCCTCTTTATAAATAAAACTTGTTTCAAAAGTGTCGCGCTGCTTCGAAATAGAATCTGTAAAACTTCCTGGTCTCCTTCTTCTAACGCAGTGCGTATTTTTAAAGCACGAACTTCGACGAGAGACATAAAAAGCAAGTCGTCGAGAACGGCAAAGGCATCAGCTGCCGGATTCATTCCTGTTTTAAGTGCCTCGTCGTGGATTTATCGTCGAGCCCACGCCTCGTTCTCTCTTCCTCGTCGATGTCTCGTGCCGTCCAAGAGCGCGGCATTGTATGTAAATTGGTGACGAGATTGGCGGCGTTTAACGAACCGACGTTACGTCGTGTAGTTCAGGAAATAAAAGAGAAGTGTAACTCATAAAGAAGAAAAGAAAAAAAAAAGAAGCCTCGAGAAATGAAGTTCAATTGTATTTTATAATAATGTTTTTTTTTTTTTTTTTTATCTTATAAAGTCGTAAACATTTTTATCGCGTACATATCACCGCACTGATTGTCAGTTGCGTAGCGGATAGGATTACTCGAAAACGAGAAAAACGCGATCGTATATAGAAATGTAGTCAACGATCAAAGTTGATCGCATCATTTGCGTTCCTCTTCTGAGATTGACCATAAGCGGTGACAACGTCATCGCGCTCTCGTCGGAGAATTACGCAAACGTTCGTTAAAAACCCGTTAAACGCGTTTGTTCTCTTTTACGCAATCACAACTGGGATCAAGATTTAGGGATTATCTTCATCGACGATCGTCTCTGGCACGCAAACACGGTCTTTTCTAAATTAACATTTCTCGAGGCCTCATTGCACGCGCGTTCATTACATCCCGTTTCTAGTTTTTCAATTCACGTTAATGCACGTGTCAACAATTTGTTAATAAATTTTAAGAAAAACTCTTAAACTCTTTCTAAAGAAAATAAACTTTTTACAGATCGGGGAGAAGCAGAGAGAAAGAGAGAGAGATAATGATTAATATAAAAGGTCGAGAGACATCAGGACTCTCCGAAATCGCAGGAAATATCTCGAAACTTCTCGACGGTTGTTCGTTCGCGTGGCGAAACTACCAGTTTTTTTTTTTTTTTTTTTCAGCGATGACCCGGAAACATTTATAACGCGGACGATTTGCAGTATAAATATCGCGACGACGTGAGAAACGCAGAAAGAGAATCAAACGAGAATAATCCAAGGTTGTGCCTAAGTGAAGCAATAACACACTTGAGTTTGTGCTACAACACAACCACTCTCGCGCGCGCGCGCGCGTGCACGAAGTTTGCGTGATTCTAAATATTTCCTCTTAATAGCGGAACGCCTGCGCGCAAAACATGCAACTAGCATGGTAAACGTGAGTTGAGAAAATTATCGCTGACACTGTCTCTGTAATCTGTCTGTGTTTTCCGCGCCGCCGTATCGAGATGATTACGTCTCCCCGAGCAAAAAGTCCGCTCGTTCATAATACCATTCGTTTTATTAATAACAAATAATCAGCGGATAGTTTTTGCGTTTTTCTTCTCTTCTTTTACAAATTGGATTCTCACTTGAGCGAGGTGTATACATATTTTTATCGTTTTTTTTACTAGGATTTCCACTCAAGCAAGAAGCAAACTCTGTTTCGCTGCTTTTTTATTTTTAACACTTGTTCCTCCGTATTTTGCACTTTGCTGTTTCAGAGAACGGTGTGTTATCACAGTCTTATGACAAGTATTTTGCGTGGTCTGCAAATTTGTCTTTTTTTGCGACTTTTTGATTTTTCCAAATGCGAGAGAATTATCGTCGATAGAAATTTAAAAGAATAATGAGTTTTTACATTGTCTATAAATTCCACACACGCGACTATTGATCGTCTAAAAATGGACGATACTCGCGCGGGTGAATGACACCTATCGGGTCACACACGACAGAGTCTCCGATCACTCGCAGATCTTAGATAATTTCGAAGCGCAATGTTCGCTCTCGTTGAACAAAATGATGTAATCGTTTGCGCAAAATTATTTTACATCGTCTTTATGAATTAATCATCAGTCATTTTTTTCCGTTTGTTGCTAAACTTCGCACTTGAAGTATATAATTTGCATTCGGTTTCTCATTTCCAGAGACGTGTTGTGGTGTTCCGAGTAATTTCAGTTTGCACGACAAATACATTTGATCCGGACCGAGGGGATAGAGTTTTGCTCATTCTCGCACGACCGCATTGAGATACGGCGCGGAGTGGTGCCGGCGAGATGTCGTCGACCGCGAATTTTCATCGGCAAGATTTACCTGTCTAAACCGACAAGTTGATCGTCGCGTTATAGAATTTCTGCGGTGTATACCAGAAGGATAGAGCGCAAGAGAGAAAGAGAGAGAGAGAGATATTGTGCTATACAACGTCGTCCCCCGCTTTGTTCGCCACGCTTCACGGCACATGTAACTTCACGTCGCGCGCCGTTCGTTTCCAGATATTTTGCAAACAGAATAATCTGTCCGTTCGGACAATCAGATCGTACAACTGGAAACAAGTGGCGCGCGATACGTAAAAAGAGACTTCTTCAAAATTCTGATTTCTCTCAGTTTCTTTCTTTGTTTCCGACTTTGTCCATCCCGTTAGTCTTTTTACGACAGTGAAAGTCCCGTCCCGGCGTGAGGGACTACAGATGAAATGTACTTTAAACAAAATTTTTTTTTAGTATTCTCCTTTGCGCGTGTTTTGCGGCGATCCTTTGCGGCGATTGATTTGATTATCAAATTAGTTCGTACAGGAAAAAAACATCGAGCTTTCACCACGTTTGAAAAAGCAGTTCCGCGAAGCAATTTATTAACGTTCGCGGCTCTGTTACCGGTTCCGCTTCTCATTTTTAATTTACTTTTTCCCTCATTTGTAGGATGCGATCAAACACTCACCGACGTTCCGCAATTTATCTGGTTTTCGTGAAAGCTTTGTGTAACGCTAGATTTTCTAATTGCACCGCGTTGCAATTTAGATCTCGAAACTCGCGCGTCCGATCAACAAAAGTTTCGAGAATTTAATCATCACTCGATTTGCGATACACGTCATGTGATCGAGTCACGCGAGACGGTTACCCTGAAATGGTGAAGGTCTCGTGTTCACACACTTTCCCACGTGGAAATGTGTGAATTTCGTAGAAAAATCGATTAGAATTTCAAACTTCAGCAGTCGCACTTAACGGAGTTGTTAACAATTACAACTTGTTGAAAAAAAAAAATATCGGTGCGAGAAAAAATAACGTTGAAGTGTGTTTCGTTTTATTTGCAGACCGGGACAACGGCGTTGTTTTTTGCCGCTCAGGGCGGATACATGGACATCGCGAGTCTGCTTCTGGAGCACGGCGCGATTGTGGACTCGTGCAGCATAGTAAGTGAGGAGAGCGAAGAGAATGCTCTCTGCAGGAAGCATCTTTAGTGCTTTAGCGTGTAACGATATCTCGCCGCTCTTTTAATGCCGCGCCTAAACGTGTGTGTATTCCACGTGGATTTCAGGACGGCGGCACGCCGCTCTTCGTCGCATGCCAGTACGGTCATCTGGACGTTGTGGAGGGTTTGATAGAGAGAGGCGCAAGCCCGAACGCTCACATGAAAGTAAGAGAACTCGCTTTGACAGCACGACTTACGACTTACGACTTAAACAAGTGACATTTATATACACTCAGAGATAGGTTTTATCAGCGGTATTTATTTCTGTTACTTTTCACTTTGTTAAACTTTTTTTCTTTTAACGCACGTTACTGTGTGTTTGAGACAACGGGGACGCGACGTTAGCGAGAGAAAGTAAAAAAAGAAACCATTTGCGACTTATTCAGGACGGCGCTACGGCGTTGTTTATCGCCGCCCAAAACGGTCACCTTCGCATTCTGGAGGTTCTGCTGGAGCACGGGGCGAAGACGGACGCGGCAAGAACGGACGGCGCCACGCCGCTGTGGATTGCGTCGCAAATGGGCCACGATCACATTGTCAGGAGGCTTCTGAAAGCCGGTGCGAAGGTCGATGCCACCAGACACGTGAGTGTCGACATTTGTTCTTTTTACAAAGTAAAAAGTAAAGTACCGAGCTCTTTTGTATCCGCACGCACGAGCGTTGACTCTCTCATCATCATTTCGCAGGACGGCGCGACTCCGCTTTTCAAAGCCGCCCACAAAGGTCACACCGCTGTCATCGGCGAGCTGCTCAAATATCGTCCTTCGCTCGGCGTGCTTCCGGTAAGCGACTATTATCGCGAGTGTCAGAAGGAACAAGATTAACGACGCAATTTCGCGAGACTAATAAGCGTGTCTGGCCGAGAATAATAATTTCTATCTGAAGCAATAGTTCCAGTTTAAGATATTTATAACACGCGATTGTATGTAATCCGACGAAAAATTTTACAGACAGAATTAAAAATACAAGAACACTGGCGAAACGCGAGCGAATTGTGTTGTCGACTTCGTTCAGCGGAACGCAAGGAGTTGCACAAACGGTGGCATTTTTTACTTGTCGAAAGTTTCTACCGATGAGAAGCGCTTGAAATTGTTTTCAGCAAAAAAAAAAAAAAAATCCGCAAGAAGTTGCAACAACAGCTCATATTCTGCTGAACGCGGTTATTATATGCAATATTTAGTGCGTGGTGCGTCATTGTTATGCGCACCAGAACCGACTGAAGCTTAGCTTGACGATTTCAGAACGGCGAAAGTGCACTGCACGCGGCAGCCTTGACGGGACACATGACAGTAGCGAGGCAACTTGTGGGAGCGGGAGCTGATCCTTTGCTCGTAAATCAGGAGGGCATCACGCCGCTTCAGCTGGCTGTCAGACACTCGCAGACTCAGGTTGCCAATTATCTGAAGGATAAAGTGAGAGTGCGAACCGCGTCCTGTTAGCGATATAAAATCTGTTCCACACATTTTACCATTAGCATATCGAGAATCTCGAGATCAACGAGTCCAGCTCAAATATCGCGGCATTTCTAAGCGAACGTGTACGAAGCTGCGCGGGAAAAATTAGTCTAGTCTCATTATCAGTGTCGAGAGAAGAAAGAGAGAAAACGAGAGCTCTCTCTTGTTATTTAGAGAAATATTATCTTGCGATGTTATGTTTGAGAGAAGTTATTTTGTTGTTTTTTTTTTTATAAAGAATAATATATAAATATGGCGAGTGTGTATATAATATTAATATTTATCCTCTTGTTACACTTGTAAAATCTTCTTCTATTGGCACTGAAAATAAGACTGGATTACTTTTCTTCTCGCATTCTGTTTTATATTACGTGAACGGTATTGACAATTATGCTAAAAACGACAGTGAAAGGATATTAAATAATTTCGCACAGTAATATACGGGAGGACACAAGTGAGTTGACGACCACAAGTGAGTTGTAAATCTTATGAACAGAAATCCGTCTTTACATGAGTAGTTAGGTCTGTTTGTTTTAATTGTTTTTTTCTTTTTTTTTAAATAATCATATGTACGTTTATTTTAAATATAGAAAGCAATATATATACATATATATATGTATTAAAAAATTATGTAAAAGTAACACATATAAGATGCAATTAAAACAAACAGATCCATTGTTACGTAGTGTATATAATTACAATTATATATACACCCATTCCGTTTCTGTTATAAATTCTGATAAAAAGTATTTTAATATACAGGTTTTTAAACTACTGTAAATACAAATATATGCCAGGACGTTTTGTAAGAACGTCTGAAAGTGATAAATTTATTCCTTTGTACTATAATTTGTAGTACATGTTACTATTGTTAAAACGAATGTGCATCACGAAATCTTCGACTAACTTAGTAATAATTTTGTGCAATGAATTAACATTTGTCAGTTTTTTCGCTTTATAATTATGAGAGAAAAGTACTATTCATTAAGTTATTAGGGCTGAAACGAGTTTAAAATAAGACTGACTGATTTGCCTTGAAATAAATAATTATATTGTGTGTGTATATATACAGGGTGTCCCAGAGTTGCCGTACAATCTCTCGTAGGCAGGTAGAAGGAGTAAAACTGAGTCGAAAAGTCCTGAACCATTTTTTTCTATTATTTATAATAAAGGAGTAATTATTGAGTAAATCAGGCCAATCAGCGCAGACCTTTAGCCGGACGCACGTCAGTGAGCCGCGCGCCTGGTGTGTGTGAGCGCTCACTGACGTGTGCCTGGCTGAAGGTCTGTGCTGATTGGCCTGATTTACTCAATAATTACTCCTTTATTATAAATAATAGAAAAAAATGGTTCAGGACTTTTCGACTCAGTTTTACTCCTTCTACCTGCCTACGAGAGATTGTACGGCAATTCTGGGACACCCTGTATATATATATATATATATAAGTACACATTTATATATATATACATATAATTCTATTGAGTTATAGGGAATTTGCAAGAGAATTGTTATTTGTTTTATAATTATCACTTTTTTTTTATTAAGAAATGTGAACACATGTATTCAACACACTCAATGTTCTGCGAAAGTCTACATTAGGACAATGAACGAGATACTTCCACCATGTTTGTTTTTAGTTTTTATCGAAAAGTAATTATCGCAGACTACAATAGCTTTTATATGAATACGTTTTGCTTTCTTAGTATAATATAATTTTAGCTCTTGTTTCAGTAGAAGTAATAAGCATTCATCTTGTCTTCCTAACGCAGCATACAACTCATTCATCAAACATATTATTCCATATCTCATTGTTATTGTTAACAAAAAGATGCAAAAAATTAATAAAGAACTTTATATTGAAAAATTAAAGTGCTATTTTAACGTATAAAGTAATATGTATGTGTTATACAATAATTCTTTGTGTTTTGTTTTGATAAAATATATTACATATACATATATCAATTTTATGTACAAGTATTGTACATAATGTGTACAAACAAAGTTTTGTACATAATGTGTAATATATTCATATATATATATACACACATATATATGTGTATATACATATATGCCTGAATTTTTCTTCTAAATATTCTTTATATCTACAATTTTTATAATTTGTAGTATCTATTTGTCTATTTTTAATTTATTTAATTATTAGCGTTGTGCGTTATCACAGAATAATTCCACACAGTAAAACACTGGAAATACACTTAAACCCAAATATCGTATTTAAACAATGCTTTCAAAATGCACAAGTTTTAGTAACTTTATGACAATGTTGCTATAATAAAATTAAGAGAGTTACGCTTAGTATCTTAAACAAACAGTGACTCACATTCATATTTCTTACAATTAATATAAAAAAACTATGCAATATTATTTTTTAATTTTAACAATTGAAAAGGACAAATTTTGTCTTTGCAGTTTTCTTTTCCCAAAAGTCTAAACACATATTTTAAAATATATATATTCTGTATTTTTTATATATTTTACTTAAATATTTTTACATACATGCACATACAAAATTACAAAAAAACTGTAATAAAAAGATTTCTTTGAATGTAACTACTGTGTATATAACTAAAACAAGTACTGTGTACGTAACTAAATATCAAATGTCATATTTTTTCTTTATACAATATCGCAAGAGTGTTCCAGCAAAAACAAACAGTTGGATACCGTGTTTTATCAGTGCTGGAAAGCCACTGCCAAATAAAAGTAGTAAAATTTTGTGTTTGCATAATATGACATTTGACATTTAATTACGTATTTAGCAACTTTTTTCATTTTTTAGCTTCTGAGAAATATCTTTACATAATAATGAAAAGAAATGCGAAAAGAGGTATATTTTCTATGAAAATGATAATGAAGGCAGGTTTTTTTTTCTACACATGCACATATATGTATATAATCTAAACTTAACTTAAAAAGTAAATTTAATTTGCTACCAAAAACCAACTTATAATTTTCAAGTTGTCAATTTAAGTTTTTTAAATTAAAAAAAAAATTTTTCTTTTAATCACAAGAAAAATCACAACAACAACTCGAGAGTTTAACAAAATATTGTATAGGAATTCATCATATCTTGAACTTTGTCTGCCGAATAAAACGACAAAACTTTGCACCAACTTGTAATATATGAAACTAATAATTAAATTAGGTGAAGAGACACGTGGTTGTAATCGTCGGCCTTGTGTGCAGCTGTTAAGTGCCCATTTCCTATTTCATTTCAGATGCAAAGTATCTTCTATCTATCTATGGTACTGCACTTTACTCTAGAAGCGTGCCACGCGTTTCAGTCGGAGACACGCTCGCGGCAGTGTATGCCTTCAACGACGATGTATGTACCGATTATGAGCTACAAAGTGAGCCGTAGAATGGATTTTACTCGATACTCAGTGTACTGATAAGAGAGATAACGAGCAGTAACACCGCGTGTATTCCGTTCCGCAGTATTATCAGTTATATGCTGATTTTGAAGAAACGCCGGAGTCATGATTCGCGATCGCACGCCCGAGCTGCTTTCCGTTAGTATTTTTTTGCTTCTATATTAATTACCAGACATGTGTCATAATGATCAGTTGTGTATCGATGCGTCGAACAATGCGATCGTTCGCGCATGAATCGCGTACATGCCGTGCGAATAAAGTCAAGAAGTTCTATTTTTAAATCGTTTTCTTTTTGCGTTCGTTTTTTTTGTTTTTTGTTCACACGCACGACTCATGCGCCGAACGAGAATACAGAACGGAGAGTGTGAATTCGTATGAACTCTGTCAGAAATAATTTATAAAAATTTTCAAATTCTCCAGAGCCGTAGTAACAGCACCTTTGGCAGAGGGTTCCTGCAAGACGTGCACCTTCAGACGGCCCAAAACAAGAGGCTCAAAAAACTGCTCGACGAAGTACGTACGTATATATATATATATATACACATATATATACACATATATATATACATATATATACATATATATATATATACATATACAAACGTCGTCAGATTTTGGCTTGTTCTTTTAATCGCGCGCATTCATAACAATGACGTGTGTTTGACATAGGCCGAGAAAATACGCATGCTAATCAACCTCATAGTCGAAAACGTGTCTATCGTAAAGGACTTACATAACAATGTTTTATCACACACGAACAAAGGTAAGCGAACAATATTTTTAAAAAATAATATACGAAATTAATTTATGTATATATATAAATTTGTAGATATGCAAAAGGAATTGGAAACTCGCTCGTACACGATCTCACAAACGGCTTTTCACGTACAGCGAAAGTTACGAGGTAGGTGTAAAATTTGTACGCGTATATATATATATATATAGAATTATGCTAAATTTCCCTGAATTTTGTTTAAATTTTCTCTCGTCGAGAAATCATCACTGTCAGTTCGCGCTGCTTTTCAAAACCTTGCGCGGAGAAGAGTTGGTTAGAATTGCGTGATTGCTCAGCGATCTTTTTCTGAGCAACTTTTTCGCGGAATCGTTACACTTTGGACTTCGAATTAACAAAGGCGTGCTGGTACTAAAGTTCGGCTCCGGAGGTGGTGTTTCCAACACCGTTTCCAAGTGTTTCGAATCTGCAATTACTGTATCGGAAGACGCTGTGATTCGCAAACAATGACCGGAATTTAACGAAAGACGACGAAGTCGAACCTCGGGTATCTTTTGTTGACTTGCACTTAATAACAATTCCTTGTAATTTGTAACGGATGATGACGTACTTATGTTTGCACTACTGTTGTCGTTTTCCGGAATCGTTTTATCTTTCAGTCTCCTGAAAAAAAATAAAATAAAATTTACACAAACACCTTTTACATTAGTTGTAAAGTATTTGTTGACGCAAAGGAAATTTATATTATTTGTTAGAAACAGATTTAAATGTGTTTATGCAACCGATATATATTATATATATATATGTATTTATAAATACGTACCGTTGATAAGAATCCATTTCTTTTTCCAGTTCAGGATATTCGCTTAACAAGGTGAACAGATGTTCCTTCTCGTATTCCGAATAAATCTTGAATAACAGACTCTCCACGTCGCCTTCCAACGATGACTTCAAAGTAGCCAATTTTTTTTTAAGTGTTATTAACGTAGGCAACAGATTCTCCAAGTTGTGTCTCTTTATTGCCGTCACAGCTACGCTCGCACCGTTATTATTCATTGCACTTGATGAATTTGCACCGATCGTCTCGTCGAGTTCCGCCGTGTCATCTCTGTGCTTCTCGCTGAAGGACGAGAGCTGCATCCGCTGATTGTTCATTATGAAAACCGTGTCCCTCAGGACACACGCGCCCTCTTCGGTTGTGATGTCGATGGAATTGCCGTCGCACACCTCGCGAAGCACGTGTCTCGTCAGTTTCGCAGTTAATTCGTACTTGGCGGGCGCGTCCAGATGTTCCAGCATAAATTCGTAAATGACGTTACGTTTGTCCTGATTCTGAATCCCGGGTAACGTCAACAGTTTCTTCTCCTGATCGCGCATTCTGTGCCCGTTGCAAAACGCATTCTGAGACCGGTAGTCGTTGTAGTGATAAATACTACCTAAAAACTGTTGGGAAATCAAAGTCTTATTTTTCGCCAGAAGTCTCTCCTCCACCAGAAAGATCGTCAGTTCGCGTATCATTTTATCCGTGTCCGACAGCATCGTCAGTATGTGAAAGAAGAATCGTCCTTTCAACTTGATGAAATCCTCCAGCAACAACTGAATGAATATCACCACTATGGCTTCTCTCACAGCCGGATTCGAGTCCTTCATGCTGATGCACATGTCCGTCAGATACGGCTCCACCAGAGCGGTGAATCTCACGCAGATGTCGGCCAGTGCTTTCGCTGCGTTGATCTTGATGGCGATTTTCGTTGGCGAGCTCGAGTCCGTTTCCTGAGATATCAAGGTGCTGAATACTCGAGTAACTTGCTTCGCGACGTCGCGATCCCTGAGCCCTTGCTGACAAAGGAGCACCACAGCGGACGCCTGCAGTTCTTTCATCTCCTTCAGAGACTCCGGTAGCGAGTCCCAGTGCAGCAATAATTTGGCGAGGGTTCGCAACGTCGACGATGATATTCTGTGGGTGCACAAGAGCGACGCGTGACCCAGAGTGAACACAGCTCTGCTCTTCACAAGTATATTCTCATGACTTTCGTGCTCCTCCAATCTCAAGTCTCCAATCTCCGCTTCCGACAACTCCAGCAGTTTCGTCATGTTCGATTCGATCAAACTGTTGTCAGCGTGCAAGTGTCGAAGCACACCTGCCAGAATGTCCAAACAAATACCGATCAAGTTGGATTTGATTTTGAATTGCGAAATACATTCGTAAAAATGTTGACGGAGATCCTCGAGACGATCGCGATCCAGGGTTGACCAAGTGTGTCTCAAAACCTGCAACATCAAACTCGCGTGGAAGTCGTTCTTCTGAATAATTTCTTTATAATCCGCGATGTGCCTGTTTATATTCGGAATCTTCATGTTCTCGGCCAGAGCTGCCAGCAGTATCCACGCGCTTATGGTGTTGTCGGTACCGATGTGAGACTGTAGGTTCGATATTACGGACTTGGTGATAACGCTATTTCTGATCCACAAACCGCAGGCCTTCGACAGATGTTTCGTCATTCTCATTTTGCTCAGCGTGTCCAAGACTCTCCACGGGAGACAGTTGCTCGCGACGTCCGGAACGTACAGATCGGCGCTCGTTATCTTCTTTATCAGTATGATCTCCAGGCACTCCAGCACCTTTTCCTGCACCTTCGCCTCGATGTCGTAGATCTGCGGCACGACAGCTTGCACCCAAACATCGAGAAGGCTCAAGTTGTGAGGAAACCGCTCGAGAATCTCGGAAAGAACGTGCACCGCGAATTGGCGCACGGTCAGTGTTGGATCTCGGCAACGGTCGCTTATCACGTGCGTTACCTTGCTCATAAGCGACGGAAACATGATGGACAGGTTTCGAAAGATCTTCAACGCGCTTCGTCGCACCAGCGCGCGCTCGTCGTTAATCCTGTCGAGAAACATCAGAACCAAAGTGTTGGATCCCGGCAGCGGATCGACGACGTCTTTCGCGAATGATCTTTTCAATTCGTCGAACGTGAGAAACGCTTTGTTCGGAGTTGAAGTTTCGAATATGCTTCTGAGAATGCTCTCGTCGTCGTTGTCGGTACAATCGGAAACCGAAGTAAGGGTGGCCATAGCTTTTCCTCTCACCAACGGCGAGCGATCCGCGCAACGGGATAATACAACGGCTATTAGAATTTTTCTCATCTTCATTTTGATATGTTTGTTTAAATCACCGTTCGACAGAAAAGCTTCCGTCAGGAGTTTTCCTATAATTTCTTGAGCAAACAATCTATAAGATATCTTGGTGTTGTAAGAGAATAATACTATGTCTTTGAATATTTTCACAACAACGTTCTCGCCGCACATATTTAGCAATTTTATTATCAGAGTTGCCTGTCTCTGACGACCTTCTAATCTTTCTGGACATTTCACCATCAGGTGATGCATCAGAGTCACAATTACCTGTACAGTTTCGTTTTCGTGAACGTTCAATAAACTCTTCAGAAAATATATAGCCGCTTCGTGAACAATGGTTACAGACTTTGGTTGAGCGTTTGCGTGATTAAACAACAAATCCGGTAACATGTACTGCACTATTAACGTTATTGTTAAGGTGACGGTGCCGTGATTGTTACCGCACAGCTCCCGCAAAGCTGCGGACGCTTTCTGAGACAGCAACTTTATCTTATAATTGTTATTGCAAATCTTAACGTGCATCTCTAATTTTGTGATGTCCAGCAATGTGCGAACCGTGATGTCCAAAGACTCCGCGTGATCTTTAAACCAGAAAAACTTCGACATTGCAATGAGATCGGTGATAATTCTATTTAAACTTTCCGTGAGCTTCGCTCTCTCGGAATCTAACAAATAATAATCCGGTAATTCGTCATCCATACCGGAATCTGTCGTATCTGTGATATTCCTCTCTGTGGCGGGAAACAAATTCTCTGACATCTTCAGAGTCTCGATGGCTCTTTGATACAAATTAGGATGATAAATTCTGAACGCATTGCTACCGGGTATTGTGAGAAACAAAAGATACAAGCTTGTGGCCTCCAGACAAGCCTGTCTGGAGACCTGGTCGTTATTGGCGCTCTGGCCGGTCTTCATTATGTAACCCAGTATGGCAAGCAGACCGCGCATGTTGATGTTCAGTAGCATCAGAGCTTGCCACGAGAATTCGGAGGATTTGCTTCGCTCGCATTCGTTCGCGGCTATCCAGTCTCTCAGCACGAGACAGGATTTTTGAAGCAACAATCTCACGTCGTCGCTCTCCAGATACAATAGATAATCGTCAGGCGGTTCGTCGTAGATGACGAACTCGGCGTCCCAGACCGACTTTATCCAACTCTCGCTGAGATCGTTCAGTCTGAAATTGTGAAATATACGCAATGAATCCATCGCGCTGTGCGAAGATGCTTCAAATCGCGCTCAAAACACAGTCACTATCATCATCTTCAGCGGCGTCAGCCGCGAATGTAAACACAATCACGAACATAACCTTATCGTCACGATGCACTCGGTCGAGATTCGGAGGGGGTTTTAGGTTATCATTTTTTCCTTGTCCGTGTATTGGTAATAAATTTACGGTCCTGTTTCTTCGGTACTTGTGGCCGATGAATATTTTCGCGGGAAATAGATAGCGAAACATTTCGTTCGCCGTATCGGAGCGAGCGAGACGACCAACAAACGTAAACGCAGAAACGCGAAACTGAACAACCAATCGAGAGTTCAGAAACCGTTTAATGACCATTTACATATGTATGTGTACAAAATATGTATCATATACATATTTTGCATACGCACACATATATGCGTACAGTTTGTACGCGACTTATACACACTTGTACCAATCATCTGTTGCAAATAATAATGCATTTTTCTCTCAAGCTGATTAAGAAATATCGCTCCCATACACACGCACACACGCAATTAACTCTCCTATCAAACATATCACATACACTTGACATATACTTGTGAGAGAAAACAATAAAATTATTTTACATACATGTACAATACACACAATAAATTATCATACAAAATTCTCAAAATTATGGAACAATATATAACTTATTCCAAAAAGTTGGAAAATTATGTATCTAATTATTAAATAATAATTTAATAAATTCTGTAACCATGAGAGATAATTTCACTCTCCAAAACTTTTCTTCTAGATATGGGAAAGGATATAACAGTTATTGATGATTTAACTGTGGCCAGTGCGCAGGATGGATCTGTATATTTCAGAATTAAGATTTTGCAGTACACAACCATGATGAAATTGTTCACCGAGATTATGAACGATTATAATAGAACAGTAATTAGATATCACGACAAATGCCGGTTGCTCTTGCAACAGCAACGACTGTTACGTGGGTATTTCTAGAAAAAGATTTACATAAACTACCACATACAAACTAGAAAAAATTCTGATAAATTTACAAAAAATTAAAAAGTGTAAAAGTTTATGCTCCACAGCAAATACATACACACAAAGAGAATTATAACTATTACAAGCATAATATTTATTATTATTATGATATATATATATATGTATATATATTTCTTTAACATTAGTTAAACAATTTGTTTCTTTAGTGAGACGACAAGTTACAAGCGAGGAATTAGACCACATGCTTGACGCTCAAGAAACCAGTTTATTTGTCGACAATGTAAATATTCGACGACAATGTATTTCATAAGAATGTTTCATAAAAAATCTTTATTTACTTATGTATATAAAATATATGTGTATGCATATTTATATATATACATATATATACAATTGTGCAGATTCTAGAGGACAGCAAAATAATAAGGCAACAATTGTCGGACATAAAAAGCAGACATGCTGAAGTTTTAAAATTGGAAAAATCTCTAATCGAGATCAGGACACTATTTGCTGACGTAGCATTTTTGACCGAAAAACAAGTATGCGATATATGTAGCGTATAAAATTATTAAATAATAAATTTGTGGCTCTTTTTCTAAGTTTTGTAAACATGCAATATACACGATATTAATTGTAGAATTTATTTCTATAGGGCGAACAAATTAATAACATAGAATATTTTGCTGATAAAACGACAAATAATATTGGTGGCGGATGTGTTCAACTTGAAGAAGCAGAAACAAGACACAACAAAAGTAAAAAGGTAAATATGTAAATTATGACGTTTAGATGACGTTACTTTTATACGATATTACTATGCAATATTTTAACTACAATTTCCTTTTTGCAGCGAAAAATCAAGATTGTCATTATCATAATTATAATAGTAATAATAATGATATTTGTTTTATCCGTAATTTAAGAATTAGAAGAGATATTTTTTAAAAGCATAATGCTTTGTTTTTACGTTATTTTATATGCTACAAATTGAATAAAAATCGAAATAAGTAAAAACCTATAACTAAAAATTATATTTTTGGTTTTTCATAGTAAACTTAATACTTTTAGTATTACATAGCGTATATATAAAAATAAAATATAATAGTGTACGTACTAATATTATGCATATTTTGTTTACACTATAAAAGCTTAGACATTCTTATATTTGTTTCTTACTATTCATTGAATTTCTTCAGTCAACTCTCGTCGAGAAAGTCGTGCTAACTTCTTACTATCCAAATGATCTTGAAAACGTTTTACCAACGCTCGGGCGGTGGGTCGTAATTTATAATCCGTCTCGGTACACATGTAGAATATCTGGAGTACAATTTTGTATTTTCTCAAATTGAGATCAATAGTAGGTAAGGCTGGACGTGTACCTGAAATTAGTTTTCATAGTTTATAATCCGTTTTCTTTACTTTAAATCATATGCACTTCAAAAAATTGCAATAACCTACCATATTTACTTTCAACTTCACTATCATCTATATCATCTTTCGAATCTTCATTCTCAGTTGTATCTAAATCACCCAAGTGAGGTACGCTTAGTGATATCATTTCCCACAAAACAATACCGTATGGCCAAATGTCAGCAGCACTTGTTACTGGTTCATCATCTGCAGAAAAAGAAAGAAGAAAAATGTTGTTAGAATGTCATCAAATATCATTTAAAAAAACTGTAATTTACCAAATCATAAATTAAAAACTGTATATATACATATATATAAATTACACACACGACCATCAACTCTTGCCATTTAATTTCTTTTTTTTTTGTTACCACTGTATACTTATTTATGTATACATACCAAATATAACTTCAGGAGGCAACCAAGGTAGTGTTCCACCATAAGCAGTAACACCTGTTGAATCTTCTCCCAAAGATGGTGTCAATGATAAAGAATGTCCAAAGTCACACAATTTAACTATGTTAAACTTAGGAGACACTAAGATATTATGACTTTTAATATCTCCATGTAAAATATGTGCAGTATGATGTAAATATTCTAGTCCTTTTGCCACTTCAAAACCAACTTTTACAATGTTCTTAGCTGGAAATGGCTCGTCAGTCATCTCTTTCCTTTTCTCAATCATCTCACCTAATTGCAATCAGTAATTAAAAAAAATTATATATTAAAAATATAACAAACTATTTAATTATTCAGCTCTCCAAGATACCAAGAGATGAGGATATTGCTTCCATAGCTAAGCAAGGTTTTCCATCCAATCCTTTCATAAATCCTCTGAATCCTACAATATTTGGATGATTTAATTTGCGTAGAATTCGTGCTTCAAATTGAAGACGTTTAAAGTTTTCTTCGTTGCTCCTTTTCCGCATCCATTTTTTTATTGCCCATGGTGATTGTTCCCTTGATGATCTTTCCAAAAGATATACACCAACTCCTAACAAAAATATACAAGAAAAATTCAGCTCCGAGTCAGGTTGATAACACTTGGCTATCATATAACACATCACAACAAATTGGCAACAACAAAAAAATAAAATACAAACTAAATGATAGCGACAAACAGTCGTAAATATTTAACTAATATATCGACAGTCATGATGGACAACAATAAATCAATAAATGTTTATTATTTACAAATTTATTGTAAAAAGAAGAAAGCAGCGTGCAAAACACGTACCGGTACCGAAGCCGATTTGTTTCATGAGAGGTGATGCTGGTATTTTTACAGGTGTACTTAATTCACTAATTCTTTTAACTTTTTTTTTGCATAGTGGCGTACTGATTTCAGCCATGTCGATTACAATTTAAAAGTATCAAAAAATCACAAAAATCGCAACACGAAACCGTTGATCGCAGATCACTCGCTCAAACCATTTTAAATTGTCTGATTGATGCAAGCATGCGCGCAATTGATTATTCAACGGTTGGATCCGTGAAATATGTGTCGCCTTAGCTTAAGGCCGTCTCGACCAATGAGCATTTCAGCAGTGAAGTTGCCATTTTAATTTAAAGAGTAGAACTAGACGCTCATTGGTCGAGACGGTCTCGTGTTTTGTACGTTCGCACCTATCTCGTGCCACGTGCGCGACAGGGAAACTCGTACTTCTGTTCATAATTCAAGATTTGTTTTTTTCCGTGGCTGCACTAGTTCACAGTCCATCTTTTTTTATCCATGTTAGAAAGAAAAAGATAGACTGTGAACTAGTGCAGCCAGTTCGGGGGGAAAAAAAACAAACCTTCAATTATGAACAAAAGTACGTAAGTAGTTCCTATCTTCCCAACTTTTACGACAGTAGTGACCTAAGTTAGCGGTTACGGCTATTATAAATCAACCCTAACGCTATACGAAAGAGTTTTGTGCGGAGGCCCTTACCCGTAGTTGCCAATGTGCACCACCCGTGGACATTGCGCTGGCTTACAGGGCGGAAAAGCGATTACACATTCTCTTATGGCCCTGGCCGCTCTCAGTCTTCTCTCTGTTCACACTGGAAAAACAGTCATAGAAGAACAGCGGCTCTTCGAACACGCTCTGGTGTGAACGATGATTGTGCAGGAACCAGTGCAGGTAAAAAAAAGTGTTCGATCCAATTTCTCCATTATTGAATGTGACATGCGAATTTTTTTTCATATCGGACCGCATCCACATTTACCACACTATTGACGTCTTGTTAACCAATTTGCACGCAGTTTTGATTACGTTAAATGGCCACTTATGAAATCGCCTGTTCTTTCATCGGAACGAAACGTTTTTATGCTCCGATTTTTCTTTGATTTCTTATTTGTGTTCAAATGAACGCATCCTTACGAATATTTGCTTTGCAAAGAAAACAACAGGAAAGAGACGGCTTGACTATAAATAAGCATGAGATTTCATCATATTTAATGAATTTCAATAGGCTAATGTTTGATAGTGAGATTAATTTAATTGTACAATATAAGTAAAATGGGGTTAAATATCAGAGTTTATTTCTATCAGTTGTGTTAGAAATTACCTTATACCTATGTATGTACATATTTTATTAACCCAGATATAAATACTATGTATATCAACTGTGCGCAGCAAGAAGATTTAATGTTGTAATTGCACATTGATCTTTATTAATTCAATAATGAAAATAGTACAAACAAACTATATCAGTCTTTGTGTTTTACAGCATTTATAGTATTGTATTTATAAAAAAGTTGTAGTAAAAGTACAACCATGTTTTTCAGTAACTAATAAATGTAACTGCTAAAATGCAATTTTTTTAAATTTTAGGCAGCCATATGGCATTGTTTGAATCATTATGCTTATCCGGATGCTATATTCTTGGCAGAAAGATTATGTGCAGAAGGTAAAAAAAAATGGTGTAACTTTATTTGATTTAGAACTGTTTTCCTCTATGTTCTATATTGGACATATATATCTGTATATTGTACATATCATTTTGTATTTTTCACAACTTTTGCTTATATTGATGTTATTACACAGTGGACACAGAAGAAAGTTTGTTTCTTTTGGCAACATGTTATTACCGTTCTGGTCGGATTAGACAAGCTTATGCCTTGTTATCCCAGAAGGCACCCAATTCAGCACAGTGCAGATTTTTACTGGCAAAATGTTGTTACGATCTAGAGAAGTAAGTGTGCACATGTGATATTTGTTTATTGCTGCAAGTATGTGTATCTAGAAAAATATATATCTTTTATTTAAAACAAAAACTCTATATAGATATGCTGAAGCAGAAGCTGCAATAATTGGCGGATATTACAAGCAGTTGAAAAATTTGGAAGAAATAATAACCCAGTTTGGGGAACAAGCATGTTTTTCCCTACAGATAATTGCAAAGATATATTACAAGATGATGCGCACTGCCAGAGGCAATGAAGCACACAAGTTAGCTTTAAAATTGAATCCTTTTCTCTGGCATTCGTTTGAGGAACTCTGTAACGTTGGGGAAAAAGTAGATCCCACCAAAGTTTTTCAGTTAGACAAATTAGATTCCTTTGCTATGTGCCATGGTACCGCGTCCACGCTCAACTATGTCTCTGAGCCGGATCTCATCATTTCTGGAAACACATCTGTGTCTAATGGCACTAACGTGTACGTATATTTTGTGTGTACAAGATGCGTGCATATATTATATACATATATATACTTATATATAATTCTTTTTAACACATTTTATTTGTAAACAGCACATCCGTGCAGGTAACACCGACACTAATAAATGGAGGTCAGGTGCCTCAAATACGCTATTCCTCTGTCGAAGAGACTCCGCAAAACACGTCTGTTCACAATAACTATACGATTCCGTCGAAAGCCAAGCTATCGCGATATCGCATGTTGAGCAATCCTATGAGTCCGCTTACACCTAGTTTCGGTATTTTACCACTTGAAAGCAATACACCTGAACAAACGGTGCCACCGACGCACACAACTCTCACGGAAACCAACGATCAAAAGAGTTTAGCAAAACGCGTCAGCAATTTGAGAGCTCATGTAGGGGTAAGGAAGTAGTAACACAAGTTCATTCGTTGAAAAATAACAGATACGGCAACTCAATGTTTGCGCGCTTATAAATTTTTTCAGCAATTTATCTCGTCGAGGAAAGAAACACCGTTGCAGCAAGGCAAGTCAGTATTTTCACAGTCAGGTAATGCGAGCAATACCGCATATATTATGACAGTGACAACTGCTAATCCGACGTCACCGCCGTCGCCGACATTTCAGAGCACCAATGTTAGACGCTCGTCGCGACTTTTTAGCCACAATTCAGTAAAAGTACGAAAAAGTTTTTGCTCTGATTCTCTTCTAGCTTCAACGTTTCATATGTACTATATATATTTATCTTACGCGTTTTTGGCATATCGATAATTTAATATGATTTGCATTTAAATTGTAGGAAAATAATAAGTCACCCAATAGGAATAAATTTGCAACTCCGAAGTCTCCGTCTCGTAAGACAAAAGCGAGACTCCAATCCAAAACGAATTTAAACAAAACCAACTTTAACGAATTAAACGAGAGAAATAAGAATGAAAAAGAAAAAAATGAAACAGTCACGTCAGAAAAAGCTGTGGCCAATGCGAACGCGCTTAATGCTCAAAATAATATTCAGTCTGGAATAACGTTACAAAAACAGTCAGCAGGTAAGTTACTTGTGCGATATTTGTTAACTGTCGTTTTCTCAAAGGATTTTGGAATAATTTTATTTATTCGCATATTTTTTTTTACAGAGGGATTAATGTCTTTACTGCGAGATCTGGGCATGGCGTATCAGCACTTGAGTCAATTCAAATGTTCAGAGGCCATTGAAATATTGAACATCGTGCCACCGCAGCATTATCACACCGGTTGGGTACTTTCTATGCTAGCCCGGGCGTATTTTGAAATGATGAATTACAAAAAAGCTGCTAGGTGAATGATAAAAAAAGCTACTAAAATTTTCTTAAGAATGTTTTTACCCTACAGATGGCTGATTAACGCGTTCTTAATTCTCTTTCTTCTCTTTTTCACGCATAGGTTTTTCGCTGAAGTGCGACAATTGGAGCCGCAGAGGACAGAAATGATGGAGATTTACAGCACTGTTCTGTGGCATCTTCATGCGGAAGTACAGTTGTCCACACTTGCTCAGGATCTAGTCTCCCAAGATCGCAATTCCGCAGCTGCGTGGTGTGCCACGGGTAATCTTTTCTCAGCGCAAACGGAACATGAAACGGCAATCAAATTTTTCCAAAGAGCTATTCAGGTACTGTGCACTTATCTTAAATAAATAAACAAACAAAAAAACAGCGAAATATTAGAATGTACGGCTGTTAATTCGTTTGTTTGAGAGTAATGTGCGATTTTCTGAAAATGTCAGGTGGATCCGAATTTTCCGTACGCTTATACGTTGCTAGGACACGAATACGTTCTTACCGAGGAATTGGATAAGGCAATCACCGCTTTTCGTAACGCTATCAGACTCGATCCCAGACACTACAATGCATGGTAAGTATCAGAGATAAAGAAAACCGGTTTCAGCCGCATTGCGTTACGTATCTGTTACTCTTCGAACTGCTTCTCCGAATTGACCCAAACTCTTTTTTTTTTTTTCACGTGTCTCTTCAAGGTTTGGTCTGGGAACGATATTTTCGAAACAGGAGCAGTATTGCTTAGCTGAATTGCATTTTAAACGAGCCTTGCAAATAAATCCACAGAATTCCGCGATAATGTGCCACATAGGTGTCGTGCAGCACGCCTTGAAAAAGACCGAGCAGGCGTTGAACACACTGAACAACGCATTGGCTAACGATCCGGATAACACTCTGTGCAAGTTCCATCGCGCGAGCATCAACTTCTCTATCGGTCGACACGCGGAAGCTCTTCGAGAGTTTGAGGAGCTAAAAAATATTGTACCCAAAGAATCTCTAGTCTATTACTCAATAGGAAAGGTAAGGGGAGCTGTTTGTTCGGCTTAGAACCGAATGTCCAATCCAACACGTTCGAAAAATGACGACGCTTAAAATTTCTCGTTTTCTTTTTCGACACAGGTGCATAAAAAATTAGGCAACACCCATCTTGCATTAATGTACTTTAGTTGGGCAACGGATCTAGATCCAAAAGGTGTTAATAGTCAAATTAAGGAGGCTATATTAAGTCCGGGTCAAGGAGAAGACGACTCCCCGCCGACGCAATCAGGTATTCGCAATCAGAACTTCGAAGTTCGGGATAATTCGTGCAAAAAAAACAAAGCATCAGCGGTTTTATGACGGATATTTACATAACTGAAATTTTTATAATTTGTGTTGTTAATACTCATAATTATTAGTGGTAATAATTAGTGATATATTTGTTGTTAATATAGTGAGATTCACAAATTCGATCGATATATTTATTTGAAGTTGTCGCGTGTTCGTAGATGAGCAGCAAGCGCAAAACAATTCAATGGAACAGGACGTCGACACGAGTAGAGAAGGAAACGCGGCGCCACTCGCTGGAAACGTCTCGGTCGAGCCTCAGGGCGACGATAGCGACGATAGTTTATGAAAACTATATGCAAGATTGTGTGCCGTGAAGAGAAACGAAGCGATATCATAAATGTGTCATGAATTTTCGGTCATTCTCGATCGCTTTTCGTTTGCCCGATGTAATGCTTGCAGAATCGATAAAAAAGAAAAAAAAAAAAAAAGAATCATCAGTATGCGATCGTTGACTTCAGTTGAGTATTCGTAGTTCTGCGAATTGTTCGATACGATATACGATGTGATTCTTTCTTTCTCTCCCTTTTTCTCTCTCTTTCTCGCTCTCTCTCTCTCTCTCTCTTTCTCTCTCTCTCACAGTGAAAAGAAATCATTTATATATATATTATTTCCTTGCGCATATATTATCAAACTTTTTTCTTCCACAGAGAGAGATTTTATACATATATATATAATATATGAATACACGGTGTGTGTTTCCTTACAAATGATATGATTCGCGTGTCCTATTTCCTCTCGACTTGTACATTTCGCGATTTAACTGCTACTATTTATATTATTTGTAATTGTTTACCCCCCTTTTTTTGCATTTCTTTGCGCGATTCTGAATTGTGTCTCGTACTATAACGTACATCAAGTCTTCTTAACGTGACTTCGCTGACGGAAAAATCGCGATGTTAATCGAGTTCGATTTTTTTTTTTTTTCTTTTTTTCTTTTAAGCACGGAAAGAGAAAGGAAAGGGAGTTTTTAGAGAGCTCTGCGGAAGAGGCATTAGAGATTTTGTCGTTCAATAGAGACTGGTATCACATCGCGGAAGGAGGAACGAATAACGTAATCGTAAAAAAAAAAAAAAACCACGTTGTATGTAGGTAGTGTAATTAATTATAATCGCTCGAGTAAGAAGAGAGTCTTGTGTAAATGTAAATTATTACTACTGTGTATTTACAAGCTATATGTGTTATTACTATTAGCGCCATTATTATTATTATTATTATTATTATTATTATTATTATTATTATTATTATTATTATTAATATTATTATATTATATCTTACGATTATCATTGTTGATTTAAAATGATTATGAGATAAATTAATTGGCCGCTCGGCGTCGAAGTGGCCATTGGACGATCGTGCAATCTTCATCGTGAAATAAGATTCTTTGGTCGGAACATGTGGAAGAGCTTGTGGAACACACCACAGTCGCGATTGAAGTGAACTCAATGATCATTGCGACTTACATTCGGCTTCGATCTCGTCTCAATTTGAAAATTAGCATAAACCTGTCTCGCAGATATTTGTAAAAAAATACACACAACAAACATATACACGTATACATGTGAAACGCTCGTCGTGTTATTCCCAACTAATGTTCAATACCTACCAGTATTGAACAAAATTTTTTGACGTTTCCGTCATATCCGTTTTTTTCGTATTTACATTAAGTGTACAATGCAAATTGTATCGATCTCTCGAGTTTCGCCGAAGCGGAGAGATTCCTTGTGCGTGTTATTCACATACATTACGTCCAGACCAGAGGTGGGTATTAGCCCGTAACATGCCTGAAGAGAGGTGCGTCAGAAAAAAATTGAAAATATAAAAAATTATGCAGTTTGTACAATATCCTGCTTTGCTGAAATCTATTTTTTTACGCTTACGTAAACCGTCAACGTATTCAAAATGTTTGTCGCGCGACAAAGATTTCGATTTGAACAAAAAATGAACGTCGAGCTTTCACAGTCACATCTTTTGTGGCTTATTTGTTTCGGTTTTTGGAAGAAAAGAAATATGAAAACGCACATACACCAGTTGTAAATAACGCGGCGAAGTGAATCATTTGAAATATTTTCAATCTTTGCACTGACAGGCTAGAAAAAGAAGAAAAGATGGACCACTCCTGGTCTAGAGAAAGAGTGTGTATGTTCTTGTAAACATGTATCGCGCGCGTGATATTTTATATTGTACACGTAATTAAACGAAAGACACGAAAAAAAGATGGACAAAGAATGCCGACTGAGAATTGCGTCGGACGCAAGTGTTAGACGCGCGCTTTTTATTTCCTCTGTTTCTTCATCTCTCTCTTCTTTTTTTCACACTCAATACATCAATATGTATTTTTCTTCGCGCGACAATTTTTGTTTTTGGTTTTTTTTTCTATTTTCTTTTTTTTTGTCTTCGAAAGGACACAGAAAAAAAAAACAAGACTAGACTTCTTTTTGTACTAGATATATTTAAATGTAAGCGGCATGCGTGCGCGACTCATCCCACTTTATTATCTGACATATTTATTGTCGAGCGGTGATGACACGTCACAGCTATCTTCCAAAGATTTTAGAAACCAACTATGCATATTATACATGTGATGTTTGCTCGTCTTTATCCAGTCTGCTTGATATAAAAAAAAAAAAAAAAAAAAAAACCGAGGAAATTGAAGTCGGCAATCCTATTACTCGTTACACACGTATGTGCAAAATAAAGGCCTTGCACTTTTTACGAAAACGTACGATTTGCTGTTTTGTCGACCTGCATGATATGAAAACCAAGAGGATTTTATAATATATGATATATATATATAAAAGAGAATAATATATGTATATATATTTATATTAAAATTACACGCACACACACTCGTACAGACACGCAAGCTCAGTGATTAAAAAAAATTTAAAGCTCTTGCAAGGAAATCATTGATCAAGATTTACAGATTTGTTAACGTAAGTAGCGAACTAATGAAAACTTAACGCTCTTTTGGGAATCGTTGTGAAAATTTAAATGTTGGTCTAAAAATTTAAGTGTCGTTCTGAATTTATATGTGCTCTCGTACTAACTTAAAGTTGCTTCTGAATTTAAATTTCGTTATCTCTTTCCTTTAATCAGCCTTGAATAGATCTTGTCTAATCTTGTCGGCGACATGCACGATTCAGGTTTTATTTCTGGAATAACTTACGCATTTATTATTTTTTCGAACGAACACACACACACACACACACACATAAATGAAACTAAACTAAAATTTATATAATAATAAATTGCTTAAAATAATAATTGTTAATTATAAATAAATTATGAGTATGATATTGTTTTATATAAGCATGTGTTCAAATATTAATGTTATTAATAATAAAATACTCTTTATGTATTTATATAAAGCGAATTTTATTTGCAAAAAATATTCCAGAAATATATCTGCTATTTTCTAATTTCAAACAAGTTCGTTACTTAACAAATTGTATATAAAATAATTGCAAGATTTATATCATTAACAATCACAACATCTGAACATTATTCTTCTTAATATTTTTTTGGTGTGGGAAAAACTCAGTAAAGAATAACAATGTTCTGAAATGCTTCGAAAAGATCAAGTACGTCTTGCGATAACACGTACGATGATTATAAATATGTATCTTTTAGTAACGTCATGGAATTGTGTGAAATTACAAATTTCCTCTGATAAGTCTATTATTATGTCAGTAATATATTAACAGGCATTTAATCGGCGAGAAAGAATTGCACTAGACGCTATAAGTGATAACTGATAAAAAGATGTTTCCCGCGAAGGATTAGCTACATATTGTTTAGAAAAGTAGAATCTGCGATAAAAAAAAAAAAAAAAAAAATAGAGCCGTTGGATTTAACGATCATTTCCATGCGCAATGCAAATATCAATGTTTAAATTATATTTCACGTCAGTAACGTAGCACGTAAAACCAGTTTTGACGCAATAATAAATATCGTTAGATCTTTCACGGACAAAAAACAAAAGATGTAACAAGTAGAAAGAATGTTTATTTTTTTCTTTATATTGTAACAAGATACAGCAACAAATATCGATGTTTTATATGAATTTTGAAAATTTCAAGCAGAAGTAGAACAAACTGTCGAGATTGATAGCAGGTCGATTATGTAATCGATAACGCAGGTACCGCATGCGCACAGACAGTTCGAGAGTAAAATGTTAGCGCATGGATCTCCCACTCTCAGTGATCATATCATATCAACAGTTATACGGCTTATAAGACCGTTCTATGTGCTTTTATATTCTAGTTTCTTGTTGCGTTGCAACGGAAATAACATCAAGTTTATGCAGAAAAAAAAGAGATAACAGAATAACATTTTTAAAAAGTGAATTTTATCTCTGGATTGTAGGAGTGGTTTCACGTGTGTGAAAATGGCCAGAAATTATTCGGGCAGCGTCGAAACTGGTGAGTATGAACTTTGTTCTTATCGTGAAACGATTCACACCGGTTTATATATATTGAGAAATATATAAAAACTTAAATAAATAATTTAAAATGCAAAAATAATTAATTAAAAGATAATTTATGTAAGAGAAGTTTTGTCCGGTCTCTTTTCTCAAAGATTTAAGCACAAACATTTGATTATCGTACAATTTTATTTTGTTACACAGTACTAGGCAGTAAACCATTGTCCGAGCTCGGCAGAACGCTAACGCACGAGCACCTCGCTCTCGATTTTTGCAAGTTTTACGTAGCGCCACCGAGACACATCAAACACATACCCGACGGTAATAATTTGTCTCTTCGTAACGTTGGATATCTTCGTCAGTATCCGTGAGTCGAATTATATTATTCCTCAAAGTTTTGCGAAATGCGTAAATAAATGTTCTTAACTTCGTTAAAACAACAACACACACACTGTTAGACGTATATTATTGTATCTGCTAAATATTTTTTTTTTTTATACAAAGCGCAAACAAAATAATTGGTTCTCGTGCTGAAGTTTAACACGCGTTTGATTAATCAATTATTGCATGTATATTAAGATTTTATTACTTACTAATTTAAAAGGTTGAATAATTTAATAACAAATACGTAACTGAGCGCATAATTTTAATCAGATACAGCAGCTTGTATAATCTGGAGTTTCGAGACAAAGACGCGGCAGAGGCTGTCAAAATAGATGTGGAATTGTACAAAGAAGCCGGCGGTGGAACCATCGTGGAGAATAGCAGCCACGGGTTGAACCGCAACATTCCTTTGATGAAGCAAATAAGTCAGTCCACGGGTGTTAATGTAATCGCTGGAACTGGTATGTGATTGCGCAATGTATCGGCATTTTTAATTGTGCGAATATTAAATTGCAGTGGACTCGAAGACAACCGTGTTTATTTCGTTGTTTGAAATATCTTCGTATTTTGATGAGCCAAATTGTAATTTAAATTCGTCCGACTTCGTGCGCTTTTCGACTTTCGTAATTTGACCGCAACAATTACAATAATATTTATAAAAATTATATGTGTCAAAAAAGTTGTGAAATATAAATAGAACAAATTATATTTTTTGCGGCTCCACAGGATTTTACGTCGCCTGCATGCAACAAGCATCAACGCTCAATATGACCAAAGAAGACATGTACAATCTAATGCGCCAAGAGTTGGAGGAAGGTTGCGTGGAGTGTCCCGAGGTAAAGGCGGGATGTATCGGAGAAGTGGGCAGTTCTTGGCCAATTGAAGGTGCAGCCACACAAACAATTTACGTTACTTAATCGCGTACTGAAATTTTATGATTAAACACACACTGTTTGCGTTATGTGAAAAAAAACTGTTAGATTTCGAGAAACGCGCCATTCGCGCGACCGGCGAGTTGCAAGAACAATTGCGTTGTCCCGTGAGCTTTCATCCCGGAAGGGATGCGTCCGCACCCGCGGAGATACTGCGGTTGTATCAAGAGGCCGGTGGCAATTCCGAAAAAGCGATCATGTCCCATATCGATCGTAAGATCTTATGTGAAAATTTGTTTTTGTATTCATCTCGAATTGGGCTTGCGAATTAAACGAATTTCATACATGTACAAGGTACCTTAAACGAGGAACAGCTTCTGGAGTTTGCCGACGCCACCAAATGTTACATTCAGTTCGATCTGTTTGGCGTCGAGTGCTCCTACTACCAGCTGAATCCATTGGTCGCCATGCCGTCAGACGCGCAGCGTGTCGACCTTGTCGCGCTATTGAAGAAGGAAAATCAACTGCATCGGGTTCTCATGAGTCACGATATTCACACCAAACACAGACTGGTGCGCACATTTCACAAAAGTTATCCGATCGATCTTGTCGAACGGCATTTGCCAAGAGCATTTATTAAAATTTATTTGAAATTTACTAATTAGAAATTTATTTAATTGATTGTTGAAGATACAATTTGGTGGCCACGGATACTCCCACATCATAAATAACGTGGTGCCTGTCATGATAATCAGGGGCTTCACGACGGAAGAGACTGAACTGCTGACGATTGAAAATCCCAAAAGATGGCTTGCCCGACAATGATCCGTTGAATATACAAAAAATACAATAATAAAGTGATTTAAGGTACTTATAAGTTACTTATTGTTATACAGAGAAATAAGTGCTTTATATTTGCATCTGGGTTTATGCACATTTTATTTTTTATGCACGTGGTCGGAGTTAAAGGGTTAAGTGTGTGATTGACGCATCCAGAGATTATTAACGAGGCAAATAAATTTGCTTATGATTGCCGAGAAAATATATGATTGAGAAAGAATAAGATTATTGAGATAACAAGTATATAAGTATTCTATTTATTCTACTGTACATACCGGCAATTTCTCGTCAAGTAATAATACATTAGATCATGTGAAATAATTTAAAAAAGGACTACAAAAAAAACAATAGAGCGCTAGGACTACAAAAACAATAAAGTGCTAGCATATAAAGTTCACACAATTTCGAACCGAAAAAATTAATATAACATCAACTTATACAATTGTATAAACAACTTTATATAATTATAGAACATTCTAACTTATTTATGTATATAATTGTATATAATTGTATATATAAATAATTATACAATAACTTTTTTATTTTATTATATGACATTTCAACTTACATAACTATCTTAGGTATGAATAAATATATACGTTTTTTTCTACATTATTAAAAGATATATTTATGTTTTAGAGAATTTGCTTCTAAGAAAGATTTTGTCTCTGTTTATATTTATCTTTAATTTATTTTTAGAGAGATAAAATCTGTCTTAAAAATAAACTCTCTTTTGTTGCTCTATTTGATTTTATAACAAACTTTGTTTTTAAAAACGATTACGTACAAAATGCAAATTTTTATGTGTAGAGCTACACATAAAAATATGTTTGTCTTTTATTTATAAAGTAAAAGTTTACATGCTACATGCCTTTGGTATATAAAATTTCGGTATAACATTTTATATAAAAGAATAATTTATAGTATTTATTTACGCATAATACTAGTTTTTAAAACACATTTTAGGTACGAGGTATAAAAGAATTACGCACACTATTTCACAGATGCTAATGGTTATTGAGGACTAGTTTTCCTTCTTCTTCTTTCTCTTTTCTTCTTTTCCTTATCCTCTTCCTCCCGTAAGGAAATGTTCGTAGTCTTCTCAATTTTTCAACTGTCAGCTCTCGATTCGACCTTTCACGGCTCTTCCTGGAATTGCGAACTTTTCACAGGACTCATAGCAATCGAAACAGTCGACACCATCGTTTTGCTGAAGTCTTTCGAGTAGTCTGCGGTCGACACATAAAATATCGATATTATATATATATATATATATATATATATATTTTTTTTTTTTTTTTTTTTTTTCTGACATTAACGGCTATCATTTTCATCTTTGCGTTAGAGATACGCAAGAAACGACAACCAAATATGTTTTTTCTTATCAAATGCGTGCAGAAGCGTTGGCAAAGCAGACTATACATATTCAGCGACAATGAGATGCACACGGGGAAAAAAAGAAAATTTTTAAATGCTTTAAAATTATATATGATCGCTTGCGAGGTGATTAAAAAGAAGAAATCATATGTTTGATAAACAACAAGCAACGGAAAGTGGCTGACAGTAGCAAATAAATTGTCATCACATTAAAAAAAGCAATGATCTTAGAATCTTAAGAAAGTAATTCATTCAACGAACCAAAAACGTCTGTACGCGAGGTTTGTTAATAACATTAAGTTAATCTAAGGTGCAATATATATATACGCTCGGTGCGACGATCGGTACGACGTCATTCGCTCGATCAAGCTTCATCCACGGATGAGGCTTAGACAACATGTTAGTCAAGGAAATGTTGACGATTAAAAAAGATACGCAATATCGATCGACACGTTAGCGCATATGTGCACACTGGTCTGTGTACCGAGTTCAGCGGCATTCAAAAAAAAAAAAAAAAAAAAAACAGCGATCAGAAATCGAACAGAAAGAAAAGCAGGAAACTTCTGGTGCCCTTGACTTACGAAGTGAGCGAGTGGTCGCTTAGCTCGCGCGCTCGGTCAGAGCTTGGTGTGAGTTACCGGGTCACGTTGCTCGAAGTTACCTTGGGCGAGGTCCTGCCGATTATGGGCCTGGAGACCGCCACCGGGTGCGCTGCTTCCGAACGGCGTCAAGCTCGTCCTCAACCACGAACAGCCGACGACGCCGGCGTACGCCTGCCTGTACTGTTTGTTCATGATCACGTAGATGATCGGGTTCACGCACGACGCGAAGTACAGGAGTAAATATCCCAGAACGTGACACTCTGAAAAACGATTCGTCGAGTAATGTACCGCGTGTGTGAGAACATTTGTTTGATTGAACAATTTTTGAATTTCACCGCAGTTTATTGTCGATTAATTTGCGTCAACAGCTGCGGTGAATGAACTCAGTTGCCAAAGATGTGTTTCAATTATTTAAATTTCTTATTTGACTTAAGTTAATAAATTTGTTTTTACCGGGACACCTGACCTCCGTGTCAGCCACCTTCACAATAGTGATCGGTAGGTAACACGCGAGGAAGCTGAGGAAGATCGCCAGCACCATTTTCGTGATCCTCCACTCGCTGCGCTTCTGCTTGATCTCGCGAATGTCCCGTCCGGGCGCGTGGGGCGACTTTATTGTCGGTGCGGCGTGCTTTCGCATTCTCGATTCTGATCTGCGAACGCGTTAATTCAGATTTTCAATCGTTCCGACAAGACGATGAAAGACGTGCTAGATTTGCAAATTGAGTAAAACTTACTTGTGCACCACCCAAAATATCCTAGCGTAACAACCAACAATTACCACACAGGGTATCAGGAATCCCATTATGAAGAGGAACGTCTTGGCAGTGCGACCATGTCGATCTTTGACGATGGAGCAGGTCTCCAGATTGGAGTCGTAGGCGAATTTACCTTGAAGTTGCGAGCAAATAGTATAAACAATAAATAACAAAATATAAACATATATACTGTACACATGTGTATAGTCTATCAGAAAAAAAGTCACTAATAAGACGTTAAATAAATAAAGCAATAATCAAGAGAGTTTACCCCACGCCGATAATAACGTAGGTATCAGGATCCCGTAAGAGAAGAACCAACAGAAGAGTATCATAGCAGCGATCCAGTATTTTCTATAAACTTTGTTGTATATGGCATGATGCGCTATCATGATGTATCTGCGAATTGCATTTTACGTATTTTTTTATGTCAATTTTTTTTCGCACATTTATATTTCCAAAATTAAATAAAATCGATCAAATATGTCAAAAGATAAAAATTGTGTGAGATTACGCGATCAAGTTGAAGCGGAGAGTTAAATAAAGAATAAGGAAAACGCAAACACACCTGTTGATAGTAATAGCCGCGACGGACAGGAGGCTGACCCCGACGTTTCCGTATCTCAAGAAGGGCACGATAACGCAGAAAAATCGTACGTCCGCCCAACTGGCGTTGATAAATCTGATGGAATCGAACGGTAGTACCAGCAGGCAGAACACAAAATCTGCTATGCACAAGCTATGTCATTGAGAGAAGATTTTTTACATTAGAAATGATGCAATGTGTTTGAACAAGATAATCGCGGCGCGCAAAGCGTGCGACACGCGCTGTTACGCGAACTCTTCGAATGTACGCGTACGTTAACTATTTTCAAAACTTGAGCAAAATAATTTATAATAGCAAGAAATTAAATTTTCTAATTCGACATTGATATAAATCAATTTTTTCTTGACAGCATTTTCTTTCATTGGAAATTTTCCAATGCCATTTTTGCGAACGTCATGCGTTTCTGTTGTTTATCTAATTTGTCACTGAAATTTAAATCTGTGAATCTCAACTTCTCGCTTTGACCTTTTGAACAATTTGTTGATGATTCTTTGGTTTTAATATTTTTGGTTGTTATATTGAAGAGAATCTTGTAAGATTTGAAAAACGCAGACTTGCGAATTTAAAAATTACCGCAATAATTAACAGATTTAATTAAATATTTGATTTCTTTGTGCGATATCGAAAGCTGACGAATTATTTGTCGATTAATTTATCAAATGTTTAATTGCGTTGTACCTTATGATAAAAGCTGCCGCGACGTTGCGAACTTTCGGATATTTGCACAAAGCAACGATTGTCAAAAGATTGCCGACCACACCAACGATCATGATAACGATCGCCACCAGCGCCGCGAAAATCCTCAGAGGCTTCGGAAATCTGCGAATAAAACCAATACTCGTGAAATATATTTTTTTTTTTTCTAACATTAAACGTCGCCAGAGATACGTTACCTCGACAAGTCCGAGTCGACGATAGTTTGCGTAGCGTTGCCGGCGACCTGCGACAACCACGTGGTCGTGCTGTCCATCATTCCAGCCGTGCCGAAAGTGTCAAGGCTCTGATCCAACAATTCCATTTGGCCTCGATCGACCTCGAAGACCTGTCGACATTCGCAAGAGAGCGAAAGAGTGGAATTACATATTCGACCTGCGTTCCTTTTGCGAACGGATGACTAAAGCGAGTGACTAATTGTAAGTCGCACAACGGGGACCTTGTCACGTGTCAGAAATCGACACTGAAATTAATAGCCACTATTATCTGTTTGTTTTCTGGAACGAAAATATTTCTTTGAAATTCGGTAGTTTCACGAAAAAAAAAAAAGTTATTTCAGTCTGTGAAAAGCGATTGTTCGATGATTAATTGCGGTAACGTGAAGTGACCGTCTGTGATATACGTAATTGCGCCGTTATCGCAAAAGAGACGAAACGTGGAAGTTCCACGAGGAGGAAACTGATCTGGAATTCCGCTACGACTCGTGACAAAGCGGATGCGTTTCGAAGCGCTGTTTCCTCTGATAATCGCGCGTGGATTAAATTGTCTCGTTTATTATGACATTTCAACAACAAAACAAGCGATATACATTTGATTTGTATTTAGAAAGAGAATCTCGACCGTCGAATCGACGAGAAATCAAAAATAAAGAACACGCGATTGCGACGCGGTGACGCGTGGGACGTTTGACATCATGCAAATTCCGCGCGCGCGCGCAAGACGCATTAGAATAATTTGCCGTGACGAAGAAAGAATACAAGAAGACATGAGAATTCATTATTATTTAATGGGCTCCGACGAAGGGCGCCGACGCGACGGAAATGGGTCGTCCGGCGGATTTACGCGAGACGCGCGACTTACATATCTTGCTAATTCTCTCCGATATCTTTCGGCACGTTTCAACTCACAGCCGACGTAAACACACGCAAACGACCCTACACACACCAGCTCAAGTGATTGTATACATAGAGACAATCTCCAACGTATTTTAAATTAGACAAGTAAATATCGCTTAGCGCACACACCAATTATCGCTGCACATTGATAAGATTCAAATTTTTCGAGTAATCGACATTCCATCGAGTTTCATTTAAAGTTCTTGTCTAACACGTGAACGTAGCGCGGAATGCAATCCTATACAAAGAAACATGGCGAGCATCCTATGTTAATCCTATCTAAATATTTAGATTATCAAAACGATTGTGGAAGATGCGTGACATTTCGATCTTTGCGTAATATCGAAATATTCGCGCGTCATTGTTTTTAGGTGTTCGAAATAATTTTCATGTTTTTCACAAGAACTAATAAAAGTCGCAATATGCAATTTCTCTCTCTCTCTCTCTCTCTCTCTCTCTCTCTCTCTCTTTCTCTGAATTGTTGCAGTTACCAATAAAAAAAAAAAAAAAGAAAAACCGCGAAAATTATATTTATCGATCGGCGATTGTGCGATCCGTGACGCGCGAACGTATGGTTGCGCAGGGTGCGCTCTAAATTTGGTAAACTGGAGTCAAGCTGCGGTGCATTAACCCCGATTGAGCTTAATTAAGGGAAATTAACGGGACACCCGGTACTAGACGTCCCCTCGCTACAAAAAAGCGATGAAAGCCACGGAAGACATGGGAACGCGCCAACGACGCGTCGTTGGCTGCGCACGTTGTTAGTTTTCATCACCAAAAAATTGTGACGAAATAATCCGACGGTCGTTATAATCGCATTTGAATATAATATCGAGTTTTCTTAATTATCGAAATTATTTTTTAATTTAAAAATTTGCTCCGCGCATTATTTTAATTTACAAGAAATCACAATTTAAGTCAAGTTGTGATAGCGTTTAACTTCCGCAAAGGCGTATATTTGACTTTTTTTTTTTATCAGTTCGATAAGAGCGAAGTAAAATCGGTGTTCGTTCGCTGACGACAGAAGACGCGAAGCGAAAAACCGCAAGCGTTTGTATTATTTCTAGTTCTGTGGAAGTTCTCGGTGACGAACTGACGTCAACCGAATGATTTCCGTGTTAATCACGCGACGAACGGCAATGAATGAGTCAAGTTGAGTCACGGTGAAAGTGCCTAGGTCGAGAATCGGTCGGTGCGCGAATTGTGCGATCGGCCGCACAGCGTATCGTTGCGTATCTCGATCGAGAGCGCCTTTAAAAACTCTTTGTGCGAGAACTCATGTGTGTTTATTGATGACTCAGACAACCAAAAGGATTTAATTTTTTTTTTAAGTTTTACGCGAAAATAATTGAAATGGCAAACGCATGAGATAAAAAGGATCGAGTGCGAGAGATAAAACGAATTAAATTCGGCCTCGATCGCGCCTCTTTCGTTGAAAGGCCGCATTTAATTCGTTTTATCTCTCGCACTCGATGTTTTTTTTATCTCATGCGTTTGCCATTTCATTTATTTTGAAATTTTCGCTGAAAGAGGCGCGATCGAGGCGCAGCGCACAACTCTCGTATCCCGCCCACGGGAGCACCACGTGGTGCGCATTGTCAACCGTCTGCACGTGCGGCACGAAACATGTGTCGTGTGCTGCTGTTTCGCACATTGCGTATTTAGCGCTGAATATGCTGTCCGACGAGCGCGATATCGCAACACGAAAGAGAGAGAGAGAGAGAGAACGTTGCGGAATTTTTCACAAGTGTGTGAATTTTTACGTAACACTTTTTATGAAACAATTTTTAACAGACATCAAAAATCTTGAAAAATTATTTCTCTGTGAGACGATTTTGATTTTTCGACGCGCGACAAAGCGCGCGCTTCGATCGTGCGCGAACTTTTTACGAGCGTCACGAGAGATTTGAAAAGATTCACACTTTTACGCTGTGTACTTTCGGTACGCAGCCAAAGCTAATTGAACACCTACTGCACCGCGCGTCGTAATTCTCTACAAGTCACGTTTCTAAATTGCTCGCGCGAAGATCATCCCGAGTTGAGACTCGCCGCGAGTTTTTGTTCCTCATCGTACGCGGTCCCTCAGGATCAGCGGACCACCGTCGCCCTTGAGAGATCGGAGGGTGATGATTCGAGTAAAACTCGCGATTTACAATCGGACAGAATAATTTTCTGAATTATCAGCGTTAATTATTTTCATCAACTATCTAAGTAAAAATTTTCCCACCAATTATCCAAGTAAAAATATATACCGATCTCACAATTGTTATTGCAGAGAACTTTGATTGCCAAATACATCTGAGCGTGCAGACGTCACTGATGCTTCCTTCTTAATTGTGTCAAAATTATTTCAAACTAAAGAGACACACACACAACTAAAAAAAAAATAACGAAAAAGAGCTAATTGTCATCACTTACCGCTCTCTCGTCGATTTTTCTCTCACTTCCAGAGACCAGTCATTAGCGAAGTCTTTTTTGTACTCGAATTCGCTATTATACTCCCGAAACTTCACTAGAAAATCACAAGTCTTGTTTTTTATTTATTCAAAGTCTTCGTATTTCAAACACTTTCGTACGACAATTCCGACACACAATCACCGCTTTGATATTTTGTGACAGCGCGATTTCTAGAAGTTAACACGAGCAGTCTGTGAAGAATAACATTTTATTTGAGAAATAATCTCTGTCGTTTTTTTTTTAAGAGACACGTATTTTTCCAGACGGACTCTATCCGCAATGACTCTCTTCCAAAGTTTATTCTCGATCGCGGGGAACCGGACTCGCAAGAGGGGGGTGGAGGACGACCATCACCAACGCGCACGATGCCGGTGTCGTCGCGCGCGGGACAACACTGTGCGTCAGCAGTTACCGTGGATGGACTACTGCTTACCCAAGCATTCCGACAGATTGTTACATGCACACGCTGCTGTGCGTAGATACGGGGCCCCGCGGATAGTAGACGACCGTCAGGGAGAGAAGGAGGTGGTAGAAAAAAGAGGAGGGAAAGTGAGCAACACGACGAGGCTCTCTCGGTGTGGGCTCCCGATGACGAACGTCATCATTGGTAAGCGGTGCGAGGGCGCATCTGCACCCAAGGGGACCTAGTTGACCCTTTTCTCTCGCTCGTACCACACAGAGCTCTCTGCTCCTTTTTTCAAATTGCACGGAACGCGCCGCTGCTGTGGAGCGACACGTCGCGCTCTCTCTCTCTCTCTCTCACACACACACACATTCGCGCAGAGATAAAATTTTTTTTCTATTATCGGAGACGAACGTTAATGTGCGAGTATTTCTGATAGTGCGAAACCCTTGACGGGTCCGTTCAGATAAGAAAAATGTCTCGGGTTACGTCTTATCGACATTTTTCCCACAGGTGTGGTCGAAGCAGGTCCGATTTACTTGTCCAAAACGAATTGCATTTCGGATTTTATCTTCAGACAGTTCTGGATATTGTCATCATCATTTCCTTTTAGTTACTAAAAGGAAAAATTTTCCAACGATAATCAAGAAGATAAAAGTAAAATATCTTCGTTCGATGTTGCTTTAACATCTCGTAAATACCACAACACGACGTTTTCCTCTTCTTTTTTATCCTCTTCATTCAACCACATCGCTTCTTCGTAACATGAATCACAATCACGAGTAAATTTCTTATCGATATGTGCGAAAACGTTGCGAATTCTGCGAGCTGATGATCGTCCGAACGGATAGTCTGAATTCACCTTCATTAGGACAGGAATGCAAATCGAGAATCCTGACCGGTTGGTCGTTTCTCGAAGCTTTTCAAATGAATGATACCAGAGAAGAAGAAATCGTTTAATTACAAAAAAATTTGTTTCTTTTATTTTTTTTTTTTTTTATTAAAATAAATCATACACATTACATATATAAGAATCAATTATATTATTTGTATCTTGAAATCGTGCAAGCCACTGCTCTCAACCGGTGTTGTATTTCAATTGATGAATCTGCGTCGAGAAGATATTTACATTCGAATGCAAACCGCAAGAGCCTACTCACGATCGCCAATAAGATACTCTCGTTCTTAATACCGCGGATGTACACACGGTGTTTATTACGTAAGCAACCAAAGAGAGAGAGAGAGAAAGAGACAGGCTGTAGAGTGAATTAACTTCAACGAAGTGGAAGCCGACCGGCTGCATTAATTGGAATGACTAAATCGAACATCTCTCTCGTTGAATTCACGAGTCATAGCGCGGCCGACCCGCATCTACAGTCGCGCTCCATTGTTCCGAATTGGATTTTCGGTCGCTCAAATCTCCCGCTTCTTTCTATCCTGGAAATTAAACAACAAATGTTATTTATGTGATGGGAGGTAATTATTTAATAATGTCATTTGTTGACATCTCACACGTTTAACAACAGAATTTAATTGACATTCACCCACGTGACACGTTTTTCTGTATGCGTGTGTGACTATACAAATATACGCCAGAATGATTTATAACACAGAGAAAATAAAAAAACTCGCACAAAGTCGTACTACCCTGTGATTCTTGCACTCGTTGTCTCAAATAAAGAGCACTCCTGCGGGAAAACTCGCTTCCGACTCGCTCGCTTCCGCTCGCGTTCGTACGCAGCTGTGGACTCTCTCCCTACGTACGACGACCACCACTAACAAAATGCAATTATTTTTAAAAAGGATGTAGGGACGCTCGCTTAGTTTCCAGGGGACGGGATCTAGTTGTCACATCAACGACGAAACAAACACATAGGGTTGACTGGGTAATATTATTTATCACTTCTGTTAGGTCGACAGCACGCGCAGCTTACCGATTTATTCAATGAATTGTCAAAAGAACCGACAAAACAATCTGTTCTCATTAATTTTTTTTTTTTTTTTTTTATTTATTTTTGATGCGAAATTAAGATTAAAATATTGGATGAGCGCACAAAAGTTTTGAAAATTAGAAGAGATACAGTCGAACGCGCACTTGTTTTCTTCAAAAAGTCCCGCTCGCGCAAAAGACATCTCTTTTCATTTCGATGAGAAAGCAGAATCGATCTTAAAAATCTCGGAAAAATCTCGCGCGATTTTACACGCGCAGTCAAATGCGGAGGCGCGGCAAGCGCGGCCTCCGCGAAAAGTACTTACGCTCTTAATAATTCCGCCAGTTCACTCGCAAATTTTGCCAGATTCGCATCGCGTTTGCATCAACACATCTCGCTACCTATCGGCTGTACCTCTCTGCGTGTCTTTTATTACAAACTTCCGAGAACGCGGATTTATGAACAATACAAGTTGCGTCGCATTTTCTCGTTACACTTTAGTGATCAACAAAATTGACAAAAAAAGAAACTGCGAATAAAGTGAGATCTGTAAGTTCAACGCAATGTCGAGATCAGAATGATCGTTGACAAGAGAGAGAAGAATTAAAAAAAAAAAAAAAACCAAAACGACTAATGTCATTCTCCCACAAGAACAACAAGAAAAGATCGTCGCGGGAGATACAAATTATATTGCCGATGATCGCGATGAGTCTCAAAAGTGTTTTACGTTGTCACGAGGGGTGAAAACGCAGCACTGCAAAACACAATCGCGTGAGGAGACTAGATTCAAAATTTGCCAAGTACACAATTTTCTTCCAGAACTAGAAACTCGTGGTACATATACTTTGAATTACAAAAGATGAAGGATATTACGCGTATATATCGTTTTTACTATTGAAAGAAATATATTATTATTATTTTTTTTTATCGTCAAGCTCTCGATGATCCACCCATCGCTCGTGGATCGCGAGAAACCGACGCGGACTAGAAACGTCCGAAAGTTTACGCCCGGACGAAAGAGTTTATCGTCTCGGGCGGCGAAAATAGATTTCTGCTCCTGTTCGACGTTGTACGCGAAGGAAAAAAAAAAGAGAAGCGCTGAATCAATATGCGTGTACACAGGACCCGGACGGCGTGTGTGCGTGGAAATTTGCGATTTTTCGAGACGAGACGATAACGCGTGTTGCGTGTCTCGCCGTCTAATGAGCGGTCGTAATTCAGCGGAGCAAATCGGAAATAAACAAATGCACAATAAAATTATAGAATTATACTCGCAAATGTGTTTATAAAAAAAAAGTACATCCTAAAGAGACTAAAACTAAACTTTACTACGTATATTTTTACAAATACGTTTAAATCTCTATAAACATTTTTATATTGCGCGAATTCTTTTTTATAAACAGCAAACGTATCATTTGAGAAAATATTTGACAATATATTCTCACAAATAACGGCGCGAATAACATCGTCGAATAATTATTTTCAAGAATTCGAGATCCTCGATTGACAAGCGAGAAGCAGAATGTGAACACCACCCGCGATTCTATACGGCCCTGACGCGACGGCCGTCCTCCACGTTACTCCGGGCGAGAGTTGAGCTTTTCGCAGATGTTGAAGTATATATTGGTGGATGGCGAGCAACGAAACGCACACCTGGCCCAACGGCAGCGGCGACGCGCCGATCGAGGAGGTGCTGCAGGATCCAGGATCTGTGATCCTCTTCGTCGGCTATCCACGATGGCTGCTGCACTTCGCCGCCGTCTGCTGCGTAATCTTCATGCTGATCGGTATCCCGGGAAACTTCATCACGGTGCTCGCGTTGTTTCGCACGAAAAAGGTAATTGACATTTCGCATCGTTTGTTTGCGCGAAACGAATTGTTAAAAAAGGAGAAGATCGAGAAAGGGGTTTGAAGTTGTCTTCCAACAGAAAGAAAAATATTTTTCGCTTTCGCGCGAAGTGCGTCTCTTTTGCAAAAAGACGTTCGTAAACGTTGTTTCGCCTGTGACTTGCCTGAACAATTTTCGGCGACTTTTCTACTCGGAAGGGCTTTTAAGTGCGCCCGTAATCAAGTCGTCGTCGTGTGTGTTACCGCACGACGCACCGTGACTTTCTACTCGAATTTCCGGCGCGCACAGAAATCTCAAAAGCAATCCGAGTGGTTTACCTCGACTCATTATACCTCTTTAAGACTTACTTGAGACGCTCATCGCGACAATAATGAATAAAGATGATAACTTTGTCGGTCGAGATTGGATCAGACGAAAGAGACGTTATTTCTCGGAACGTAATAGAAAGAGAAGAAAGAAGAGGACAAAGTATCTTTCATCAAGCATTTTGTGTCGGAGCGGAAATGTGACGAGCCGATCAAACGCGCGGTGTTCGTTTGGCTCACGATTTTCGGCAACTTGCTTCTCGACAAAAATCGGCATCGGATTTAACTTGGAAATCTTCGATCGTAACGGAAATCCCCGGGGCGCGCGTAAGAATCCTGTGTTTTCACGAAAGTTCACGTTCGCCGCTCTCGATATAATGAACGAGCTAGATTTAAATCGGGAATTCTATATCAATTCCATTGCGTTTGTGCGCTTTCGGCGATTTTAGAGAGAAAAACCGAGAATTTATTCGGTTTAGTCAAACGAGCCAACTCTTTCGCGAGTTATTGAATATTCATTAATTGTAATTTACTTGTGAAATGTGGAAATATATTTAGTATATATAAATACATTTTAAAAAAACGTGGAAATAAAAGAATCAACTTTATAATTTTGCAATTATTACTCTCCGTGTTTTAATATTAATTTACGCAATTGTGTGTGGTTTTTGCAATTTTATGTTTACAGCTGAAAAATGCAACCGCGGTTTTCATCATGAATCTCTCCGTGTCAGATTTGATGTTTTGCTGCTTCAATCTGCCCCTCGCGACCTCGACGTTCTGGCACAGTTCGTGGCTGCACGGGCCTCTTCTCTGTCGATTGTTTCCGCTTTTGAGATACGGCCTCGTTGCGGTCAGCCTCTTCAGCATTCTCGCTATCACGATCAATCGCTACGTCATGATCGGTCATCCCGGTCTCTATCCTGTGTAAGTACGACCTTATCACTTTAAAAATATCATATTTTTTAAACATATTTAACACTGTTTTTTAGATTGTACAAAACCAAGTACTTAATACCGATGGTTCTGGCGACATGGATCGCCGCTTTCGGTTTGTTAATTGTCACGTGGTTCGAGCGATTCGGACGTTTTGGATTGGATCCTGTTATCGGATCCTGTTCGATCCTGCCGGACGTGAACGGCAGAAGCCCGAAAGAATTTCTCTTCGTTCTCGCATTTTTAATACCTTGCCTCGCGATTATCGTCTGCTACGCCAGGATTTTCTACATCGTTCGCGAGACCGCCGGGAAGAGCAGAGGCAGAAACAAGATGTTTAAGATGGAACCGATGGAAGTCAGTCATGATGTGAGATCTGCTCGTTTATCGTAATGAGAGAGTTTGCAAAATAAAATATTGTAAAAATAAAATATATCACATATGTGTATGATATTGTTATCCTCGATCATTGTTCCAGCAAGGATCCTCGTCCACGAGGAATCAGGAAGAAGAGCTCTCCGTTCTCAGCATCGCTCCGATTCAAGCGATCGTCGCTCGCACGGACGAAGAAACCAATCTCGAATTAGCGTTCGTCAACGAGGTATCGTCTTCGTGCTTCGAGCAATCGAATCACGATCAACAAAGAACAAACGGCGTGACGAAATCGACGGACGATCCAACGAAATCCGACGATCCGAACTCCGGTAACGATTACGACGCGATTCGCGCGAGCTTGTTGGTGAAGGACATACCGTTCGTGGACGAGCACGAGGATTCGGACTTCACGGAGACGAAGTTGTTTCTGAACAGAAGTCAGAACGAACCGCAACGAAAATCGTCGAGGAATTCGCGCGGACGACTCGAGAAGTTGGCCAGTCGCGCGTCCTTCATCGTCGAGTCCTCGTTACAGAGAATCGCCGGTGGCGATCGGCCCGGCGAGATCGTTCGCGCGAAATCATCGCCCGAACGATCTCCCGCAAACGACAAACCGTTTCGCAGGGAATCGAAGTTCAAGACTGTCGACAGGACGCGAATCAACGGCGGCGTCGCGTCGCCCAGAATGTCCGCCAAGGATCGAAAACTGTTGCAGATGATCCTCGTGATATTCTCGTCGTTTCTCGTCTGCTACCTGCCGATCACGATCACGAAGCTCTTCCACGCGGCGATCGACTGGCGCGGTTTCAACATCGCCGGTTACCTTCTCATCTACCTCACGACCTGCATCAATCCCGTTATCTACGTTGTGATGAGCTCCGAGTACAGAAGCGCGTACAAGTACGTGTTGCTGTGCAAGCGCGAGCGGATGCCGAGCAAGAGGAGGTTGCCGGGTTTGCTGACGCCCAGCTAAGCGCGTCACGAAATAATTAGACAAGTGGTAACAAACAAGAGAGTACAGAGATTTATATTAAGAGATAAATGTGACGTACAATTGTGTACTTAATACATATACGTGTGTTATAAATAGAAAATTTAAATTCTCTTAACGCTCTAACTCGAAGTATATAGTGTTGCTTGTTGTTCGATAATTAAAGAGCGCAATTTACGTTAAATAGAAGAGATGTACAAAGACTTGATTCTAGTCGCGTGTAAGTTGAACGTTAACAGTTCAACGTTAATATTCTTTTGCTCCTATCTACTACTTAAAAAATAACTGCGTTCTTACTTTACTTAAGTAATTTCTCATTGTTAAGATTGTACCGTTTGTATCTTTTTTGTCAGCGGTCCCGAGCCTTCTCGCATATCTACGCTACGCGTCACGGTCGGCTTTCACGGTAGAATAATCTTAAGATCTGACAACTGTGTGTTTTGTTTACATGTTTCAAAAAATACTTGTCGATTATCTTAACAGTTGCGAACAAACAGCGCAACCTATTGAAGTGTAAAGTAACATTCTTCCTATAAAAGTTAATAAACCGCTACTTTGTACTGTACATACGTATACATACATTGCCGAAAGCTTCGTGAAAGTAGTTTAACACTCTTACAATGAGGTAGTTTACATTAATTAACTCTAGTTACACACATACAAGAGACGCATTGAATCTTATCCTACGATTCTATACACACACGGGAAAAAAAGTTTGCTAGAATAGTAAGAAGATTAGTTCACTATCATGGCCAGGAACAATTAATAAACCTATTGAATTTTTTGTTTTGCTAACAAAACGTTTTTGTTGACAAAAAATTCAATAGAGTAAATTGTTCTCGCTGTGGTCAATAGCAAAACCTCAATAGCAAACTTTTTCCGTGTATTCGGATTTGATATTTCCTAAGAAAAAAATAGAAATTTGTTAAATAAATAAATTCGTTATATGTTGATCGATAAATCGCCAGAAGCTGACGTGTCAACTTCAAGAAATTGACAAAACCTCGCCCCCTTTTAACTCTTTCGATGTGTATGTTGCGTCGCAACAGATCGCTTGTTTATTTTGTTACTTGTTGCGGCTTACCTGAGAAAACTTCTTCGATTACTTACGTTAAGAATAATTTTAATAGAAAAATATATTCGCGGGGAGATAAAAGGAGTTTTTCGCGATGTTGTAAAATATCAACTTTTCGCTGTAATAATTCAGCGTTCAGTTTCTGTCGAGATTAGGCGGCACCGACGCCGATATCGTGCTGATGTTCATGCCAGGTGGCCAGCCCTTCTTCTCTTCGTTGCCGCTCCCGGCCTCTTTCGGCGTCACCTTCGTGATTTCCAGTTTGCCGCTGTCGCGATTCTTGTACTGCAACACGCCGGCCGCGCCCATCATACCGATCCCACCGAGCACCATCAGCCACTTCAGAAAGCTGCAAAATAAAAAAGAAATGTTTAATATTTAGTCGCGTATATGAAAGAAGAAGGGGTATAGTTGACAAAAAAAAATGTCAAATACACTCACCCTACGGCCGCCTGTGCCTTGAACACGATCTTCACCTTGTTGACAAACTCGTCGGGGAGAAGTACTCCTTCTTCTACCCAGAACAGCGGTAGCAACGCCTCGGGGAAGTTCTTCATCAGCTTGATCTTCGGCACCGGTTGTATGAACATGTTGAACTGCAGCCGTTTGTGCGCGCGCATCGGCGTGGCTGTCATCGGCTCGAAATCCATATCGAGTTCGTGATCCTCCTGATCCATCGCGTAAACAGTCATCAGATGTGTGAATATTAAATATTAAACAATTCTCAATATTTTTTAAGATGCAATTTTATATATTAATTCTCTTAATTTCACGTATTATAAATTACTTTTGTTTACGGCCAGGTGATGCTCGTCCGAAACATTGAAATGTACTCGTCGATTATCTGAATTTTATTACCTGATTCGGATGCAAACCGTCCACCATCGACAAGTACGTTCCGTCGGTGTCGTAAAAGTGCGGCAGAGACCCGATGATGGGCACGCCCAGACACTTGGTCATGTCGTACAGGTTCCTCGTCAGGCAGGTGTCCGGTGTCGGACAGAAGCACTTCTCCATGGGATTCGTGCTCATGTCTCCCAAATCCGCCGTGTAATGCAGAGTTTTGACACCTGACGAATAACACGTATGGAATTATTTTCTAAACGTCACAGCAAGATTAAACGCTTCTGCTTGTTTATTTTATTTTTTTTTTTTTTTAGATTTTTACAAAAGTTACCTTTGATCTTGCTGTGGTATTGGAAATGAGCGCTGAGACTCCGACAGATCTCGTATCCGAACGAGACGATGTCGTCGTCCGGCCCAAACAGAGGCGGAAAGATCGTCGTGTCGGTGCCGTTGTAAGCGTTGCAGTGATCCTCCGGCCAGATGTCCATCGCGGGTTTGCCGTCGTATTCCAGTACACGCCCGACGTCTTTGTAATTCTTAACGCCGCGCAGCACCTTCAGACGCTGCGGCATGAGAGAGTTGTTTTTCTGTCGAGAAACAAAATCACAATTTTTTATTCGCGCGTGGTATATTTTCATGTTATATTCATTCTCTCTTCTCGCGTTTTGGTCGAAACGAAATTGTGGCGTGGCGAGGTAAGTAACGTTTACAATTTTCGCGTTTGAGATCGCAGTCTAAATAACAAGTTACTCGCTCGTTCCCGTTGCGTGACTTCCCGCGCGCTTCTCTTTCAGCATGCAATCAGACCGATCGTTTGTCCACTCGTCAAAGTACTCGCGAGAAGCTAGAAATTGTCGCGGCACCGACTCTTGATGGAAACGCGATCGCCACCTACCCCGCCGAAGATGGAGAACTTGTACCGATCCTCGCCGTCCGGCACCAGATCCTTCGCTTCCGTTTTGAGCACGTTGCACACCGCCGATCCGGCGAAGTCCTTCACCGTGCAATCGACGGGCAGACCGTTGAACATTATGTCCTTGGCCTTGGCTCGCACGAATATCGAGTCCGGCTTGTGGAAGATGCTGTCGATCGCTTTGCCTGTGTGTAAAAAAAATCTACTAAAACAATTTATCAGAAAAGTAAAATAATTAAAAAGCGTTTCGAAGAATCAAATGTGTACATGCTCGCGATTGATTCGAAAAATTCTAACGACACTTTCGCGCGTTTTTTGCGAACAAAATCGGATTTTTGAACATTAGTCGAAAAACCGACTAATTGTCGGGAAAAATATCGCGAAACGACAGTATATAAGTAATTTATACTTTATAATTTATGTTCTCGCGCCGTAGGTGTGCCACACACACGCTATAGAAAATATATCTCACGTTCCACTTTAAACCTTCCGTTATTATGTTATAGGCCTCGCAACTTCGATCCTGTGCGCGCGAAACCGGCCGATACGTAAACCGCAATCGATACGCGACATTGAGGAGAAAAAAAAAAAAAGAAACAAATGCGACACGACCGTGCGCGTAAATCGCGCGATTACGCACCGATAATCCCGATCGCGGCCGGTTTCTCCCTCAGCCCGGTCGCCACCATGCCGAGCATCATCAGATGCGGAAACACCATGTCCTCCTCGCCCGTCAGACCGTTGCTCTTCTTGGGATTGAAGTACCACGTCGTCTTCACGCTGTACTCGACGCTGTCCTCATCTTCTCGATCGATGAGATCCACCTTTGACTTGTACTCACTAAAGAAGAGAGAGAAAAGAATTTGCGATTGGAATTAAGATCAAATTATTGGAAACGCATTCATTTTGCGTAAAAATGTTATTTAAATATCAATTAAATGTGAAGACACTTTGTATTTTCGTCGTTGCGCAAATGACTCACTCGTAAAAGAACGGTCCGATCTCTTGCAACTTGGGCTTTTGGCCCTCCTTGATCTCGTCGGGATTGGTCACGTTGAACAGATAGATCTTGAAGTCCAACGGAAACGGGGTGTTCGACCAAAGATCGCGCATCTCGCTCCCCGGTTTCAGCGCGACAGCCTGGTCAATTGCACATTAAGCAACTCGATTATTATTGTTGCACAAAAAACATTCGCAATTCCTTCTCGTAACGCTCGCAAATGCGCATATCCTTGTAGTTCCATGACATGTGCATTTTCTTTTCTTGAGACAGTTTGAACGCGAGGTTTTTAATTTCTGGCTTTCGCGTTTTTTTTTTTTTTTTTTTTTAATACCGAGAAATACATACGGACAAATTTGAATGACGTCAAGAAAGTTTGAAATTGAATCGAGAAATTCCACATGACGACAAAATCTACGCAAATTGTAGTCTTGGCGCAGCCCAGCGCAGTCGTGGAAATAAAGTAAATGCAGACAGCGAGACGCAACGCAAGGAGCCATTAATTCTATTATTTTCGAATAATAGGAGAACACAATATCAACACAATAATCACGTTGTAATAACGTGACAGCAAGGTTCAAGAATCTCACGGCATATATACTTTCGCGAGATGACTCGAACGTTTTCGCGATATTCGGTAAAGCTGCACGCGGAAAAAAAATTGTACTAAGCTTAGCAATTTTTTCTTGCTGCTCCTCATGTAGTAACTAATCTTCTTGCTATTCCAAGCATTTTTTTTCTCTTGTAAAATCGGGCACGTAGAATTTATTTCAAAATTTAAGTAAAAATCAGAAAACGCAAAGATTTACCATTTACACGCTAAATGCGTTGACACGTGATGTAGCTCTCTGATAATATTGTTTACGATATTAAAATTCACATTTGTAGAAACTAGAATGTACAGTTTTAGAAAAAATATTCCGATATACGATATGGTGTTACACAAAAGATATTACACGTCACGTGATGAAAATTTGAAGCAAAAACACACAATATACATTGTACAAACAAAATTTGCACAAATACGTGAATACAACTTTTTCAAATATCTTTTAAGGTGAATTACGGCAATCGATAGTAAAAGCAAATGCAACGGCTCTGGAAAGACGCGCTCGCTTAATACGCTCATGTGAGTTAATTGCACGAGACACGCGAGAATATAAGAGCACTTGATGAATAATCTACGCAAAAGTTGCATAAATGATACGATTCGAGACTCCCATTACAATTAACGAATTGACAACTGGCGATTGTTGTTAAAATAAGACAGAGAGATCTGAAAGAAAGCGCACGATATTACTTTAGGATACGAAAAGTATCCGGCGCAAATGAGTGGCATTTGTGTGCAAAAACGTGATTACTAAAAAAAACAAAAACTTATCATATACTTGACACAGTGGAATCAGTCGAAGTAGGTGAAACTTTAAACCAAAAGAAATTTATAAAAATTCTCGCGCTCACCTTCTTAATTTGCCATCTGAGTATTGCGGGAAATCCAAACCAGCCGAACAAAATGCCGAAAATAAACATACCAGCACCTCCGAATCCGAGCTTCTTTAAACTCACCATTTTAACGTTCTGGAAACCAAGACCAAGAATGATGTTGTGTTTAGACAGCATAAACGCACAATCAATACGGCATTTATTTATAATTAAAACGGAGAGGGTCATTTATTGTCAGCAGATCGCGCAAAATTAGAAGGTAAAGTTAAAGGAGCGAAGTCACGCATCTAATTTTTTGCTCCGTTACAGCAGAATTACAAATTATTTTACAAATGTATTTATCAATAATTATTACAATCAACAAATTTTTGCGATCCGCATCGAATCACTTGACACGAAAACGTCAGTTCTAAGAACTTCGTAAAGCAATTTTTTTATGTAGAGTTTCGGTCACATCTCTTTTGTAATTGAGCTTGTGAGGGAAATGTGTTTTTGCAAGGAACTTGATTTCTTTTACGAATTCGAGAAACCTTTGATTGTATCTTTCGAGTGTATCCATCGAGGACGCGGAACACACGATCGAACACTCTGCCGAACGGTATCACGTACAGCAACTTTGTACGTTTTAGAACATGGTGTGTTTGCCGAACTGCGCGAACAGTGACGTCGTGCACGTGTCGCTCGGATTTTTCCTTCTGCATCGCGCCGATTTGAAAAAAAAAATCGCTTTTTTTGTGTACTATCGCTGTGCTGAAGAAACAAACTTCTCGCGCGAGCTCATCTGTATCGTAATGTAAAAAAATTCTTCTACTCAATCTGAATTGCGTTCGGTAATAAATATTATAGAAATTGATAAAAAAAAAAAAGTTTATTTTACCAAGTAAAATACGTTCTGTACAAAGAAACGATGTCAAGGTAAAGAGCCGTGACTGTTCTTCTAATGTGATAGAAATAAATGAAAAAATAATTTTTTCTTTTTCACAGTAAACGAAAACTCGTTTTCGTCGTTTCTTTCCGTCCAATCTATTTCTGTGTTCGTGGTCAAATGAATAAAGCATACAATTCACTTTCTTCAGCACATTAACGCGTAGTACGCAAACATTAATCAGGAACAATTTTCGTAATTTTTGGCGAATCGATATCTCGCTTCCTGAAAAATTTTACAATTTTGTTCTCCGACAAAAATTCTCAACAATGAAATTAGTTCTGTGAGATTATCAAACTCCGGTTGATATCTTTCGCGTTCGCGTTTCTTCCTTCGCACGAGAAACAGTTTATCCTCTTTTTTTTTTCGCGGATTAATTGCCTCTCGGGAATATATTTCGATATATCGGAATGAAGAAGACAAGTTTCCGAGTCGCGACGCGAGCTGGAAGACCTCGACCTTCACTGCGTGATACCGTCTTCGCACCTGTGCGGTCTCTTGGCCGATTTCTTCGCGCCACCCTCGTCGTCGTCGTCGTCGTCGTCGTTGATCGTGCGCGGCTCGTCGCGAACGAACTGCCCGGACAATAATGACCGCCGATGTCTTACACCGGACTGGCGTCGGCGTACTTCCGTAGGCTTCTTAGCTTCCCTACCTAAGAACGCGGCATCTCGAGCGTGGTCGGATGCACAGACGGGAACGACGAAAAACGCACTACGTACTCGGGTGCTCAGAGAAACAGAGAGACAATCGCGAGACAGTCCCGGAACGTGATTCTCGAATTAAAGCGAAAAAATCTTTAATAATTTTTCTATAACGTGCACATATTATTTAAAATATTTAGAGCACATTAATATTTTATAATATATACATTAATTATATTTTAGAATATATATACATTATTTAAATAATGTTTTTTTCAAATCAAAAGAAAATATAATTTATAGAAATTTTATTACAAGTTTGCAACAGATTTTTTTTTTTATGAGAAAAGTAACGAAACATCATATGCGTAGTCACTGCAAATTACTTAAGTACAAAGCGCAATAATGCGTCACGCAACGTCGTTTAAATAACAGTTGCGTCACGTGAGTGTGTTCTTTCAATACGCTATTTCAATATTTAACGACATAAAATCATGAATTTGCATTTTGGATTTTTGATTAGTTAGAACTTTACACAGATGTAAAATTGCAGCAGTTTTTTGCTGGTATATGTTCATCATTATAACATAAATATAACCACTGTCATCACAATTCAGACGTAATTAAACGATTTACAAGTAACTGACTAATTAAGTAGTAACATTGTTAAATATATTAACGCACATTAGTTTACCGTGTATAGTGTCAAGATGTGTGAATATACTTTTTAAAAAATTATTATTTATAAAGTAGTATTTTCTATCTCTAAAATTTATAATATCTGTAAAATCGTTTTTTACTAAGTCGAAACGAGAAAGAAATCATTGTCTGTTAATTGTCTGTTAATCTGCGAGTAAAAATAACTTTCTCTATCTCCGTGTAACAAGTTACACAAAACGTGCGATATACTAACATCAGTATAATTAAAAACAATATATATCGCGATAATTACATTCTACTGAAACGTGCTTAAATTGAACTATTATCTTCATCTAGCAGGTCTCACAATTTGTTTCCCACTATCTAAATTTGTCAAGTTATTACTTGTAAAATAATCCTGAGTCGCAATTAATATTAATCGCGCAGTACATATTGACGCCACCTCACTCGACATATTCAATTTTGTACGAAATTTAAATGACGAATAAATAATTAATACATTAGATACTCCCTGTTAATCAATGTTAGGCAACGCTCCTTGTACGGTGCTAATAGCTGGCAACTTATGCGGCGACGTAGCGCTGTCTTTCTTCGCTGTTTTCGGTACAACGTTCAACGTCACATTTCCCGCATTCTCCTTGTGATATCTCACCGCGGCGGCGATCATCATGCCAATGCCGCCTAACATCATCAGCCACATTATTGTTCTGAAAAAAAACAAATAAAAGATAACTCGGATATCTCGTAAATCTAACTTCGCAAAAACCTGAAAAGGGTTTCACACTATATCGATTTAATTTTGTTTCGTTGCGCGTCTCGCGACGAAAAAGAAGTTTGCGCGTTTTAACAAGAGAAATTAAAAAAAAAAAAAAAAATACAAGACTTTTTAAAACTACTACGTAATTTAATAACTTACTTTGCGATCAAAATCTGCGTATACGCGGTCTTAAGCGGCTTGATGAGAACGTCGCCGAGTTCGAGTCCGTCCTCTATCCAGAATATCGGGAAAAGCGCATCCGGAAAATTTTTCATCAATTTCATCTTGGGTATGGGTCCGACCAGCGCGTTGAATTGGATTTTCTTATACGCTCTTATCGGAGTGCCCGTCATCGCGTCGAAGTCAAAAGTCATTTGATGTTTCTCCTAGAAGCATCGTACAGTTTTTTTTTATTACAATTCTCAAACAACGTCTATTATTTGTTAATTAGAGCTTTTTCGAAACACCCGCCCATCCACGTTGCGGGCGGACGAAACGACGCTCCTATCAATTCTCGATTCTTTTTCTAATAGAATCTGAAATATAAAAAAAATGTTCAAATTTACAGGATCAGGATTCAATCCCTCGATCATCTCGTAATAATGCGGATCGGAATTGAGAAGATGAGGCAGGCTTATTCTTATGGGCACTCTCAAGCAGGGACCGGCGTTGTAGATATTTTTGGGCATGCATCCTTCGGGCTCGAGACAGAGGCATCTCACGTTCTTGTTCTCGGACGGATCTCCCAGGTCCGCCGTGTAGTGCAGCGTTTTGAAACCTGCATGCGTTGCACAAAATTGTTGTACACAAGTTCACGTGTATTTTTGTTTTTAATTTCGTATATTGTGACATTTATTTTTGTCTTGACACTCCGAAATTATCGATTACCTTGAACTTTTCCCGGCTCGACGTAGTAGGCTCCTATACTTCGGCAAATGTCCGGGAAGTGCGCCCAGACTTCTTTGTTCTTCGTCAGGAACGGCGGAAAAATGGTTCCGTCCGTGCCGTGTAAGTCGTTGCAGGGACTGCCGGGCCATGTGTCCATTTTTGTAGCGTTTCCCAACGAATACATACGTCCAACGTCCTTGCTATTCTTGATCCCGCGGTAGACTCTTATGCTTTTCGGAACTTGAGTCCCGTTTGTCTGAGAAGTACAGACGATATATAAAATATAAAAAAATACACGTGCAAAAAAAATGTTGACACGCACCTTAGAGAAGTAACCGTATCGATAACGTGAATCACCTTCCAGAATGAACGTGTCCGACTTTTCCTGTAACACGCCGCACAAAGCAGATCCAGCGAAATCCTTTATATCCACGCAACTGAAACGTACACCGTCGAAGAACAGCTCTTTTACGGTGGTTTTGATGAACATCGAGTCGGGCTTCTTAAAAACACTGTCGAGCGCCTTGCCTGAGACATTAACGAAGTATAAGAAAAAATTTTTTTTTCTGTGTCTCTCTCTCTCTCTCATCATTTTACTGGAATACGTACTAACAACTCCCAACGCAGCTGGCTTTTCTATTTGAGTGAGCAGAGTTACCGCCAGCATGACAGGATGAAACGCGTAAATTTCCGCGTTCTCCGACGCGCTGCTCTTTGCCGAATTGAAATACCAAACTTGTCGCAAACTGTATTCGACAGTGTCGTCTTCGTCTCGATCCACCAGATTCTCTTTGTCCCGGTACAAACTGAAAGTTATATCGGTAATAGTAATTTTGTATTTTAAAAACTTATCTTTTTATTGTTTGTTTCTGTTGTATATTTATTATTTGTTTTTTTATTATTTGTCCACTTATGCAAGTATAAACTATTAGGATTTATAAGACACAGGTGTAAATTTCTCTTCTTCAAAGAGGATAAGTGAAATTATTTCAAAGTCTTACAAGATTGTTTTACATAAACTACACATGCGTTTATGTCAAAACTTTTGCACTAACATATTTAAATTTATTTAAAAGTTTTTAGGTTAAAAAAACTTCGAATTATCGAATTACTCACTCGTAGTGAAAAGGTCCCACTTCTTGAACAATCGGTTTTGCTCCTGCCGTGATCTCCTTCGGATTCGTCACGTTGAAGACGTAAATATTAAAATCCAGCGGTTGCGGAAGTTTTTCCCAAAACCCGCGTATTTCTTCTCCCTTTTTCAGTCTGACTTGCTGTATATATTTATAAAATACAATAATTATATTCATGCGAACGAGCTTTTTTCTTCTTAGATCGCGTATTTGAAGAGTAGAAATTTCGTTAGAGACTGTCATTTAGCATTTTTTATCTTCAGTGTTAAATCTCGCAATTACTATATGTGATTATTATCAAACGTCCTTTTTACACACAAATAAAAATATATTTAATAGCCGTAATTTTTTGTCTATTGAAAAGGAAGGATGATTTTTTTTTATTTTTAAAGAATTTTGCTAAATTGGCGGAGGAGAATCACCACGTAACAATCTTTACTCACAGATTTGACTTGCGATTTGAGCATAGCGGGAAATCCTATGCTGTAGCTGATAAGACCGATGGAGAACGTGCATGAACCGGCAAGTCCCAATCTCTTTATGGACACCATAATGTGTTTCGTTAATCTACAAAACCATCACCAAATGAAATAAATTAAATTCTTTATCTTGCGTCATTTCGATAACAAATCACTGACACTTTATGATTGTCATTAATGAGCAGCACGACGTCGAGGATCCTGCCGATCGTGAAAAAGGACAACAGACGCCTCACATTCGGATTACGGATCGTGGTGTTTATTCGACGCAAAACGCGACGAGCAACGTTGTTCTCCGATTGTTCGGCAAAACATTTTCGAAAATCGACCATTTTTTTGACGACTCCGCCGAAAGTTTCGGTGAAATGAACCGTCGATTTCTAAATTTTGATAAAATCTGACTTTTTAACTTGGCAAAATCTGACACAAAATCGCAGATTTTAGCACAAAATGTTGCGATTTTGCAAGTATGTACACATACTTCTCAATTATATATTTTTTCTATATTTTTCTACTATAAAATCTTTCAAAGGTTATAAAATTGCTCGATTTTTTTAATTGACGCAAACGTCACTTCAGGTCTTGAGAATAGTTCGAAGCTTTTGCTCTGCGCAGAATCACATAAAAAAATTTCTAATTCTCAAAAAATCCGACCGAGGTTGCCCGATCGAGGTTGAAAAGAGGTTTTAATCGGATTGTCTGTATTTCTGAGGCATCTGTGAAGAAATCGTCTTTGGGAAAAGAAAAAAATATTTAGCCGTCGACTTCTTGAGTTCTGACCTCGTCTTTTTGTCGTCGGTCCTCAGCAATCCCCACCGATGAACTACCTCCTCAGAAGTTGTTCTCACGTTCACACGTTCTCACATACACATGCGTGCCTTTATTTATCCGTTGATTCGGTGCCATCGGTGTCTTGCGACTGCGCGATCAACAGCTTTTGGATTTATTGAACTGCGATCAAAAGTCCTTTGTGACACGTATTCATGTTTCTTGATACAAATTTTATCATCTCGGAGATAATTAAAGTAATTATGCGTCTCGAAGAGACGTTTGATGCTATTAAATATATTTTTAATTATCAGAATTAATTGTGTTTAAATACTGTCAAAAATATTTTGTAATTTCAAATGATGGCTACCACGAGATAAACAATATTTCATTTATACTCGATTTCGTGTTCATCGAAGCGTTTTAAACATATATTTGTAATTTTTTGACATCTTTCTCTAAATTTATATTTTTTTTCTAGATTGTCCTACTTTTGCAATTCCAAAATAAACTAGCATTTGTAAAGAATATATTTGCAAAATATTAAGAAGAATATGAAATATTAAATATACTGTATTAATATAATATTTATTTAATGTATTTAATTAATAGAATATTTATGATATATACACATATGTATGTTTGAAAATTATCACCCCCAATATGTTTTTAGCACTTTTTAAATAAACCATCAGTAATAAAAGTTTCAAGAATTAATATGAGAAATATATTGTAAACATGTCACAAACTCTAAGACTACAAGTTTCACCAATATTTACTTAAATACAAAAATTTTTTATTCTTGTATTAAAAAATCATTTTTTAATATCATCAATTTAATTTTGAATTGTTACCGATATGTGTGTACAAGCTTATGTGAATCGACCATCATCAAATTTTATGAGACACACATAGTTTGCTCATTGATTGCATGTAAAGGGTGTACGTTAAGTGTATAGTTTGCAACATTGCAATATGCGCGAAAAAAACTGTGTTTCGAGCTGTGTATTTCAGAGGTCATTTGTTTCGATCGTGATATTTGTCGCCTTTAAGTCGCCGTTATAGATTCTCGCCTTTGGTGTCAAGTGTAACGCCTATCGAACGCAAAAGGCGCCGAAGGATCAATTAAATATGAGTGGGCTATAGATACATATTCTATAGCACTTGCGACACTTCGTTGTGCATTATTGTCTATCGGAGACGTAGTTACCGTAACCACCGATGTTCCATTAAAATAAATCGTTACATATGCAGAAAGAAAGCCGAAGCTCGCGCACGGGAAAAGAAAAACTTACCTCCGAGAAAGTCTATTAGTTGTAACGACCGTCAAAACTGCGTATTTGGAAGTCGTGTACAATGTCACACGGTGACTTGGATACTTCGAATTTTCTCGCTCTAATTTTTCTTTCGACATCAACACACAATCTGAGATCCTCCGATAGTCTCATCCTCCGATATTGAAAGAATGTCATGTGTTTTAATGACACGTTTGGAACAAGCAAACGGTGAAAAATTAATAACATTTGTTCAGAAAAATGGTTTTTATTAAAAGAACATACAAAATAACACGAAAATCAAAACTAATTTTCGAGGATCAATGTATAGAAAACATTTGGTTGTGCAGCATGATTATATTGTTGCTTATTTTCTACTTTTCTCTCAGTTTCTCTGTAATATTATTTATTTATAAATATTACCGGACAATATATATTATTGGATTAAACACCGTAAAACGGAGAGCACTCTTGCATTTCGAATTCGCGAGCGAAAATCTCGCCACCAAATTACGCGCGTGTTTCTTTTTTCACACGGAATAGCTGCAATTACACTTCGGCATTATTTACCGTACAGTCGGTTCCCAATCAAGTTTTCTCACGTGAAATCGAAGCGTACAAATTCTCATTGAGACGCGAAAAATATAAATTCCAGAAAACTCGTCCAAGTCTAAAACACCAAAATGAAAAATTGTACTTCGTCGCTTTTTGACACAACTTTGCGAGAAGATGTTACTTGCGAACAGCCGTCGTAAAGTTCAGAGCGCATGAATATCTACCGAGAGTAATTCGACGAGAAAAAAAATTGCGTAAAAAAATGTGTACGATCTGCTTTTCTCGCGAAAGTGCGGCGTATCTACGCATGGGGAGAAAGCAAATCCGCGTATTTACGAGTCTCTCGAGATACTGAGAGACTATGGTGACAGAGAAGAGAGATACGCGGGTTCGCCGTGGTAACGGGGTTACGATTTTCTTTTTTCAGACCACGTTTGACGAATGACACGAATCTGTTTTCTCAGATGACAGAGGGCGAGAACGCTTCCATGTGCTTCCGCACTTTATTTACGGAACAGCCGTAAAGCGAATAACAACGATCAATAAATCACACATAGAAGCCAATCGCGTTTGTTCGCATACACCAATCGCTGATACATCGAGATCGAGTATAGTTAGATTTTTCTTTCTTTTTTTTTTTTTTATAGCCAACACGGTCTATTTGCACAGCCTCCTTTTCTCTGTAATAGAGAACTTGATTGCTTCTTTAAACACTTATGTTGCTTTTTCAAAATGACTTTAATTACTCTTTGCTAAACATAAATCTATATGTGATTTTTTATTTTAGTTTCTTTCAAAATTTCCATATAAATTGTTACAATAATTTGTCGGGACTATGTTAAGTTGCTTTCGGGATTCTAATCATTTTTACAATTGATTTGTGCTTAGAATTTAATAAAGACAATATGTTAAAAGAGTAAATTGCAACAGGCAGGACATAATTAGCGGACTCATCGAAATTAAGAAATTGGAAAGTGTAATTCTCTTCTCGGATATATAAGCGAAAGCAGAAGGAATTATATATACAGGTGCTTCTTAAACACACGAGCCGTCCAATGCATGCGACTAACAGCATTCGTCAACAATGCATGAGAAAAGCCGCTACGTGGAAAACGCGACCTTTTCACATCGCCTCCATCGGTACACTTTTCCGTATAGCTGGGCATAGGTGCGACATTTTCCACGCCGCCATCGCTCGATGCGCGAGCATCGAGGAACTCCGAGGACACGCTATAGCACCTCATTGGTCGACTTTGTTCCAATACGATTTGTCAGATAACAATAATACGCCAAATTTTTGCAAGCGCGATTCTTCAATGCTTTTCTCCCGAGTTTTTAGCAACTATATTTGATTTCGAAGTATTGCATTTAGATTTTAGATTTTAGAAATTATATTATTTTTTATCCTGATCGTTTCTTTTGTTTAAAAAACAACTTTCTAAAGTATGAAGTCTACAACAGATACAATATTAAGTTTTTCAAATTAAAAATTTGCAAAAATATTCTATTAGAGAGAATATATAAACTATCAGAGAGAATTTCTTTTTTTCTTCTTCACAAAAAATTTATTTTTATGACTAATATAGTTGAAAATTAAGAATGTTTTGATTGTCACAAAAAATTTTACAATTACTTCGTACAGTTTTTGTAACTTTTTGCGAAGTACAGGAAAAACGTGTTCGTCTACTTTGTAAAAAACTACGTCTTACCGTGTGACATAAAGGATAGTCTTACCTTGTAACTATCTCACAAGTATTGCGCGAAAACTTGTTACTGCATTAATGATGGTAATAACGATACTTATTAATTGAACAAGTTCATGGATGACAGTGGTATTATTTTAAACTCACCAGCGGAAGACGTAGTTAGGATTCTTAAAAAACGTTTCAAACTTATTGTGCGTGTGTGTGTGTGTGTGTTACACACGTTTTTTTTTTTTTTGTCAGATTATCAAAACCACAACTTCCTTTTATAGTGATATATCATTTATTTTTGAAATCAACGCGCGGGGTATAAAAATTCGCCAACGCAATACTCGACTCTTGACAAAGCACATCAGTCAGGCAAGATCAACTGTGATTAACAACAACAATTGTACGAGTAAAAAACCTTATATTATTTCGAACACGTTATTACAACTACGTTAAGTAACCACACGTGAAAAAATATTTTTGCTCGAGTAGCAAGAGGATTAATTATTACAAGGCCAGTCGGAAAAATTTGTCAGATCTGTTGTTTAAAATTTTGTTGGTGAATCATTCAATAGACTTGGCAAATTTTTTCTGCTTTGCCATATAATATAGCAAAACTTGTTTTCCGACCATAAAAAAAATATAATAACAGTTGCCGTATAGATACCGGCGCGTTACCAACCGTGCGATTTGTAGTGCGCGTGTATGGAGATGGGCACTGGATACGGTTTCGGCACGTGCACCGGTACGGCCACGTGCACCGGGTACGGCCGATCCACGTGCACGATCTTTTCGAAAGTGACGGGATACGGTTTCGGCACCGGCACCGGCACATGCACCGGCCGATCCACCGGAATGTGCACTGGTTTTTCGATCGGCACCGGCACCGGTCGGTCTACGTGAACGATCTTCTCCACGGTGACCGGATACGGCTTGGGCACCGGCACTGCCACTGGCACGGGCACGGCGACCGGTATGTGCTTGGGTACCGGCACCGCGACGGGCACCGCGATCGGATGCGGCACCGGCTGTGGCACCGGTTGTGGAACGGGAACGGGAACCGATGCTGAAACAAGAAAAACAGATCAAGTAATCGTCTCGATGAAATCGTTATGTTTCATTTGTATATTAGGTGGGCGAGTTTTGTGCAAAAAACATTTACTTGAAGAACTAACTACATGCACAATTTAATTAAATAGATAAAAATAATACAGACGAGAAACACATGTGCATGTGTGGTGAGTTTGACGTTTTACTGACCGACTGGATGAACGGCAACGGCTGGCGGCTCCGGTACGTGTCCAGGTATCGGATGTGCAAGATCGGGCGCTGGAATCTCGTAAACCGGAGGCGCCGGCGGACCGTACACGTATTCCTGATGGTCACTGTATCCCAACCCGTCTAATTCTCGTTTGCCGTATTTCTTCTCTTCTGCGGGAGCATCGATCCGTCGTTTGGAGTAATTTTCGACAGTAATCGCTAAGCTGTCGGCCAACAGCAGCGACAGTACCTGCAATAAATAAAAAATGATATTGAAAGATCGAACAATTGGGAGATTAGTTTCAATACTATTGCCACTATTTGTATTATTTTTTTTTTTTATTGTTTCGCGAAGATCGCGCGATTCCGTTCGCCGCGTCTCACGAACGCGCGAAACACAATTCATTCACTTCGAATCAATCGTATCGCGTTCTCGATCTTCGACGTATCGCTGCGTTCAGAACTCGCAATCGAACTCGTAACGACAAAATTGAAATCTGCCAAAGATTCGCACTGACGATACCAGAAGAAGCTTCATGACGTCCTTGTCGATCCGCTCGAGTTCCAGTTGCCGATCGCGATGTCGACGAAAAACTGAGTTTGCTTTAGATTCGTGACCCCCCATATATATTTATAGTACATTAGCCGACGTATGGGTGTGGGTGCCAAGCATTCGGTCACAGACCGGGCGCGAGAGAAGAGGAACACAATCGCCGATATTCAATGGCCGATACACTTTCGCTGCTTGTCTGAATCTGGGTAGCGGCCAAATGGTTGCGATTGAGGCCGCGCTTTTCTCTCCCGCAGTCAAATAAAGGTGACAAAGAAGAAGCATCCCGAGGCACACATTATCAATGCGCGCTGTGAACGCGATATTATGGGTTTTCCAGAGATCGTAAGATAGCCCCCGCGCTATACATCGAAGCGCGTACGTACGTCAAGTGAAATCGATCGAAACGCTTACACGCGCTTCGTATATTATTACGAAATAAACGAAAGCTCCGCGTTGGAGGATTAGAGAGATTACATTTAGACTGACAGCAAATAAATTATCTCTAGAGGTACAAAGAGCGCGTCCGTATGCAGATCAACGCGCAACATTATCAAAGTGCGCGAATTTCAATTAAAAAAAAATTAAATAATTCAAAAATTATGTACCAAATGTTTGGTTTACACATCCCGAAATTATTATCCTTCAGAACTTTAACTCAGTCAATCATAAAATGCCGAGTGCGCGCAAATGTCCGCTTTTGAGGATCACGTAGTTCTCTTCCCTTCCGCCCTTTATTCGACCGGCGGGATTACGACGCGGTGGAGGGTGGAGCTTTGCACGCGCGCGAGTTTTTTTCTCTTCTCGCTTCCGCGTTACCCGACTTTCCTAACTTTCATTTTCTAACACCGGTCGGCCACGTGCGTTTCTAATGCCGACCACGTTACTCGCCATTCATTATTCATCAGCGACGCTCGAGGCGGCGACGAACGCGTAACAGCGGCAGCATACACACCCAATGACACTGGCCAAGGTTCGCCTTATTGCGAATTAGCGAAATGTCACACACAAAGTGTTCGTGTAACAAAGAAACGTCCGTGCATGAACTGTGTGAGAAAACTTCAAAGACAAGAAGATCTGTTTGTTGCTGAAGAAACGATCTCACGTTTTTTTCCTCTTCGCTTCCTCTTCGGCGTCGCGTTCCGCATTCTTTGTCATTCGTTTTCCGTTTTCCTTTTCGCGCGTACCCTAAACATCTTCGCGCTTTTACTTTCTTATATTTGCATATGTATGTGTACAATTTTTTATTTTTGTGCGTCTGCTCTGTCTCGTCTCTCTTTGAAGCGTATTTACATAGCACCTTCTTGGCATGGTACATCAGCAGCTTCTTCGCGAAAGAATCTCGTTTTCAGTTTGTAATTTTTTAAATAAATAAGCGAGCTGAAAAAAGATCAGGTTTTTTGTTTGCGAAAGATCGAACGATGTTCGCACGTATTCGCACTAGCCGATAGTTGTGCTGGATCGTTAGACGGCGCGTGAAATTCTCGAACGTTTTTCTTTTGTGTACGTGCGCGGAAGTGCGATTCAGACATAATTAATCAGGTGCGAAGAGGGATGTAGGTAAGTGTTTCGAACGTAATTATGGCGTAAGCCAAGTTGGAAGCTCGTAATCGAGCGGGAAACTGGTGTCGTTTGTAGCTCGTGTGAAACGCGCGTATGAAAAAATAGACTTTATGACAAAAAATTGAGATGCGTGTAATTTATTTGAAAAAAAAAAAAAAAATCTGTAAACTTCCGCATACAATTCTCGAGTAGAGTTTTGCAAAGAATGCGGACCGGATTCGTCATTGGCAACTTTCATCGGCGGAAGCTCGGGAGACACCGATCGGCGAGTTCCCGATTTGATCAAAGACGAGAACTCGCGACCTGATCTGGACCCGTCAAACTGTCAAGTGACACTGTCCGCGAATATAAAAGGCCTTCGTTGTGACGATCTTGCGAACAGTTTGTTCGTGACGAGAGAGAGCAATGTCGAGGATTCCTGTAAGTTTTTCTCCCGTTGCAATGAAATCGCGCGGGATATATAAGATCAAATTTGTTCACCAGCCGCGTTCAAACGCGCAATAGTTAAAGTATTTTTTTGTTCATTGAAAAAAAACGCAATATATATATGTTTTAGCTGTTCCTGACGTTACTATGCGTCACTCGAGCGCTCGCTTCGGACGATGCGAAGCAGCAGAAACGAGGAATCGTTGGTAGTGACGGATGGATCGGTCTATCGGGTCCTCACGGATACGGACATGGACACCCCTGGTCGATCGGTCATGCCCCTTGGAAAGGGCTCAAACTGCCGGAAGTCAATCTACACGCAGGGTAAAAATATAATCTACCGAGACACACACAAAATCATGTTGATAGCAATATAGTTGATCTCATACGTTGCTCTTGTCATCATTTCCTTGTCGACCGTCAGGTTGCATTTGGCAGACGCGTATCCGTTTTACGGTAGAGGCGGTATCGCCCTGACACCCGAAATCGTCAAGACGTTTCCGGTGTACATAACGAAGCATGTGGTGCTCGAAAAGCCGGTTCCAGTTCCGGAGCCGGTGATCATAGAGAAACCGTATCACGTGCCGGTGCCGATCGAGAAGATTGTTCACAAACCGGTCCCCATTCCTATACCGGTGCCTCAGGTAATTTGTATCACTTGTTTCATGTTTATAGCAATGAGTCATTTATTTATTGACAAATATTAATCATTTTTTGTTTTCTCGTGAAGAAAATTTTATCGAATATTATTGTATCTATGTGTTTCGTTTTTAAATTAATCTTAATAATTAATTTTCGCGCGTGTTTTCCGTACACAAAGCCGCTGCCGATTCCCGTTGAGCATCCAGTGCCGATTCCTGTGAAGCATCCGGTGCCGGTCGCGGTGCCGGTACAGCAACCGATTCCAGTTCCAGTGAAACATCCGGTGCCGGTGCCGGTGCCGGTGCCAGTTCCGCTGCACCCGCTTCCACCGCCATTTCCGCTGCACCCGATCCCATCGCCACTCTCGCTGTTTGCCGGCGGTCTTGATGGTTCCATTTATGCGCCGGCTCATCTTCACGGTCATGTCCCAACCGTCTTGCATTTGGGCCATGGAGCTGTTCACGGTCTCGCCCACGGCTTCGGCCACGGGCTCGGCCATGCGTTTGCACACGGTTACGGTCACGACTACGGCTATCACGATCACGATTCCCATGCCGATCATATCATTCATGAGCACAAGAAGAGAAAGACTGACAAGAACTGAAGGGACTCGTCGAGAGCACGTATCTTGCTCCTTTTATTATCCTAAGAAAAATTTTACTTATATTTTGTAGTTTATATAGTTTTTTTGAGACTAGGTTTTAGAATGTTTATGTTAAAAAACCTTTGAAGAAGATAGATTTACTTTTAACACATATAAAATATTGATATTGTTTACATATGAAAAGATATGAAATATGTATTTGTAATTGCGAAACACATTTAAGAAAAGTTCAAAGAATTACAATATAATTTCTTGAGAACAAATTAGATTACGTTATTGCACACACAATACGTTGTATCTAAATTTTGTTGCAATGAACAAATAGAAATAACCAGCGCAATATTAAAATAAAATTACCATATTTTTCCATATATAAATTAAATACAAAGATTCTTTTAAATTTTATTATATGCATACAATTTAACATGCATTATATACAATACTTATATAAATTATTATTATTGCAAATTATCGTTATTATTTACAAATACGTTATTTTTGTAAATATAACGTATTTGTTTGTAAAATCAAGAACCTGAATTATTATAAAAGAGTGCAATGGTAGGATCCTCGCACTCGGAAACCATTAATATATCTCGAAATTTGTCCAGAAGTTGTAACAACTGAGATCTGTCAATGTTTTCCAAATACATAATTTCTTCTAAGTGATAATCGCCGTTAAAATAACCAAGACGACATAATCTATCGAGCAATTTCTTATCGTCGGATAGAATATTGTAATCTTCCGATTGATAATCGTACAGTATGTCCTCCTTGGCCGTGAGCGTTAATTCTTTGATTTCCGTAGGCGTTCCTTTCGGCGTGTCACCGGCGCTCCAAATGCTTTCACTTTCTTCTGTCGCGATTGTGTCGTGGATTTCCTGATCCTTTGCATCCTAATATTAAGAATAAAAAAAGATCATTAAAAAGACAGTGTTTCAGAAGCGTGTTACTAAAATTGCGGTGTATTCTCCCCTCTTCTCTCATTCAATGCACATTTAGATGTAAATTGCATTGTGACTTACTTGTGATAAACGTCCGTAAACTGTCGGCACATATCGCACATATGTGTGTAACTGTAGGAGCACCTGATTCTTTAGTAACCATATAATTATCTTTATCAACTGTGTTTGTTGCTGCGACTGGCTTAAGGGACTTAACTTTTGACTGATAGATGTAGGTAAAGAGAAATCGCTAATTACCTAAATAAAAAAAAGAAATTGTGAATTAGCAGTTTTATACGTAATAAGATTTCTAGAATTTTAGTAAAAATTAAATTAAATTTAAAATATATATTTGCTAAATAGAGAGAACTTATAGAAAACGAGGAAAATGATGTGTGTATGTACTTGAAGTAAACAAACTCCTGGGAATTGTTCGGAGAATGACTCTAGTAATTGATTGGTTAATGCCGCATCGGGAGAGACAACGTAGACGTTGCTTTCACAGAGTGGATAAATTATTGTGGCCTTTGCCCAATAAACCAAGTGGCTAGCTAGTTGAAACACTTGTGCTAGTGTCAGATCCGAATCGGCAGCCAAAGTTTGTAGACTTTTCAACGGATTGTACATCTGAAGGAACCGCTTGAGTGCCGGAGAACTATCTATTTGCAAAGATTCCAACAACTCCAACGGATCAGTTAGTAAAAGTACGCCGTGGTAAGGCCTCAAACTCTTTAAACATCTGAAAAATACTAACAATACTAATCTAAAATTAATTTAATAATATTAAAATCTAATTCAAAATTACACGTATATTTTTACATACAAATTGTAATTATCTGAAAAGTTACGCAATAACAATTGTTACTTAATTCCACTTGATTGCATTATGTGTAAAAATTATATAATTGCAGCATTGAACAAACCTGTCTATAATTTCGGGATCAAGAAGACCCTTCTTGTGCGATAGATGAACTTTCTGAGGAAGACAGAAACGTACTTGGATCCATTTGTTGATTATGATGCTAACTATGCCGGAAGTGCTCAGATTACTGAACACAGACTTCAAGCCGCGTGCAAGCGAGCTTCTTTGAAGAATTAATTCGTATGGTGACTCATCACAATCACTTTCACCTTCTGATCTGAACCGCATGTATATTAAATGTAACATTATGTTTATAATACGCGTGTGATAAAAGAATATAGAAATAAGTAAGTTAACCTTCCAGCAATTTCATCATGTGTGGACACCATTATCTTTAATTCATCTGTCAGAAAGCCACATCTCTTTTCTTCATGTCTTAGTGCTATACCCAACCTAAATATCATAAATGTGCTTTTATACATATACTCATACATATGTATACACATATAGAATATATTACCTTTTGCTTAGATTGTAATAACATTTTACTACTGAATAGCTTGCCTGTGCATGTAACGCAAAGACTATGTTACAAAGCATGGGAGAATGTACTTCTTTTGAAGCGTGAGATGGAACTTTAGTCGGATGTCCAACAAATCGAACATCGTTTATTTTCAATTCAAATTTTTGTTCGTACAATTCAGGTTTTACGGCAAACAAAGTGGACAGAACTTCGTCCGTTAGACCGGTTAGATTTCCATTACTTATATTTGATGTCGGAAATGTCAATGACTAGAACAAATTGTTTACATACATAAAATGAGTAACATAAATATATTATTAAATATAATAATATTTATATTGTCAAGACAAATTATTAGATATAAATGTTCCGTGATGATTAATAGAATTAACAGAAGATGTGATAGGAAACATATTCATAGACACACATGACCACATGATATATACCATAAAAGAAATAAAATTACCTGCAATAAATCCTCTGTATTGATCAATGAATAAGGTGTTTTTCGTTTGGTGCACTGACCGGATTCCCTTATGTGATCTGTCATATGTGGATACCGAAATAGAAGTCTATCACCCTTGCTATCGCTTTTTACCAAAATCACACTCAACGGATAGATACCCATATTGTCTCACAGTCAGGTTTCCTAATTCTTCCAATTTTTACTTGTTTCAAATTGGTCTAAACATTTACTTCGTTTATTTATAAACATTAGAAGTGTTGGTATTCTTTTCCTCTTTGTGTCAGTATTTGCACATTGCACTTACACGTACTGAAACGTAATTCTGTCGATCGAATGGATTTTTACTGATTCTTGAGCTTCGCTGACTATTCTAACAAGCTTGACAATTGCTGACAATTCTCTTGAATTCTCTGTCAATCATCAGTTTTTGTTGTTCCCGATATGATCAAGCTTTTCCTTACTCATTAGTTTAAAGGGCCTTCTACAACAAGATATTAGTAATAAATCAGAAGTCAGAAACAAGAAATTGACTAATCACAATCGATTATTCTTCTGTGATTTGACTGTGATTGGTCAATTTCTTGCTTCAGTACAAAACCCATACCATATATACGTATGTACATATGTGTACTACGGTACACGTGCATACATGAAGAATCGTTTGGTACCGCCATCTCTTTGACGTTGTTCGATATTCTTTGCTCGTTCTGCGATTATCGAAAACAAATCATCGCAATAACGCGCGCGAATCGAAAATCTCGCTGATGGCAAAAGAGAAGACTGAGAGCGGCCAGGGTTGTGTCTAGTTAAGCAAGACAACTGTGTTACTGCGCATGCTCCGCAACAGTGTCTGCACTTTCTCGACTTCTTTCAATTCCTATATTTCCTGCATTTTCTGCGTTCGTTCGTTCCATCTTGCTTAACTGGATACAGCCCTGGTGATGGCTTCTTCAGGTTTTTTGTTCGAAAAAATAGGTCAGTACCATCCTCTCCTCCTACAAGAAAAAGTGTGTGCAAATAATCAGAATCGATTCTATCGATCTTGATTGTTGCCTCTTTTCCGCGACGTTGATTGGACGTCTCGGTGACGTTTCTCGGATAATGTGTTTCTCGATTCATATCATACTGTCGTACGTGTACTAGCTGTCATCGCGGTGACATGTTGTGTCTACTGACGGAATATGTTAAAATAAAAATAATAGCGTGCTCGTAACGCGCGTTTGTGATGTGTCCTATATTAAAAAAGGCATTTGGACCGAGAAATGCGCATTTGAAGTCGAATATATCGCACCTGAAATAATTAAAAGCGATTTTGAGACAGTTCGTCGTATATGTAAAGAAAATTAAAAACGTAACTAAAGTCACGTGACAGGAAAGAGTAGAAAAACAATACGTGAAAATAACGTGACTATAATTTATATTATATATAACATTAAATAATACATATTATACATATAATTTATTATATATTTATAATATTATACTTCATATTGTATTATATGTATTATATACATACTACAGTAATGTCACTGACCTC